TAAAAGAAAAAAGCGAGATCCACAAATGTCATGTGAAAAGTTGTTGTTCTGTGGAATCTCTCTTAAACATTTGTGACATAGTCAATAGCTTTTGAGCCAGGGTCCCCTGTACATTTGACCATTGAACAAAAAACTGTATTTGCTATGCGACGGTTTTGTACAACTTTTTTGGGATGTTGTTAGCATTTGGGCCCAGGGCCACCACACAGCCGGCTTTTGAGCCGAAATAGCTCAGTTGGGAGAGCGTTAGACTTAAGATCTAAAGGTCCCTGCTTTGATCCCGGGTTTCGGCATAAGTAGGTCCCAGCTTCCGTAAAAAGCTTTCTCTGCGAAGTCTTTGTACAACATTTTTGGGATGGTGTTAGCATTTGGCCCAAGGGCCCCCACACAATTGGAGTTTGAGCCAAAATAGCTCAGTTGGGCGAGGGTTAGACTGAAGATCTTAAAGTCCCTAGTTTGATCCTGGGTTTTGTCATATGTAGGTCTATGTTTTGGTAAAAGACTGCAGAGGAGGTTAGAGATACATATTCAGATGTTAAAAGAAAAAGCGAGATCCCAAAATGTCTCTTGAACATTTGCGACACTGTCAATAGCTTTTGGGCCAGGGGCCACTGTACATTTGACCATTGAACCAAAAACTGTATTTTCTGTGTGACCGTTTTGTACAACTTTTTGGGATGTTGTTAGCATTTTGGCTCAGGGCCACCACACAGCTGGCTTTTGAGCCGAAATAGCTCAGTTGGGAGAGCGTTAGACTGAAGATCTAAAGGTCCCTGGTTCGATCCCGGGTTTCGGCATGTGAAGGTCCCAGTTTTGGTAAAAGATTGCCGTGATGGTTAGAGGTGCATACTCAGATGTTAAAAGAAAAAAGCGAGATCCACAAATGTCATGTGAAAAGTTGTTGTTCTGTGGAATCTCTCTTAAACATTTGTGACATAGTCAATAGCTTTTGAGCCAGGGTCCCCTGTACATTTGACCATTGAACAAAAAACTGTATTTGCTATGCGACGGTTTTGTACAACTTTTTTGGGATGTTGTTAGCATTTGGGCCCAGGGCCACCACACAGCCAGCTTTTGAGCCGAAATAGCTCAGTTGGGAGAGCGTTAGACTTAAGATCTAAAGGTCCCTGCTTTGATCCCGGGTTTCGGCATAAGTAGGTCCCAGCTTCCGTAAAAAGCTTTCTCTGCGAAGTCTTTGTACAACATTTTTGGGATGGTGTTAGCATTTGGCCCAAGGGCCCCAACACAATTGGAGTTTGAGCCAAAATAGCTCAGTTGGGCGAGGGTTAGACTGAAGATCTTAAAGTCCCTAGTTTGATCCTGGGTTTTGTCATATGTAGGTCTATGTTTTGGTAAAAGACTGCAGAGGAGGTTAGAGATACATATTCAGATGTTAAAAGAAAAAGCGAGATCCCAAAATGTCTCTTGAACATTTGCGACACTGTCAATAGCTTTTGGGCCAGGGGCCACTGTACATTTGACCATTGAACCAAAAACTGTATTTTCTGTGTGACCGTTTTGTACAACTTTTTTGGGATGTTGTTAGCATTTTGGCTCAGGGCCACCACACAGCTGGCTTTTGAGCCGAAATAGCTCAGTTGGGAGAGCGTTAGACTGAAGATCTAAAGGTCCCTGGTTCGATCCCGGGTTTCGGCATGTGAAGGTCCCAGTTTTGGTAAAAGATTGCCGTGATGGTTAGAGGTGCATACTCAGATGTTAAAAGAAAAAAGCGAGATCCACAAATGTCATGTGAAAAGTTGTTGTTCTGTGGAATCTCTCTTAAACATTTGTGACATAGTCAATAGCTTTTGAGCCAGGGTCCCCTGTACATTTGACCATTGAACAAAAAACTGTATTTGCTATGCGACGGTTTTGTACAACTTTTTTGGGATGTTGTTAGCATTTGGGCCCAGGGCCACCACACAGCCGGCTTTGGAGCCGAAATAGCTCAGTTGGGAGAGCGTTAGACTGAAGATCTAAAGGTCCCTGCTTTGATCCCGGGTTTTGGCATAAGTAGGTCCCAGCTTCTGTAAAAAGCTTTCTCTGCGAAGTCTTTGTACAACACTTTTGGGATGGTGTTAGCATTTGGCCCAAGGGCCCCCACACAATTGGAGTTTGAGCCAAAATAGCTCAGTTGGGCGAGGGTTAGACTGAAGATCTTAAAGTCCCTAGTTTGATCCTGGGTTTTGTCATATGTAGGTCTATGTTTTGGTAAAAGACTGCGGAGAAGGTTAGAGATACATATTCAGATGTTAAAAGAAAAAGCGAGATCCCCAAATGTCTCTTGAACATTTGCGACACTGTCAATAGCTTTTGGGCCAGGGGCCACTGTACATTTGACCATTGAACCAAAAACTGTATTTTCTGTGTGACAGTTTTGTACAACTTTTTTGGGATGTTGTTAGCATTTCGGCCCAGGGCCACCACACAGCTGGCTTTTGTGCCGAAATAGCTCAGTTGGGAGAGCGTTAGACTGAAGATCTAAAGGTCCCTGGTTCGATCCTGGGTTTCGGCATGTGTAGGTCTCAGCTTTGGCAAAAGATTGCCGTGATGGTTAGAGGTGCATACTCAGATGTTAAAAGAAAAAAGCGAGATCCACAAATGTCATGTGAAAAGTTATTGATCCGGGGAATCTCTGTTAAACATTTATTATACATAATCTTTAACTTTTTTGCCAAAAATTGTTTTCGCTTTGCAAAATCTCTGTACTACTTTTTTGAGAAGGTTAGACTGAAGAGCTGATGGTCGGCAGTTCGATCCCGATTTTAAGCAGATGTAGGACCCTGTTTGGTCATACGTTATCGTGATGGTTCCCCCAAATGTTATATGAAATGTTGCTGTGGAAAATCTTTGTTAAACATTTCCGGCAACATCATTAGGTTTTGGGTCAGTGGCTACTATTAGAGCTTGTTTCCGCACATAGGTTACTATTAACTATGACCTATTACCTACTGGTAACAGGTTATAGTTAATAGGTTGCCGTGATTGCTCATTTGTTAAAAGAAAAAGCAAGAGCCACAAATGTCATGTGAACAGCTGACGTCTTGATATCAGTTTTCTCAATATTTGTGTATTATTAGATTGAAAAGACTTCAGAATTTGCCTTAAGAGGCTTTACAGACAGTACAGCATACAACACCCTCTGTCTTAAAGGAGACATATTATGCACCTTTTCAGATTCATAATTGTATTTTGTGGCTCTACTACAATAGGTATAGATGTTTTAATGTTCAAAAAACACATTATTTTTCTCAGACTGCCTATAGCTGAGCAGCTCTTTTCAGCCTCTGTCTGAATCGATCGATTTTAGCTCCTGTCTCTTTAAGGCCCCCCTCCCGAAAAAGCCCAGTCTGGTCTGATTGGTCGGCATTATGACGCGTATCACTCTGATGACGCTCCGGCCCCTCCCCTTCCACCTCAGCGTTGCCGGCAGTTAGCTCCTCACTGCTCCTGAGTTTGGCTTCATTTCTACCATCAATATTAATTCAATTTGCCTTATTCACCTGGCAGCCATTTTGAAAACTTGAACGCCGTTGAGGGGTACACAAACCCGGAAGTTGGACTCCGATACGGTACTATCAATCAGTAGCATCAATGGAAACTTTGTGGACTACGAATCCTACCGGTCTGCCTGAATTAACAATGCAAAATGTGGAGCAGTGGGCCAATATAGACTGCAACATCCCCCGGGCTGTGTTACTGAATGGATACAGAAACTGTATCGAAGGATATATCCACGACGTGGAAGGTAAGCAAACTTACTTACAAACCTCTCCACTAGCTTGTTATGCTAGGATAGTTAGCTTAGCTGTGATATGGAGTTGTCGACCGTCTGTCTGCTATGTTAGATTTTTTAAACACTTAACATGTCTTTAATTGACAGTTAGTAGGAGCCCATCAGACATTTCCGTGAGGGCAAGGTCTTTTCCCTCTGTGCGAAACAATGAGGAACCTTACACCATACAGGTATCATAGTGGACAAACTGCTCAGTTCGCAGAGCAGTGCCACAGCCAAACCAGCTTGCTAAATGTTCATTAGGAGTTCATATCAACAATGTACCTACCTATCCCTGTGACTGAAAATAACATGTTCATTTTATCTCATTAACATGTTACTTGTATACTAAATAGGTTCATTTTGCCTACAGATTTAACTTTATTTTGTTCTTCTGAACAGGCTCAAAGTCGAAACTGTGAAGGTATGACACAACAACTTTAAGCCTGTTTAGAAGAACAAAATAAACCTATGTTACCTGTAATTGATTTGATATCACATACGCCTCATTGATATCTTCTAAAATATGATGTTGTTTCAAATTAACAAAGCAAGACAGGGCTAGGTGCATGTTTATGGTTAGGATAGTAGGATAGTATGATGATAGTATAACTATCAGGTAAGTGATAAGGTAAGGTAAGTAACATTCATCTTAAGATAAGAGTTGCTCAGTTCTTGGAGCAGTGTATCCAGGGTCGAGGAAGGTTCTTCAAAATGTATTTAGCTTTAGGTTTACAAATCACACATCACACATCTCATGTCTATTTAAAATTGACATGACATACATGCACATAATGCAATGTCATTACTTAAAATAACACAAGTAACTACGTCTAAAATCCATACTGTGAGCTATTCCACAACCCTGACTTTTTTGTTCAATGACTGTCCAAGATATTAGGTATATTTCAAAATATGTCCGCAAATGTCATTGTAAACAACCTATAAGATTTTCATGGCAGAACATTAAAATGCCATATGTACCTAATTCACTGCACACTCAGTGTATGTATATATATGTATTTAATCCATATGTTATGTATTTGTTGTTAGCAATTATGAAGCGTCAAGTGTGTAAAGTTTGATTATCTTTTTAGGTGGAGCTGTCACTTGAGCAGCCATACATAAGGGAGACACAGTGCAACTGCAAAGCTGACTTGGGACAGTGCAACCGTCTCATCGGGCTGCTCTATACTCTGGCTCACTTCGTCAAGATGGCCTACACGTCTGTCCCCCCCAATGACTAGCAAGACATCATTGCCTCAAGACTGGCACATTCCATCAAGGGCCCTGGGTGTCAGTCCAAGAACGGTGAGCTCTGTAAGTGTTTCAAAGCTAAAACCACCAGTGACCAACGCAACCCCGCCAAAGAGGCAACGCTCTTCTGAAGGGGTGATGTCGAATCTGTACTGCCCTGTGTCACTTCCATCAAATGCCTTTGCAGAGAGCCTAAACCAAAACCTGAGTGCAATACAGAGCAAGAGTCAGATGTTCAAGCTGCTGGAGGAGAACAGAAAGCAGCCTGCTGCTCTTGTCTCCACCGACTTTGGAGACCTTCTAAAGGGATCTGTGCTTACCTACCACACAGCACAGTCTACCAGGGCTGATGATGATCCCCCGTTTCCTCTATGGGGGCAGATGGGCATCACTGGGTTGAAGTGGTCTGACTTTTTTGTGAAATGCAAAGATGACCATCACTTGGAGCAGGTGCACTTTGAACCAAAGGAGTTGGTGGAGCTGGTGTCCCATGTGCCGGGGCTGGGTCCTTGCTGCGGCGGCCCGGGGTTCGGGTCCAACCCGTGGCCCTTTGCTGCGTGTCGTCCCCTCTCTCTGCCCCCCTTTCCTGTCTGTCTTCAGCTGTCACTATCAATCAATATAATAGACACATGAAGTCGGCGTTTCTTGCCCGGCAGGTATCCATGGTAACCACGTGACTGCAAAGTATGAATTGCGATTGGTCGATGAAACGCTACCAGGAACGCCCAATAGGCGTTCTTGTGTCACGACGGGAACGCCCAAGCCTATCAATAAAAGTCAATAAAAGCCCCCCCCCAAAAAAAATGGAACAATAACAGTGAGTTTTGTATAGATTCATAAAAAATGAACAATACCGGTAATATCAGTTAAGGTGTTGTATATATTTGTAAAGATGAACAATAATAAAAGTGAGAGTTTTGTATAGATTCCTAAAAATGAACAATAATAATGGTTAAGGTTTTGTATAGATTCATAAAGATGAACAATAATAGGGCCTAATGGTTAAAGTTTTGTACACATTCATAAAAAGATTAGCACTTCTTAAACAAGGTTTGAATATATTTGTGGATATTAACATTACAGTTGTAGATATTTACATAACATTGGTAAATGGGGAGGCAGGAGCTCAGCGTGCAGGGACTTGGCTTGGGAACCGCAGGGTCACTGGCTCAAGTCCAGCAGAAAGAACAATTTCCCCTAAGGGATCAATAAAGTATATCTTCTTCTTAAATATTTACATTAGAATTTCAAAAGAGAGGACCTTGGAAATTAGTTAAAAGGGCAGAAATGGCCCACAGTTGGTTAATGGAGCCCACCAGTGTCATGGGTAACACTTTATCAAATATATGGTACTCTTTAATCCGCCTAATGGCGCGCTCTACATGGATTCGCAGTCTTGCTATTGCTTGAGTCTTTCGAACTTCGTCTGCAGTGAAATGCCCACTTGGGCCTTAAAAAGGAGGGATTACAAGGGAGACATGTATTTCAGAGAGAAGGTCCTTGATGAGAAAGCCTTTATTGGCCATGACCATATCTCCTTCTTCATGCACAGAAAGGATACCTGGTTGTTTTGTAATCTCCTTGTCAGATATGGAACCTGTCTTTAAGTCACTGACAAAAGTCACTTCACCTGAGGGCACAATGCCAATTAGACCCTTAAATGTGGTGTTACCTTTGTAGTGTGAATAAGTCACTGAGTTAAGGACCTTGGAGCTAGGTTTCTGTACATGAATTTCTGTGCAATCCAACATAACTCTAGTACCTGGGAACGTGCATTTAAAACAATCTGGCATAAGCTCATCCACAGTTTTCCTTGAAGGCCAAATTGGAAGAACAAAAAGTTGACCCAGGTCACACAGATCCTGCTTACTGTTGACTATGATATATGAAAACGGGTTGCAATGTCCTGCTCAGGAAATCCCTGCCTCAACCTGCAAAGAAAAAGAAAAAACTGGTCCATAGTGGACAAATTAGAGGCGCTAAAGCCTTGCCGAATTACCTCCACATTTGTATGTTTGAGTCGCTGAGCCTGACTCCATACCACCATATTTTCTGCAGTAGGTTGCAGGGCCATAAACACAGCTTTAAATGTAGCATAATCTGGGAACCCTGTATAAAATGATACCTGTTTATCATCACCTTGAAAATTTGACAATTTTGTTTTTGTTGAAGCTCTGCTATTAACACTTCTTGCTCACAGATGGTCTTGCGAGCTTCCTCAAGTTGATCTTGAAGTGAGGGAGGCAGTGAAGCATATTCATGGTCTGGGTGCGCAGGGGGCGTCTCTTCACTGGAAGTATAAGAGAAACATATTGGTGGACACATTAGATCTTTTAAAAGGATACATGGATTGAACATGTTTATGGATTAAAACATGGATTTTTATGTCACATATACTGTAAAACGTATGAAATAGCATTTGGATGTTTGTAATTAAACTTTACACTGATATAATTCACGTTAGACCACCGTTCATCAACAGCAGCATAATCATTGGCTCAGTGACAGTGTTATAAGCACATACATGTGTTGCTTAATATCATGTAATCAATAACACCTTTACATACCTCAACACATTCACACCATCAATGAGGTCCATGGAAACATTACTGGAAATAATCAGCAGAGAAATAATGTCACTACACAGTTAATAAATGCATTACAAACTGGTAAATTCACTCATCTAAATACTACCTTGCAGTTCTAACAACGATCCTCCTCTCTGCTCTGAACGAACTCCATGCAAACACAGTTGGCACAGCACCTTCTTTCAGCTTGGTGATGCCAGTGTTGGTTTTTACAAGGCAGTCTGTGAGGATATGCTCAGAACACACCTTTGTGTGTTTTTATCTGCACCAATAAAGAAAATGTAATCGTTTAAATATTTTTACAAGAATAATTTTATCGATCAGACTCGACGTGACTCCTGAGCATCCTCTTCCTAGCTAGGGACACTGATATGAACACTGCTGTTCCCTAGGTTAACTAGCTAGTGACTAGAAGCTAATACAAACAAGCTCACTCAGAATATAAATATATACAAGTGAATCTGTGGTGGTAGATTTAAATAACATACTACTAATTTTGGACTAGGCGGTAAATGTCAACAACCTGGCTCTCTGCCTTAATCTATCTACTAAAACTTGAACTTGCTAGTTCTAGCTAGCCTGGTTAGCGATACAAGCTAGTTATGGAGACTGACTCAAAGCACCAGCTATCTGAAAACGTACCTTAAAATTACAACCAGGATCCCTTCTGATATTTTTTATCCACTCTCGACGTAGTCCCTTATCCTCTGGAAAACGGTGAAAGGTTTGTCCTCTGTTGGATTTTCTTCCTGTGTGACGAAGCGCACTGGGGAACACAGCAGTGCGGCGCCATTGCCGCTAAGAGAAATCGCAATGCGAGAATTCCCTGAAGTGGAAGGTGTACCCCTCAAGCTCCTTAGAACGTTCGAGGTGAATAAGGCGAATAACTGCTTCTAAACTTCACCACCGGACATGTTAGAGCGGGAGTCTGACCTGAAATCACGGAGAAACGAACAACATCAACAATCAGGATTACAGCTTTCTGTGGCGTTTTCCTCAGGTAAATACTGCTATAAAAACCTCTTTCTATCACATAATGTTAGTGTTTATACCTTAACTATGAGAACCAACACTGTGTTTAAGCTTGTCTCTACAGTTACAGCAGTGAGCAGTGACCTACAGTCTACACAGCCCAGTGAAGTTAAACATATTATATGCCTGCAATACTTTATCCTGTACAACATGTCAATATAACTGAAGGAATTACTCATCTAATCAAAGTAACATGTTTATGTGGTTTAAAAACTGCTAAGTAACCAACTGTAAACTGTACTGTATCCATATTTCATAATCTGATATTTTAACTTGAAAGTATTATTACCAAAGTTCACCTTCAGATGTGTAAAAGCTGCAATTATGTTTGAACCCCATTAAAAATACTGTATATATACTGAATATTCTTCATTTATATTATATATTATGATGTCATTTATCTTCCAACATAATAAAGTTTGAATGTGAGACAGAAATATATTGTGTTTATTTACTACAGGTTTAAATTCCACATTTTCATATTGATAGATGTTACACGAACCAGGTTTTCAACTCTTGTACATCCAGGAAATCTTCATAAAACCTTTGTGAAATAAAATGTTATTTATACAAAACCACACTTATTACTGAATTTAAAAATGACCAAAACTCTTCTTAAAAGTAAAACACTTTATTTATGTTTCATTCATATTCCAGTTACACATGTTGCAAGTAACAAAGCTATAACTTTTTTGTAAACTGTGCAGATCGTGTCCTTCAGACTGTCCTGATGCTGCAGCTGTCTCTGTCCTCTGATGGGTCCAGGAACACCTGAGCTTCATCAGATCACCTGTAAAACAAGGCAGCATATAGTATACAGTATAATATAATACAAGTACAACAGCTCATTGTGGCTCAAAGTACTCCTAAGTTATTAAATAAAATAATAAAGCAGTGTTTGACTGCACAAACAGCCTAGTGAGCATCGTAGTTACACAATTCATAGACGCCACCTACGTCACTATCAAATAGAACGCCGCCATATTCACGACCGATCTCGCCCAGTATGGCCACCCACACTGCCCATTTGAATGAGAGAGAGAGACAGAGATATCTGGAGAAAATTTCAATTTTAGGTTCCGATCCTTATTTGTTACCCCCAATTTTCTTTTGTCCCTTATTATGTGCCCCAGGCTTGCCCCAATTGGCTTTCCATACACTTATCTTGTGCATAACCCCTCCCCGTAATAGCTTGAAGGCTTTCAAAAGTACCAATGCTTATCAATATGCTGTGGCTGGATGGATGAAAGACGTGAAAGTGCGGCACCTTGCCACCAAGGATTTATATTTAATCATGGGAAATGTAAGTATTAAAATTCAAATGTATGATTTTGGTTGTAGTTTACTCTGACTAGGTAGCGAGTTGTTAGCTAAGCAGTGTTGGGCATCTTACTTTAAAAAAGTAATAGTTATAGCTATTCCTGAGGCAGCGTGGAAAGTCTTTTTCGTGGACAAAGGTGCATGTTACATAAACATTCTTGCCTTTAACTTCAGTAAGCGAGAAGTAGTGTTGGTATTCCAGTTTGAAAACGCTACCTTTGAGTTTCGCGTAGCTAAGTGGCTAACAGCTAGCAAGCTACCACTCATCTTAGTGTCACTTAGCTCACAGCTAGCTGTCATTAATCTGGATAATGTTCTTTAATGTCAGATGTGATTATACCTATTTTATACAGTCCATGGTTTATACTCATTGAAAGAACATGAAGGGAAGGGAAACGAGGCGATTGTGACTTTATGGGAACAGTTTGTGGTGGATTACTCTGATCATTGTTGATGTCAGTGCTGCAAGTGAGCACTTCAGCTTTCTGCTAGAGCAGCGGTTCCCAAACTTTTTTTCCCGCACAAAAACTCGGCTCGCGTCCCCCCCCATAAAAACGCAACACATTATATTGCATTCCAGGCATCATGTTTAATTAGCCGCCCTACATGATAACAAATAACAAATCAAAATGTGCAACTGGTCTATGAGCTCTCACACTAAAAAAAACAGTGTGGAGAACAATACTGTCTATGGCGCTATCGGCCCGATTCGGTCGCAAAGATGGCGGCGCAAAGCTACAGTGACGTCATGTGAATCGAATGAATATTAGTAAACTAATGAGTCCCTGCAGTCTGACCATTTCTCTCTCACAGTAGCTCTATCGTTAACTCCAGTGCACGTAGATCAAGTTAATTTACACACCGTAACACACACACGGAAAACAACGGAGCTAGCCCCAGCTGGCTAGCACGTTAGCAAGTTACACAAACAGAAAATAATCACGGTATCGGTTGGGTTTTATCTGATACCGGTGCCTACTCGATATTTTTTAAACGGTTGTGGTGCTTAAACGGTTCTCGAACCGGTAAAAAAATGAAACCACACACACTTTGTCAAAAAACAATACCCTTTTATTTCCAGGGCCAAATTGAACACAATATTAAGTTAACGGCATAGCACACGTTGTCACTCACGCTGTTGAATGGCAACGGTGTTCGCTAGCCTACTAGATTTACCCGAAGAAGAAAGGCTGATGTCATCATCATCATCTGTGATGTCCACCACCACACTGGCAGGGCTGGGAGTCTCTTCAATTTGTCCGGCGAGGCCGACACTGGCTGCGGCTGCTGAAGTGCTTGGCCTTGCGTCACGTAGGTTATCAAACACGGTGCATTGTTCGGCTTTAAATAAACTCCATGTGTCGCCAGATGTTTCATCAAATTCGACGTGTGCAATTGTTTTATGGCATCTGTTGCATGTCGCTGAGTCTGCATCCTTAGATGTGAAATGCAGCCAAACCTTGGAGCGTTTTGCCTTCGGCATCTTCATTGATCCCCTCACTATCAGTTCTGATCAACAAGTGTGCTGAGTAGCGGCACTGACGTCACGAGGGTTTGACGTCAGTGGTTAGCGGGTTAACGATCACCCTGCCCCTCCTATTACCACATAAAGTCCAACAGACTCAGTAACTATAGTAATACAGTGAAATCACAGAGTTGTTGTGTGCTAATCAAAGCTACAATCCTACCAAACAAATGACCTCCGCTGCTGAATTTATACACGGTACAAGTACGGTGTCTTCTTCTGATCACAGCTGTATTGATCCACACTGAACAGATACTTAGCTACCCAGCAGATATGCAAGTTACCAGGTTAAAGACAATTAAACCTAACTGACGTTATCTTCCCTGTTCTACAAAATACAGACGAACATAAAGCCAACCCCCCCTGCACAAAGCTTGGTGACTCACGGTATAAACTTTGTGTGAATCTCTATAAAAAATATCAGCAGGGAAAAATATGTAAAAAAAATAAAATAAATGAACCTCACCTTATAAGTTTCATGTTCATCTTGCACACATTTAACAAACATTTAACAAATAATAACTACATTAGCATCATTGAGGCTCCTGTAGCTAACAACGGTTAGCATGTGCTAGTGTTACACGAACAATGAAAAACAGTATAATTTCTTAAAAATACGTACAGTTCCTTCCTCTGCCGTCTCTCTACAGACGGTTGGTACAATCCCTCTTTCAGGAACAGTCTTTCGGCCAGTCCACTGTTGTACTGACCGAGGTTGTGAAAACAGTCTGACGCGAAGTGGTTCAGACACGTTCCGGTTTTTCCACCGGACATTGCCGTCAAAAATAAAAATAAATCCAGTGGCTCATACATATGTAAATTTGTGTTGGACTGTGCAGCAAGCCTTTGCCCAGACATTAGGCTGGCAGACTGCAGGCTGCTGGCTGGGCTCGCTAGCTTGTTCTCCGCTAGCTTGTTCTCCGCTAGCTTGTTCTCCGCTAGCTTGCTCTTTTATAGTAACAATGGCGGAGCTCCGATAGTCAAGAAGGAAGTAAACTGTGGTGGGTGGCAACATAACTGACTTCAATAACGGGGAAAATGTCATTAAAGGGGAAAAATCTGAACAGACTGATTTATCTCCTGTATTCTGGCTGAGGCAGCAGACAGCATTGTGATGTTCTTTGCTCTTGTTTGGGCCTGAGAGTTGTACTGAAAGTCTTCAAATGGTTTACTTTAAGGGCAGATAACAGATGTTTGTAAAATGTATCGGTTCATTTTTTTGTTTTGTTAGTTACTGAACAACATGGGTCATGTTCTGCACAGTAAGTGTGACTGTGGTGTGTTGAATGCAACAGAACACAGACTTGTGATAAATCATGTTCGTGGTCTCACTCTCTCTCAGGTGGGGGTCATACTGGTGCAGTTCCTGTTGCTGATCTTCTATAGCAGCTGCGTGTTTCTGTTCATCGGTACTTGTGTGTTGGGACTGTGCATCAGCAGTGTGTTCCCCTCCATGCTGGCATTTACAGAAGACACACTGGACTACAAAGGTAAACAAATTCACACTGACAGACACACACACACACACACACACACACAGTGCATGTGGAAGACAAAAGAAGACAAAACATTTTTTTTTGTTATCAATAAATAAACGTACATTTATAAACAAATAGAAAACAAACAAAAATGCATTTATATATAGAATATATATCAATATATATAATAACACAATTACAAAAACAAATGAAAGCTGAAATGAAAGATCATTTTAGAAAATTATTAATAGGTTTAATAATTATTTTATTAATAATAATACATCGGGAAAGAAACATACATGTTTATTTCTAGAAAGGTATTTATTTCTGTATTTTTAAATTTCTACTTTAATTCAAGAAATTTAATTTCTCTGTATATTTCTTTGTCATGTGAGCTTTATACTTTTTCTTATATATAGATTTTTTTTGTTTTTATAAACACTACTGATGTTATACATACATAAACATACAAACATACACTTTACCTACAAGTATGAGAAATATATTATTCACTGCCCTGTCCAGTTAATGTCAGTTCAGCTCTACCTGCAAGACCATGTTTCAATGCCTTTGTTCATCATCTGTGCTGTGAAAACGTCAGATTTCAATACAGTCTAAGAAAGTAAAACATTATTACCTCCGCCAAGGAGGCAAAGTTTTTGATGATGGAAAAGCTACTGGCCCGAACCTTGGTGGAAGGGTGTAGCATAGGCCAAGGAAGAACCCATTACATTTTGGAGCAGATCTGAATCATAGGGCGGATACACAAATAATTTTCCAGTTTGGTTAGCATTATAACATAGGCCAATTGGTCTATGGCTAAATGAAGTGAATTCATCGCACATCATTTAACCTATTCTAATTTAATTGAATGGTGTACCGTGACTAAACAACAAAATATAACAGCCATCTCAAAGTAATAAAATCCCAGCACACCTCAAAGTGTCTCCTCTCGGCCTGCTGATACTCAAAAGTGGAAGTCTGTTGAGGAAGTTGTACCAGCATCTGGTTTAGAAGTGGTTTAGCCGATGTCGGCAGATGCAATAGTCGCACTACCCTCCATTTCCATTACCGAGTCGACTCCGGATCTTCTCAACTGATGGCTTAAATCATTAACTTTCAGGGGCCAGTGCTAACATTGACTTATTGACTTATATAATTGATTTATTAATTTATTTATACATTTGTAATTTTTAGTCCTCTGTAACTGCAAATAATATCTGTCTATCTCTTTTGTGTTCAAGGCTGTGCCACAACTGTCCTGGTGACCAGTGCCAGCACAGGAGAGATGATGCTGCAGCTGCTTGTTGGATCTGTAAGAACTCTTTCAGAGTGTCCCTCCTTCTTCAATCTTGAATTTATTTACAGTAATGATTTACTCAATTGAAATCAAACCAATGTTTCTACATTCAGTGGTTTTATGTGATTCTTTTTTCAGGGTTATTTCTGCATATTGCTTGTTTGTTTTTTGGTACAATAATAATTGCTTCACAGTACTAGTATAAGTGGCTGCCTGATTACTGTGGAACAGGCATTTATAATAACAATAAAAACAAAAATATGTGGAAACCCTGCTGTGGACCTTGACGTGGATGTCCGTTGGAAGGTGTTTCAGCGTTGTGGGGAACTTGCCTGCAGCAGGGCATTATTGTTTATGTATAGGATTAGTGTGGCAGTGGCGACCCGCTGTGTCTGAATGAATGAAGTGGTAACACTGCCATTATAAACCTGCCCTGTAGCTACATTGCTTTCCAGCATTGATTGCAATGATGTTTGAGATGAGAAACCCACTGTGTGTGTGCATGTGTGTGTTTTTTTCCTACAGGTAATCCACAGTCAGGGCAGTTACGCTTTCCTGTTGTGTTGTACAATAGCTTCATTCATCGGTTTCTGTCTCTTCCTGCTTTTCCTCTATGTCCAGCACGTCCACAGAAACTGCCAAACAGGTAAACACACGTCAGGTAGACACATACGGTGAAAATCAATGAAATATATAACTTTCTGTGGACGTTGGGAACAAAAATTCAGTACAGCTTAAAGAATAAGGCTGTACATATTTCTGTTGGAAACACTGATGCCACATAGCACCAGGAGACGTGTGCAAAACGACTTAATGTAACTTAAAACAAAGTGGTGCTTACAAACAGAACTAGAGAAAAGAAAGAAATCCAGGATGACTGAAAAAGCGAGGCCCCGTCAGAGCATCCTAGCTTATTAGCCAGGCTGAGGAGGTGCAGCTAGGTGAAGCCAGGCTTAAGTAATTTGGATAAATGCACGTCCACTGCTTTCTTCAACAGACCACAGAGTCGATCACAGATTTACTGATGTTGAAATACAGAGAACGTTACTTTATATAATGGCAGCTTATGTAAAGCATATTATGTAAAAAAGTAAACAGTGGCTGTAATAAAACAGAGAGAAAAGGCGTGGCAGACAACTGTGGACTGACTAAAATTTTCAGTAGCCTGAAAATAAATATTTATGCCACTAATCACTGCTCTAAAAGAGCAACTTTATCTTTGCACAAATGAACAGTTGTATATTTGCCTTAATATTGTGAGCAGTGGAAGGTAATATGTGATTCAGGAAATTTGTTTAGTTGCCTTTATAATAAACTAAACTCAGCCAGGATAACTGGAAAGTCCCGGCTTAATCACCTATCTAGGTCTTGTGAAACAGACCTCTGGTGGAGGCTGCAGTGGAGCAGCAACACAAGCAAAACATTTCAATGTACACAGACTTAATGCTCTAAAGCTAACTGTTAAACGTCCAGTAATCGTACAACCAGTGCCGATCAAAATCTATCTGAGGTGTCAAGTTCACAGACAAGATAATGTTAAAGTTTTATTCACATTACATTTAGTCACGTTTGCTGACTTCCATCGTTTATAGCCTAACATTAGCTTCTTCTGGAATTCACATTTCAAAGATTATATAGGCAGTGTTCATTTGTGAAGATTATCTTGCTGAAAACGTGTTTTATAAACCTTTGCCAAAAAGCAATTGTTTTGCAATAATCCAAAATCCAAAGGAAAAATCTCATTGGCTTTTTGTCAAAGGAACCAACGTGATGCTAACTTCTAGTTGCTTACAAAAATACATCATCCCTGCAGAACTCTGCAGGATCAGTTCTGCAGCTGTGTTTTCATTGTACAACACACTGGGTCAAACTAATGAGCACTGTTTACTTCTCAGATTCATCTAAAGACACTGACATGGAAGAGAAGCCAAAGACAGGAGGCTCCTGATCTGAGGGTGAGGACCCGATGGCTCTGCTGAGGTCTCTGACCTTTTACCCCAGTGTCTGAGGTTTATCCTGGCCTCCTCCAAGTGAACATTTCTGACCTAAAGAGAAGTCTACTTTGAAGCCTGATGATCAACAAGCAGCTCTGCTTGACTTAATTTTTGGGACAATCATCTCTTGTTGCACATTTGAATTCTGCTGTAGGTAGCTTGTAAAAGACACTTTAATGATTAAACATTGCCTTTTCAGTGTGAATGGGAATGGAAGTAAAAGTGTGTGTGATATCTGCTCTGTGACACCTGCAATATATCTGGTTGCTACTGTTGTGTAACTGTGACTCAGATCAGACTCTGTAAGTCCTACTGTTTGTGATTTCCTGTTGGCTGGATGGAGCCACCGGACCTTAATAACACATGATGATGGAATACAGAGACGTGGTTAGTTAGAGATCTTTTATTACTGGTCTCCCTTATCTCTTCCATTATAAACACTTCCTCTACGCCTCTCACACATCAATACGCCACTTAAGACAAGTAGCTTGTAAACATTTGAAAAAGCATCAAACAAATAGAAAACTGGACAGAACATAGCAAGAACTGTGTCATTTCTTTTTAAAACGAGATTTTACATTTCAAGGTAAGTTGAAGGAAAAACATCATCAGAAGATACAAATGAAGAAATATGCAAATGACAAGTCCCATAAGACTTGATGGAGGAGTTTCAAATGGCCTTTGGGGTTATTATCCAGCGATTTTATAGGTTTTTATCAAAGTTGCTGCAAAAAATGCAATATAAGCTACCAATTCTATTGGGATCTGTTATAAATTCAAATAAATAAATATTGTGTGGTCGTGCCTAATCACAAATGTAAATACTTTGATTGTAAAAGATTAGATTTACCGTATAAAATATGAAGTGCATAATTTTATCCTCCCTTTGGGAAAATATACATTTCTCAGTAAGCAAACATCGACAACATTTCAAAGAGGAAATCTGAGTCATAGAAAAGCAACAGAATCCAATACTACAGGAACCCCGAAAGATTAAGTGCAAACGTTCCATCACAACATCTGCATGTACAATATCAACACTATATCAAAACACTTTACATATAAAACATAGATTTAGATTTCTCCCCATATAAGGCTTTGATTCCCAAAAATAGCCAATGGCACCATGGGGCCGCCGCCTCCCAGATATATGAGAGGAAAACATAAAGGAACACATGCACAAAGAGAACCCAAAATAACAGAACGTCTAACTATCTGGCCGTTACAAAAATAGAAATGAATCTTAAAATTCTATTGGTGTTACAGGAAAATGAAAGGAGATTACACAAAACATAGTAAACAGGTTTTATATACTTTCTGAGTAAATTTGTTATCACAAACATTTAGAAGCAGGTTGGAGACGTGGCCACCAACTCTAAAGCATGGCCTGATTAGATTTACATGCTCTGCATCTGGACTCATGTTGCTGTCTGTATGTACAGGTATGCATCCTGAAGAGCACCGCAGCACATTGAAGGTCCTGTAGTACATACACAGAGTAAGCTGTGGCAGACCACATGAGCTGCAGTGAACTCGGACACAAAACATCCCTGTGAAGTTTTACTGCAAACTTCTGGGGCTCTGGTTTGGTCTACGCAAGGATATGGCAGAAAAAACAAACAACAAACGCTGTCGTATACAGTTAGCTCCACACTAACTTTTAAATGATAGAACGTTATCCACTTTTGGGAGATTAACTTGGGCTTGGCTGTGGTAAGGCACCGTATATCAATGTGACAGACAGCAGGCAGAGGGGGCAAATGTCTTGTTAGTTGAGTATGAGTCCCCCCTCCCCCTACAAGATTCGCTGGTCATCCATCCCTGGGTTAGAAAGGGACACTTAGGTAAAGAAACACTTAAGTGTGTTCTATCCAAGTATTGTGTAAACAAGTGTGATGTACAATTTCCACATTTGATAGCATAGAAATGTGGGGTCTCCCTCTTGAGTCTGCGTCTCAGACTTATGGCTTTAAAGTCATTTACAAAACAGGTATAAGCCTTTCATGGCTGATCATCTAGAGGAGGGGGTTTTAGGGCAGGAAGGTGCTTCAATGCTCCTGGATTAAAGGTTGATCTATTTCAGATGGCTAAGGCTCGGCAAAGGATGAGGCTGGACTGTTCAAAGTCTAGCCGCTAAGATTTGGAGGTTCAGGCAGAGATAAAATAACTGCACCGACGTTGCAAGCAACATTAATCAAAGCCCATTGATTTACAACAAAGAAAACAGTCAAACGTTTTCTTGAATATTTTCTATCTCTTAACAATTTTGATTTAAAAACTGGAAGTAAGTGCCCTTATCATGGTGGCTGCCTTTAACAATGTAGAGTTCATTTTCATTATCAAATACAGGATTTGGGTTGTTGCTTGCAGAGTCGATGCGCATAAACTGTTATGGCTTCACTTTATTCAATTCCCACATGAAAGCTTACCGGCTGGAGACACACCAGGCCACACTGGCTTTCAGGGCTATTCCACTGTATATATATATGCATTAGAACAGTTACATAGGGGCAAGACTCAAGGTTCAGCTTGGATTATGGCCACACATCACGATAAGACAGGCAAGGTAAAAGTATGGCTAAAGTCAGCCAACATTTGACAGCAGCAAACAGTATACACTCAGGCATGTGAGGCGAGTTTGAGAGCTGGAGAGTTGCAGGTAAACATGCAGGTTATCAGGTTAAAGCACTACCCTTCAACAAGAGTAAAAGTAAAGGACAGAGCACAAAAAGAACGGAGTCCATGTCAGCAGAGGAGAGAAAAAGTTAAAAACTAACTGATAATGTCTTTTTTGGCAGTAACACTGTTGCACAAGAGAAGAAGGAAATTCTATTAAAGGAAAGATTCAGTTATCTGCAATCCCACTGGTCTGTGTGTCAAAGTATGAAGCAGATTGTCGCTGCTGAGGGTCCAATCCACATGCACCAACTGTTGCCATGGAAATTCCTCCCTCCTTCGAACTGTTGTGACTGAGGATTCCAAAAAGCCAGAGAAAATGAATCAAAATGAAAGTGCATAAGGAACGGTGGCATCAGTGTCTATGAGTACAGGTTAGCATCCGCTCAGAAAACAAACTGAATGTTGATTGCCAACATTTCTCCAGATCCTCCCTCCACAAGTCTGACTGTAGTGTGAATTCTGTGGCTGTGAACTTTAAAGCACCGGAGTGATGAGGAATGGCAATAACTGAGCTCCCACATAATTGTCCTGGATGTGGGAGTAGGGGATGGAGCAGTGGGGGGAGTGTCTGGCTGTCTGGGTCCAAATGCAGTGAGACTGTGTGGGGGGTTAATCTTATGTCTTCTGAGGGTCTGGGGAAATGGGGCCGGGCGTATTGGTCCCATCGATACTGTGTACAGGGATCTGGAACTGTGGGGTGAGGACAGACGGAAACTGGAAGAGAGCAGAATGGAGTGTTAGGACGCTTTAGACAAATACAGACATACAGAGAAATATAGGGCACATATACTCTAATGTACTGACTTGGAACAGTTGGCCTCCCTGGCGGCGTGTAGCTGGGCTGAGGGGAGCGACCGGACTGAGCGTGCTCCAGAAGTGGATGTTGGACAGCAGAGGACTAGGAGTCAGCAACAGAGTGGGAGTCTGAGGAGGAAGACAAACAACAAAAACTCAGCATGTCGAAGTGTCCTTGAACAAGACACTGAACCCCAAATTGCTCCTGATGCTGTGCATCGGTGTGTGAATGATTAGTTTCCGTTCTGGTGAGCAGTTGGCACCTTGCATGGCAGCCACTGCCATCAGTGTATGAATGTGTGTGAATGGGGTGGGTGTGGCATGTGTATAGAGCATTGAGTGGTTAAAAGACTAGAAAAGCGCTATATAAGTACAGTCCATTTACCACTTACTGCATTAGAGCCTGACTGATGAAACAGTATGGCCAATACTGGCGTTCAGTGTAGTCTTTTTACTAGGAAGGTCGATACTTCATGGCAGTGTTTCCTCTATGTTGATTTTGGAGCGGTGGCCCGCGACTGTTAAATTTCTGCCGCCACGGTATCAGAAATGGGGCAGACGCACAATGTAGTCGCAGTTGCCTTATAAATGATCCTGCCGACATAATGCACCCCCGTTGGCTGCCACTCACATTGCAATTTAACAACAAGTAGAACTATTCAGAGGTTATAGGGGCTGTCCAGTTTAACTCCACATACTGTTGTGTTGATGTAGCTCATTGTCAAAACGTTTGCTTTCTTCCAAGTCGACTATTAAACTAACAGCTCCACCAAAAACGTCACCGCGGTGGGTCCGTTTTAATTGGACAACGTTCAACTTGTCCGTTCTCAGCTCAACGTCCTGATATCAAACATCTGGAAACATTAAAACGGTAAATATATTTGTTTGTGTCACTTCTGTTTCATACGTAAAACGTTTGTCGGCGTGACGGGGGGGTTCGGACAGGCCTGCCCCCATTGCTAAAAAAAATCCTAGAGGAAACACTGTCATGGTATTAAATCTTTACCATATATGATGACCTCCATTAGTGACTAAGGAACTGTTCCTGTTGTAACTGGTGCAGCTTAAAGTGGCTTCTGAAGATCACAAGACCTCTTCCTTCCCACCCCTTTTTTGCTTTATGCTCCAATAACAGTCGAGCTAGCCTCGGTCAGAACCTTGATCAATTGTCCCCTTTCCTGTTATTAAAAAATGCTATGTGCTAGGCTAATCTATGTTGAAAAGACAACCACATTGTGAAGGTTACAGGACCAGTGTGTAGGATTTAGTGGCATCTAGTGGCGTAGTTGCAGATTGCAACTCACTTGCACTTGCTAGAAAATACAGTGGCCACGAAAAACACAAACAGCCTTATCTAGAGCCAGTGTTTGGTTTGTTTGTTCTGGGCTATTGTAGAAACATGGCAGTTCAAAGCGGAGGAATCCATGGAAGGTCGCAGCATAGGTAGATAAAAACAGCACAGTCTAAATTCATCAAGGAGGATATTCTATTGTCGACCCTAATCTGTCCTTCAATAGAGATACCTTTCGATTCTCAAGATACACACAAAAAAACACAATGCTTCTCACGTCGCTGCTGCTTGTCTATGCATGTATGTTGGTAAAAAGCAAGCACATCCCAACCCTTAGAGAAGTTAAGTGTATACCACGTGCACACAAGGTTTATGTGACAGTTTAAAGACCTGTTGCACATCAACATCACCGCTCTCGTCAACTTTAATTGGCACTTTTTTTGGGGGGGGGCCTTTATTATAGTGACAGCTGAAGACAGACAGGAAAGGGGGGCAGAGAGAGGGGATGACACGCAGCAAAGGGCTGCAGGTCGGATTCGAACCCTGGGCCGCCGCAGCAAGGGTCGCCAGCTCTACCCACTGACCTAACCAGGCGCCCCTAACTGCCACTTTTAAAAGCACTAGGTCTATAATCACTTACTAACAGGTCTATTACTGGTGTCAATTTAAAATGGAATTGTAAATCCCTCAGTTTGAGTGACTCACCTCTGACAATGGAGGAAACACTGGACAATTAAATCTGTGTATCATTCGTTCTTTTCATATTCAATTGAGATTCCAAAATCGGAAAATGAAAAAACGGTTTGTTATGTCCTTATTCGTTTATGAATCTGATACCAAAAAAAATAGAAAATGAAATAACGGGCCACGGATCGATTTTGATTTTGATATTTAATTTGCCCGATTTGTGTGAACCAGAAAGTAATTACTTTGTTACATACTCTATATGAGATAGACATGCATATATTAAGAATATATATATATATATATATATATATATATATAGATTATGCCATGCCGTTTAGGAAATTAATCTTTGAATATATTGAATGAAACTTTTAATATATGGAATGAATCCTGGAATATATTGAATGAACCTTGAATATATGGAATGAATCCTTGAATATGTTGAACGAACCTTGAATATATTGAATGAATCTTTGAGTATATTGAATGAATCTCAATATATTCAAAGATTCATTCAATATATTCAAAGATTAATTTCCTAAATGGCATGCCATAATATATATATATAAATATATATAGTATAATTTAAAGTCACACTTTCAAATGTGCAAAAATGGCAAGTGTAAAGTGGTCGCAGGCCTCCTCTTCACCAGAGGCACATAGCAGGATGTTGGGTTTGCAGAGGGAGGGATGTACCACAATGATGATGACGTGCAGGAACTGCTGGCCAACGGGGCCACAGAGTTGTTCCCTCTCGGCACAACCCCGGTTCGCCCGGACGGTGTGGAAGCCACCGACAGATACGCTCCGGTCCGTAATGTCCCTGTGCAGCCATGACCCAGCAAAACACACCAGACTCTCGGTACTCTGCGTGGCTCCGCGTCAATTCCGTCAGCTTGTACATTCCGTTGCTAGGAGACCACACAACAAGAGAAGGGAGACTCGGCTTAAATCTTCTCCTTGTCCATAAACCCGTCCCGTCTCGACCCTCCTCTCTTCCCCCGATGTTGCTTCCCTCCTCTGCATCCCCGGTGTGTTTTTCTCCAGAGTTCAGGTGGTAAATCAGCTGCTCTGTCCACTATGCCGGCTGGCATTAGCGCGATCAGCTTTTCTCCGGAGTAAACAACGGCAGCGTGTCCCGGTGGAAGCGGTATTAAAACACGAAAATGAACACAAAAACTCTCTCAAACAACATCGTTAGAGAGGGCAGGACTTTATAGAGTTACAGTGAAAAAATAAGAACGAACAAAAATAGAATAAAAGTTAAGAAGTTAAAAAAAAGCAGACTGGAGTAACGTAACAGGCAGCATGCAGTTTTTCGCGCACGCGCCAGGAAAATGAAGATGAAAGATGAATGAAAAGATGAAACTCTTCATGATTGATCCTCAGTTTTGAAGGCTAACGTTAAACTGAAGAAGTGAATCAAGCTAACGAGACAATAACTTCCGGTCCATACAAAGCGAAAAAATTAAATATCAAAATCAAAATCGATCCATGGCCCGTTATTTCATTTCCTATTTTTGATCTGAGCAATAAATCGAAAGTACAAAAAATGAACCGTTATTTGTTTTTTGGTATCAGATTCATAAACCAATAAGGAAATAACAAACCGTTTTTTCATTTTCCGATTTTGGAATCTCAATTGAATATGAGAAGAACAAATGATACAAGGATTCAGTTAGTTTGTTTATTCATTAATCTATTTTCATTTTGTTAATGAATTGTGGGGTCAAATTTGAAGATACTAAACACGAGGGCAGTAACCCATATGCAACGGTACAGACCATCAAGAACTCCTCTCATACAGCGAAGAGAAAATGCTTAAAGTCAACAACTGACAGAAGAGAGAGAAACCAGGAAGAACAACTCATTCAACTAGCAGTGAGCTAACAGTGGGTCTCATGACCAACTGGACCTGGCCTGCTGGGGAAGGACAGAATAAAAACAGCTCTGTCTGAACCAGCAAATCTAATAGACTCCTAAATTCTATACAGTGGCACACAGTCATGCGGTCTGCAGACAGCATCACTGGGAACAATTAAACACCAAAAACGGCCAGACATCACAGATTACTGTTGCACTGCTGCCACCTGCTGGTCAGGATCAGTAAATGTTGGAGGTTCTGGTCGTTTCTGGGTTCTGCCCAGTTAGACAATGATGCTTGTCTATTGGTGTCTTTTCCATTTAAACATAGTCTACTGTTACTGAATCATTTCAAAACATTATGGGAAATGAGGAATACTATAGACACAAAACGTATGAATAAATGATGCAAATATCACTTCAACATGCAGCACTGAGCTTTTACACAACTTCTCTGATGAAAAATCTAAACAACAAACCTATTATTGGTAATAGTAATTTATCAATTTAATGTTTTAATTATAATGGAACAACACACCTACTTGGAAAATGTACCAAATACCTTACACAGAAATACAAGTCAATGCAACAATATAGCAACACTACGTTATCTAAGACAGGGGTGCTCAAACTTTTTCCCATTAAAGGCCAAAACTGAAACGTAATGGTTGATCACAGGCCAAAAGCAAATACTAGTTGAGATGCAAAATGGTACTAGGATCCCAAGTTCCCTTAACTGACTGACTGTGTGCAGTGTCACTCAGATTATGAAAAATAATTAATCATTAGGGATCCTCAATCAGAAGAGCATTTTACCTCACAAAAGATGAACAGCAATTTCTATAATATATTTCTGAATAAACTTTCTTCTGCTAAAAACATCTGGCGGGTTAAATCAAACCTTATGGCAGGTCAACTTTGCCCCACAGGCCCCAGTTTGGGTGCTCTAAGCAAAACCAAAAACACTGAAGCAATTCAGAACACTCTTTTACAAGCTCAATTCGCAGCTCATATACAGTAGGTATGTGTAATGAGTAAATGCTCTTGTCAAAATGAAACTGGGATGAGTATGTCCCACTGCTGATTACAGTTCCTCTATCCTTGTATATCCTCATTGCTTTGTCCTTCCAAACGTATGAAGGTGGAGCCAAGACAGGAAGAATACATCTAGCAATTTCAACTTAAGTTATCTACAGTGAGTATAGAAAATGTTCCTGTTCCTCTGTCTTGTAATTGACAAATTATTATTAACTGCAATGTTAATAATTTACTGTGCACTAAACAGTGTGTTGAATATTTCCTAATACAAGGCTATTGTAGCGACATTATATCAATTGTCATTTAATTTCCTCATTCATCATTTCTTAGATGTCAAAAGATTTCATATGCCATCGTACACTTTCACCAGTGTTACTGTACATCATGCATCTTTCTTACTGCTACCATTAGACTAATATTGAATGTTAACTGAAATGTCTTCATTCACTTATTGAGTATTCAACATCTGTTTGTATGTTCTGATTTGTATCATCATTTATTTGTGTAAATGTTTTGCTTAAATGTGGTTTGACTTCACTACCAAGAGGATGAATCTAGGCCCTTACCTGTAGCATTGCTGGTGTGAGAGAGGCAGTCGGTAGAGAGGGGCTGCAGAGGTTCATGGGGGAGAAGTCAGAAGTGGTGACCAGCAGAGTTGGCGGGCTGATCTGCAGGACTTTCGGGGGCTTGCGTGTCTTTCCTGAGCTCTGAGTGCTGAGTGTGGTGCTGCTGCTCACTGAGGATGAACTGGTTTCAGCGTCCACAAAACTGGTCTCGTCTCCCGACAAACCAATGCCACTGTCCACCTGGTGGACAAAAGACAGATCATTTCATTAATATAATTTTCTTGATTTCATCACTTTTGCTTTACACTTGTTATAGTTTATATTTGACTCAACACAAGAGGTATGTGTGTGCTTTAGCTAAAACGCACAGCTCATTTAATTGTAAGATTTCTGAAATAATCAGTAGCTGTGTCACACAGCTACTGATTATAATGTAGTATAATGTAACTTAACAGCTGCGAGAGCAGAATTTAAATGAAGCAACTAAATGGTTTTGTTGAAATTAATAGTGTGATGAATTTCACTTAAAATTAATTTCCTGCTGTGCTAGTGGTTTTTAGGGTGTGGTGCTGCATGACTGCTACACATATACTTGACCAATTACTTCTATAATAACAGATATTTATAATAAAAATGAATTAAATTCTACTACTTGTTGTGAAAAGGGTCACTGGTAGTGATAAATTCACAGAGAATAATCATCAGAATGTAGTTTCCTTCAGCTCTAAAGAGCCTTTTAGTATCTTTCAGCTGACTGTTTAGGTTTTATGGCCCACAACTTTACTGTTTTGGTTTCCGGCTGCAGCAGGTGGCTGTTTTAAAAAAAAAAAACCCCAAAAAAACCAAAAAAAACCCCCACTGTGCCCACAGAATACAGGCACAGTCAAAGACTAGATGTTGAACATAGTGGAACATTTAGCAGCTAAAGAGACAGATATTTCCCTCTACTGAACTTATAACTGATCCAAATGAGTGATTGATAATGTTCCTCCACGTAATTAACAATGAGCCTCCTCCACACGCACCTCGCCTGCTGTTGTTATAATCATAGGTGAAAAGATCCTCAACGTGAGATGTGTTTTGTGGGAGACTTCATAAGTTACTTCTGAAGAAAGTCAGCAGACACACACAGGGAGAGAGAAACAGAAAGGGGCGGGGCAGGTGTGTACGTGTGTGTGTGTGTGTGTGTGTGTGTGTGTGTAAAAGAGTACTAAAGAGAGAAGCAAGGTGAGCAAATTAAAGTTGTTTAGTAGTGAATTAAGTAAGAAAACATCTATTAGAAAATAGTTGCTATTGCATTTTTTTGTAATGGTAATAAAGGAGTTGTTTTGTTTTCGTTTTGAACATGATATCGAATTGGTGTCGAGAATCGTGAAATTTCACTGGTATTGTGACTTGCCTAATTGGGACTGTATGAGTGTGTTATGATCCGACTTGACTGACTGTGGTCTGGCAACGCAAGCGAACAACCTAATAACTGTCATCTGACTCCGATTCAGCTGAATCTATTGCTAAACTCTGATTGCACAGTAGTATGTGACCATATGCAGGATTTATTCAGAATGACTCCAACCCATTTCAAATCCGTGAAAAGAGCACAGGAAAAAACTAAATATCATATAGAAATAAAAACTGCTCAAACTTTTTAGCTATTTGACTACCATATATATACTAGCCTTTTCCTGGGCCTGAGCATCTGTGGGTTCTGGTGCCTGAGAGTCTGCGGGGTGAGAAGATCCGGACTCCATGTCGCTGTCAATGACCAGCTCCTGGGAGGAGTCGGGCACTAGGCTTGGGGACGGGCTGGTCGAGGTCAGGTCTGATATGCTGAATGTTGGTTCCGACGGGCGGATGTGTTCAAACGAGTAGACGGACTGGGACGGCAGGGAGGAGTGTGTGCTGATGGCTTCGGCCCTCGGGGGCAGAGCTTGCAGAGAATCTAAGTGGTTGGACATCAGGGTGGGCTCTATGTCAACCTGAGGAGGCGGTGCTGGTGCTGGCTTTGGAGGGGTGTTTCCAAACTTGATGACGGATGGCAAACCGGTCGGCTGTTGCGGATGAGCGAACTGCTCCTGGCTGTGGGCTGTGGCAGTGAGACCCCTCTTGTCAGCCATCTTCTCTGCTGGGTTCTCTATTTTGATGGACTTGAAGAGCTGGCGTCCATTTTGCAGCGAGTTGAGAGTAAAGGAGGTGTACAGGCCGGAGTGGATGTAGTCGTTGCGGTTTGACTGCTTGGTGCTGGAGCTCAGAGCTGCTGTACTACCTCCTACCTTGCTGCGGTCACCAGACTCGCCCTCCAGTAGGCTGCCGTCTCCCCTCTTTGACAATGGAGAGAGGCCCCCAGCACCCACATCCCCGCCGTCTGTTCGGGTACCAACATCTCCTTTCAGGATGTCAGGATAGGAAACAAAGCGGTAGACAAACTTCTGACCATTCACCTTCTTTATGATGTTCTGTAAGACACAAAAAAAGCAATAGCAGAAAATGTTAATTTATACTCTTGGTGAGTAGAATAAAAAGTGCATCATGAACATCTAGGCAGAAAGCACGGAATGAGAGCCAAAACAAGACTTTCCCTCATGTAGTATGCCTTTACCAAAGAGGCAATATAGTAAAAAATAGAAGAGTGAGACCACAGAAAAGCCTTGTGCGTGGGACAGCTCTGTCCTTCCTGTCTGCACCAAACTAGCAGCCACTAATGCTGCAGCCAAACATACCAGAGCAGCCCTGCCCAGAACGCCTACAGGGTCAGGCTGTGCTTCTGCCAAACCACAAGCAGAGTGGGAGACAGACAGCACTCTCACCCTCTTCCGCAAGTCACTGAGCAAGTGGACTTTAACCGTTCTGAGATGCAATTAACTTGGGTTTTGCTATTTGCTGGTGCACTCTTTGGTGCAGCTGTCTGGAGGAAACGGTCCCCTCTGAGTCTTCAGCTGTTGTTTCAAAACATGTGCTGTTTTGCAACTTAGGCATCATGTCATTGGTTTAATTATGACTGACAAACATCTGATTTCATATATACCCCGCAATCTGATCAAACTCATATTCGTTTTTATTTTTTGGGAACCCTGGAGTGGGCAAAAACATTAGGGTGCTCAAGCCCCTAAGCACCCTTAGAGCTGTACGTCTGTGCCCCGTTCATTCATTCAGTGTCAACAGTAATACTAGCTCTTCAAAAAGAGAGGAGGACTATTCTGTAATGTGATGCAACCTCTTGTTGTTTTTCAAAACAATGGATGGTCCCATCAGAGCTTTTCTAGGGGGTCACTGCTCTATCAAAGGGGGACAAACAGTATTGTGTGTACTCAAAGCTGTACACGCTCCGAGTGCTACAAAATCCTAAGTACTGATATTAGACAATATTATCGACATAACATTTAGTTTTCATTTCTGATAACGCTATACAAAAGAGAAATTATCAATTTATCTATCTAGGAAATTATTAAATAACATGGATGAAATACAGGTTTATCCAGTACACACCCCTTGTTTCACTTTCAACTGCCACTGACAAAAATCTTATCAGATCTTATCTGTATGATCCTGATTACAGTGATTGAGATACTTATGTGATCTTTCACTGAGGCAATCCGACTACCGTTTACTATCTGCTAACATAAGCTGTTGGTCAGTACTTGACTGCTATCTAACTGCACCAGGCTCATGTATGTAGTTTAAGCCCTTTTAATACATCCATGTCTAGGCCAGATTATGGGATGTGCAATCAGCTAACACAAGACTCTTCCCTGTTTATTGTTGACAGGGACTTCAACACTAAAGGGATAGCAACCCTTGCTAACTTTTTTTTAAAAACTTTGCAATCCACATTTAAAACAGCCAATAGTTTATTGTGTGGTTTGGCTATCTCAGGAAATAAATGATACAGCTCAGTTTTTTTTCATCAATTGCCATAAGTAACACTATAAGCAATATCAGGATTCCCACCTTCTTCAGAAATCATTTTTTAGCACCATTCCAGGACATTTTCCAGGAGTTTTCTTCACAATACAGGACAACACTTGTTCTCAAACAGGTTCATTTACAGGATATTTGGTCATTTTATTCAATTTCCAGGTGTTTCCATGACTTGAAAACTAGTCTCTTAATATCCAGGTTTTCCAGTTTTTCCAGGACATGTGGGAACCCTGAATATGCTCTTGTGATTGGCATTGCAGGCCCATGCAGTCTGCACTGCAACTCTTGCTAGTGCACCCCCACTAACAGAGAAAAACACCCTCTGATTTTACTCTGGAACCAGCACTGCTACATCTGAGAACACATTCCTCAGCAGTCACTGCAGTAAGCTCCCTGTATAACACCATATCCACCACATCTTTTTGCAGAATTTCAGGTTGACTCAATCAAAGTGTTTCATTGTTGTCACAAAAAACGGTGCAAAATGAACTAGCAAATGTTCAAATTTGACCAGCCGCTCAATAGATACCATTGTTTTTTGGCTGGTTAGTCAGCCACTCGCACATTTTAGCACCATAAGAAGCAGACACATAAGACTTGATTTAAGGCTCCAGTCTACCAACCACAAAGTGACCAATCCACCACTCAGGGGCACATTTTGGCAAACTGTATTCTGACATCATTCGGCCCAGAGAGGCCAACATCGGACATTCAAAAACAGCTGAAAAGGCTGATATTGGTCACATGTTTGACAAAGTTGGAGGACAACACATGCTTATGGTTTGGGGCTGGGCTAGGGAGGATTGGGGAGTTGGTTAGGCAGCATGTCCAATCAGGTTTCCTGTGGGAATGACAAGGCTGGGAGATGTGTGGGGGTCAGGCAAACAGCAGGCTGATGACTCACCAAATACTGGTATCCTATAGCAGAGAAGAGGCGACTTGTTTACCTTGTCATAGTAGTATCTGAGAGCCCTGCTGAGTTTGTCATAGTTCATGTTGGGTTTGTTCTTGCGGGCTCCCCACAGCCGGGCCACTTCCTCGGCCTGCAGCAGTTTAAACTCCCCCTCCTCATTGGTCCAGCAGATCAGCTGCTCATTACTGGGATCCAATAGGAGCTGGAGAAGGAACTGCCACAGGGTGACAGAGTTGTCCATATCTCTCACTGAAAGAGTTGAAAAACAAAAATATTATCAGGCACATTAAACACAAAACTGCTGCTCATAACATGACAGTATGGGGTTCCATAGATCACCCTTGGGCCACTACTTTAAGTCAGTTCAGCGAGTTCAGTTTATACCGACAGTTAGGACGAAGTGCTGTTACTTTGCTCTGACTTCCTCAAATCATCCGGCAGCATACAGCATGAATAGAAAATCTGATCCCAATTGGAACAATGGGAAAAGTCTTTATTTTAGTCATCCTCACCTGTACATATAAAAAGTCCCACCCTAAACCCCTTAAACCACAAAGTCTGTTGAATACCTAAAAGTATGGGCAGAGATGTGGTGTAATTGCTGTAAATAATAATTTAACAGCCAAGGAATAAGAGGCTGTTTCTGTTTTACAGGACCAGGTGCAACATCTGGTACATAAGCTGTTCCCTCATGTGGTTCACACATTCCAGGATGATAATGCCACCATACACCCTGCTGAATAAATTTAAAAGTGTTCCATTAGGAGCTGGATGAAGTCAAACAGCTTCCATGTCATTCCCCTTTATGGGACTTTCAAGAGCCAAGAGCGTAAAGTAGTTCTTCGTCCCTTGGTGAGCTGAAGTGAACAATAAAGACCAGTGGTGTCCATACAGCGCTTTCTTTCTGAACTTTCAAGGACTGAGGCTGTTCAAACAGTCAATAATGGCACTATTCTCATCAGGTTGATGATACTGAAATAATGTCATACATCTAGACGTGGTGTCAGGTTGTTCACATTAAGCCAATTACCCACACACCTAATCATAAATGTCCATTTTTTTCTTTTAAAGACACTTATAAAATGTGCCACTGGGATGTGGCCACTGACTAGCTCTAGTCAAGGCCAAACATCTTTCTCACATCTGGCTTTCAAAGAGCAGCAAAACACCACGGCCATGGAAATGAAAAGCCCCTCACAGCGACAGGTAAAGAGTGATATTCATGAAGAATTTAATTCAAACAGCGGGGGCAGAGGAAAGCCATTGACAAAGAACCCTGCAACGACAGTAACCCTGGCATAAAGGCAACGGTATTCACAGGAGAGTGAAAACAATAATTACTATCTTTTCAATACTGTATCATCATTACTACAGCTCCATATAATGTCACAAAGAACATTTTATTGCACTCAACTATGTTCGGGTGTTCTGCATTGAATTAACTGGGTAGATAATGTGGACCTGCTGCCAATATGCTACAATGTTTTACTAAATGAGGTACTGAAGGACTTTTGTCCCTTTTGTTACTTCCTGTTGCCAGTAGGTGGCGCTATCATTATATCTGAATATTGCCATGTAGACGTGTTCAGGGCGGGACTCTCATCAAACGTGAAGTTTTGTTGAGATTGGACATTGTACACTATCATAAAATATCATCAACAACATGGTTTGCATTTTCTGTCGTAAATAGCACAACTTTTAATCATGAATGTCTTTAGATGGCGCTGATTAAATTTGAAGTCGATCCGATAAATTCCCTAGGAGGAGTTTGTTCAAATACAACATGTGCAAATTGCCAGAAATGACCGCTAAATCAAAAACGACTTCCTGTTGGGTTTGGGATATGGCGCCCACTGCATTTCTTGTACATCAGGATAAGATCTACGAGTGTGCCGGCATATCGGTGCCCCAAGTGGTACAGTTTATGGGCCCCTGAGGGGCCATTTTGCCATGCTCATAGTGGACCCCTAGAAAGTACAAAAACTTTTCACCACGACATGTTTCATGAGTTTTCGAGCATGGGAAAGCCTCCAAAAATGCAATTCATTTGTTACTAAAATAATAATAATACTTACAGATACAATAGGGCCTTCACACGGTCAGTGCTCGGGCCCTGATAATGATGGTGAATTATGGCAACAAATGTGCTGTGAACATTACTTTCACAGCTAAAAGTTATAAATTGTAGGTTCCAGAATACATGAAAAATCATAAACAAATCAGTAAAAGAAAGAAGTTTACTGTATCACATTAATGTATTATTCAGCTAAAGAGCAACCCTAATCTGGTATATTTGTGAGGGGCTTTGCTGCAGTCTTTGCATGTGTTCCAGCATGGCTTCCTATGCTGAGACTAAAGGCCACAAACAACCACACATGTGTTTTGACTCTGGCTGATCAGACCTCCTGTCAGTACTGTGTGAGTGCGTACAGAACAGGTTTGATTGACATCTCCCTCACTTATGTGTTGCACCTGTCAGAGCGGGACACCGGTTGACTCTTTCAGGTATGTTAAGCAGTCTGTTGACCTCAACCTGAAAAGAGGCCTAGTCAGAAAGAAAAAAATTAAAACACCTGATCTACATATCAGCTGATACAAAACTCCAGTCTAATCCAGCAGCTCTACTGACCAGTGTAGACCAGGGCTCTCACAATATCAGGTTTGCATACACAATTATCATTCACAAAATCTATAGAACATTTAGAAGAAAAGAAGAAAAAAATTATATTAGTCAAGTTTATCTTTAACTTTTATTGTGTTTTGTCTCTTTTATGGCAAAAACAAGCATAGGGAGGTGAAGAGAGAGACTGTGACCATATCAGACTAATAGAACAACTGCACAGAGAGTGAACCAGGGTTATTGTAGTTAACTAAAACTAAACCTAGGTGTGAAAAATAATTTTAGTTAACCGGAATACAAATAAAACACTAGACTTTGGAAAACAAACTGAAACGATTTTGTGTACTTACAAAACTAACTAAAAGAAAAGAAAAATATACATGAAATGTCTTCAGTTTCCGTTTGGTCAAATTTGTCAACACAAGCATAAGGAGGCATTGGTCAACATGTTTACTGACACTGTGAGTCAATGTGTTTGTATTTTGATATGTATTCTGAATCTTGCCTGACAAATACCCCCATATTGTAGTAAAAAACTGATACTCAAACTAACAAAAAACTCAACTGAAACAAAAAAAGTAGTTTGCAAACTAACAAAAATTAAAAGTGAAACTGAAACAAAAACTAATGAAAAATACAAATCTAAAATTACTCTAGTGTGAACCACTTAGTGAGAACTGAAAGACAGAAATCATTTAAGAGGCAATGGATTATAAACAGGCTATTATCATGTGTGTTATGAACATGATTTCAATATAACAATTTAAAATATCAGTTGTACCGTAGTGTTAATTTAGTCCTTAAAAATGAGAAAAATTTAACCTTTCCCATTAGAAAACTTGAACATCCCACAAAGACAGCAAATGAACTATTTTTCACACCCCAATCCAATCTGCACAACAGACCGAACAGCAGCATGGGTAATTGAGTGTCTCATGGCAATCTAAAACCTCTGCATTAATGACAATCCTTCCTGTCACCTCAGGTGGCTGCACCTCTGAAGGGTTACATAATTACATGTTTTCCAGAGAAAAGTGAAAGGATCCTCTTTTCACCAGAGGAGGGGCTTCCTGCTGATAAAAACAGATGATAGATGGAAGGGCTCATGCTGTGAGTGACAATAAGAGTGAGCCCAAAAGTGGGGATAGGGTAGGTATAAATGTGTGTAGTGTGGGTGGATATTATAGCAACATCAAACACCACACAACCATTACGTGTCTCATAGAGTGTCTCAGCTTCAGTGGTCCTTGTCCTGCTGTCTGTCTGCATCCTAACAGCCTGCCGTCGTTTGAGGGATGAAAGAGGAGGAAACTTACTTCCCATGAAGGTTCAGTGGTGTTTAGATCTGGTGGTTGGGGAGGAAGAGTCTGACAGTATCCTTCTTTCATGAAACTTCTCTTTTATTTGGTTAGCAGTGGGAATGGAAACATTATCTTGGAATCTCATACCTTATCTATCTAACCTCATATGTTAATGCAAGCTCATTTTTGCATTTTGGACAACAACTCTGCTGTATTTGCATTAATATAACAGGGGAATATGTCTCATACCTAGTGCTCCTAGTCCTTTTCACTGCTTATTAGGAGCACTGCAACAAGCCTGCCCTTTGGCTCAGACTCCTTTGTTTGTGGATGCATTTTATCTGTGTACAAGTTAACATAAGTAGAAAGAAAGACATTAAGAAGCATACTGGGATTATTTTGACAGATACTGCAATTGCGATATGATTCACAATTAGTGGGATTTTGCATGACAATTTGAATTTTCACTGAAAGCAACTATGAAAACTTTGATAATGTGACATTTGTTGAGGTCTGTATGAAACAAAACCTGTTATCAAACTTTTAAAATCTGTGCTTTCCCTTTGACATTTCCAACTTTGTTAAGTTGTTCAGGTACGTCAGTCAAACTTGCCATGTTTAATCATTTTGAGACTACTAGGGGCTGGCTATCATTTGAAATATTTCATACCAGGGCCAATACAATGCTTGCATTTCAGTACCAATACCAAAACAGTGGGGTTTTTTAATATACACTAAGGGATATAAAAATTGTTTTCTACAAAAGCCTTTTCTCTATAATTGATTTTTGGGGCTGTTTTTTGTAATGCACCAACTCATGAGGGAAATATCTGGCTTTTTAACTGCTAAATGCTCCGCTGTGTTCACTAGCTAGTCGCCAACTATGTCTGTCTGTCTGTCTGTGCAGTGTACAGTGGGTTTTTAGAGCAGCTAAACAATGCGCTGAAACTCATTATAAAGCTCAGTAAAGCCGAGGGGAGCTGCAGATTCAGGTTATAATTCTCCGATGGTTCATCACTACCAGATCTTAACAACATTTGATATATTATAGTAAAAATATCATTTATAGCCACATTAACAAAATATGTCAAATATATCCATTTAATTCATGATTCATTTTGTCTTACACAAAGCAGCATCACAAGAACTCAATAAAATATTGTGCAGAATTAGCAGGATTATTATTTAAATAAGGAAATACCCAGTTATAGAATATGTAACCAACACTAGAAGTCTGACCAGATATTCAATGCCAACTTTCTGCAGTTTATAGTTTTCAATACTTGATGGTCAATACCAGAAAAGTACTCAAGTATGAATCCCAGCCCTCTGTTGTTGTTTCATGCTCCTTACACCAGGGTGCTGTTCTGGAGAGGAGGCAAAACAACCAGACTTCTGACAAAAGCCTTGATTTAAGTAAACCTCTGGGTCGTTCCACAAAGGCGACTCATGCATAAAGTAATGAGACTCGCTTAGGCTTGTGCTGAACGATCCAGATAAGTGCATATTCACAGTTTAAGACACACAAACGAGATGTTGAGTACAGAATAGATCAGTGCAGCAACAACAAAGACAGACACATGCAGGCGTTTTGTTGCAGGGGAACTGGTGAGCAGAGGTAGTAAACTGGGACCAAGGCATCACTCTAAAGGTATTGCACCCAGCTGAATGCGCCCAGATAATTACATCTCCCCCCCACCGGCATGTACATTGTACCCATCAACATTAGATCTCATGTTTGCACCTTTCTTCCTTCAAGGTAGAACACACTGATACATCAGACCAGGTAATCTTAATCTTTGGGTCATTTGGGAAAAGTCTGTGGTTATTAGCAGTCCTAATGTTATGAATATGACTTGTTATGGGCCGAGCCATCCAACGTCACCAACGCTCGGCTACAAAAGGGCTGCCTCCCACGTGGCAGATGTGCTGGTGAGGTGTCTCGTGCTCAGGTCCAGTTATCGTGCATGTTTGAGGTCGAAACGCCCAGCAACTCCACTCGCCTTGGTGATGTAAAGACCGGACCATCTGCCATCCACGACCAAGCATCTATTCAAAGTCTATGAGATAATGCTCCGAGCCCACTCCTCACTCATAATGCAAGTGTGGAGATTGAGTTGCGCGTACACACACACACGCAGGTTTATGCAGCGACACACACAAATATCAGGGAGGGCCCACTTCTTCTGCAAGACAAGGAGTTTTTATTTTTAAGATATCTCCCCTTCACACCCAAACTAGAGGTTTTCACATATCGCCTTGAAGAGCCACACCAGAACGTATTGTCACTAAGTTGCTGTGTGACATTAATCCTAATAATGGCTGCTATGTGTTGCAAGATTTTAATGTGGCATTTTTGCCATTTTGTCCACTCCATGTTGCAGGCTGAATGTGACTTCTCCCTGTCAGTATCTGCTGTCAACAAGTGTGTGTGTGTGTGTGTGTGTGTGTTGTAAGCTTCTTATGGGGACGAGTAAATCTGCCCTGACTCATCCAGACCTGCTGGGTTGGAGACACACCCCCCCCCACACACACACACACACAATCTGTCCCAAACTGTCATGTTAAAACCGGCGATATCGGGGCAAAAATAGGACAGCGTTAAAACTGCTGCCAGGGGAAAAGATTACCGGTGAACGTTATGCAACGTCTGACATTAGCAGCAAGCGTTATCTACTAGGCACTGAGATAACGTAAGCTAGGTCAAATCAGCCTTGTATCACGGGCTATTCATGCGCTATAAACGCTCGGACTGGAGTGACTGGTGTGTACTGTCCGACAGCCAGGCAGGCACCCACACAGTGCAAAATAAAAGACCACTTGTTGATGAATAACGTTAGTTTCGTTACCGTCAACACACGCTACCAGTTATTCCCCGACACTTTAAAGTCGCAGTGTCGAGCCCAAACGCCACAGTCTTCTTTTAGCGTGTGTGCAAACACCCGAGCAGACAAACAAATCAAGGCATTAACTAAACGTTAGTTTGCTAACTGTAAGTTAGCTGTTAGCTAGCTTCGCGTTAGCTTGTCTGTTAGCGTTACCTCGCTCGTAGAGCCCGCTGAATTTCCGAGTGGTCGAGCCGCGTCGAAATATTCCCAAAACATTGCTGGAAAGATTTCTATTGTGGCATAGCTCAGGAAACAAGTTTCAAGCAGAGTGTCAAGGAAATGCCTGAACATAAAATACATTAAACTGCCTTTGCCTTGTACCGACGATATATCCTTTGAACTAGAAAAAATGTTGCATTCAATGTCCCTCGTACACATCAGATTCTCTCCGACATCTGTCGCGCCTCTAAGTGCGTTTACTCGGAGATAAAATGTGTTGGTAGGGGTTTTTTAATGTAGAATGTATGACGCACATGTCTTTGATTTGCGATGTGAAGATAAAAAAAACTGGGGCTTTAGTTACACATTTTAGTATTATTATAACAGTATCTAAAAAAAACTGTGACATGAGAAAACAATGAATTTTTTTTGCTGATAATTAAAGGTTGTGCAATACTGCAATACGTCATCGTTTCCCTCGTTCACGCGCCTTGCATGTTGTTCTAGTTTAAACGTAACGTTACATCTCAGCACCTCCTGTAAGAGGCGATTACCACCTGTTGGCTCGTTGTGTGTGCAGTCACATTTCCAACACTTCAGAAAGCACTAAAATGTGTCATTAAACTCACGCTGAGATCACTTCCTCTCTTGTTTCTGTGGTTGTTGTGTTTATTATTTTGTTGTCACTTTAACACGCAGTTACAAAATTCCCCCGAGTAAAAATAGCAGCGTGTGTCTCTAACTTATGGCTTACTGTTGATTTCGCTAGTGTGGGTTTACAACGTGTTACTATCCGTCAATTTATAACTAGATAGCTTGCCAAGTTAATTAAAACATTACATACATTTATTTTACTTAATGCAGTTACATCAGCTAATACAAGATGAATGGATACATTGTCTGGTCATTTGATGTGGTGCCAGTAAAGGAGAGAAGCAGAGCCACTGTGTGAAACTGTATTTGGCACCTGTTGATAAAATCATGTAAAGAATGAAAGCAAGGAGGTGTGTGGGGGAGGCAGCTTATAATGCCTGAGCATTATCCCAGCATGCACTGGGCTTGAAGAAGGGTCTATCACAGTGCTATCTCACACAAGGTACATACTTTTTTTTCCTATATTTGATTCAAAGCATTTAGTGGAATTGTAACTCAATAACTCACAAACCCATTCATTCACATTTCACAGGCTGCAGATTGTCCGCAGGGGGAGCTGTTCGGTTATTGTCAACAACTACCACCTTATAGCTTAAGAGCATATGAATCCCTCCATGTGTTGGCTTTGAGGAGAGCGACTGAAACACAGTTTGTTTCTTGTAAATGAAGGATTCTTGTGTTGGTGATTGTTGGAACAAAGGAAAGACTAACAAAGGTTTGAATGAAGTTACAATGATTTGCAAGGTAAAATTACCCTTTTTGTCAATGGAGTCTGTTGGCCAGCGATAGCAATATAACAACTGTTGCTGACAACAAAAAAATGATCTTATTCTTTAAGAAAAAGGTCTATCTCTGTAGGGATCCTTTCCTCAACACTAAGAATAATCTAAGAAAACAAACACTGTTAGTAGGTGTGCTTGACCAGTGCATTTGTCCCCAAGAATTACATCCCGTTCAGCAAATATTTTTTACATATAACTGAATTTAGGTTTTTTTCCCCAACCAAACCAGTGTTTGTGATTATTGGAACAGTGGAAAGATGATTTTGGTGACTTTTATTTTGTTTCTGTCCAGTTTGAAGTGCGACAACTAGTGGCAGCAAATGTATATATTTTTTTATGTCACCCCCGACAGGCAAAATCATGAACACCAGATTGTTTTGGACTTTCAAACTCATGTCAGTTAACATAACTAGGACAGGTTTTTATCACTTAAAAAAATGAAAGAATAGAGGATTTATATTACAAGCTGATTCTGAGAAACTGGTTTGTGAATTAATCTAAACAAGACAACTGAAACCCTCACTTTGCTGGTTCACCCTGACAAACAACAGTAAGTAAGTACACTTTCCTTATAAAATCGCCTTTATAAGGAAAGGAGAAGAAATAACAAGGAACATAAAATAATAAAAACTACACAGAAGTTGAACACACAAACAATAAAAGCAATAAAACTGCAAACAAAGCAATACACCTTACAGGACAAAGTGCTTACAGGACAGATGAGTTTTTAACAGCTTTTTTAAAATTGTGTCTAAGTCTGCGTTGTTTAGAACTAGGGGCAAGAGGGTTCCAGTGGGTAAGAGCCACAACTGAAAGGCTCTGTCACTTTTGGTTCTGAGCCTGGCTTTCAGGACAGCCAGAAGGTCTTAGACCTCAGTGATCTCACCGCAGACAGGGGCTGCGGTAATCCTGAAATATAAGGTGGTGCCAGCCCATGCAGTGCTTTATAGGTCATTAAAAGATTTTTTAAATCAGTTCTGCATTCAATGAGTAACCATTGTAGACTGGACAACACTGGCATAATGATTTATTGTTTTTTTCCCTTTTCTCTTCCAACTTTATTTATTTTGCATAGCAGTTTTTGTAAATGGTACAAAACCTCTGTTGTGATTTTTCTTTTTTTAGTATTATTTTTTGATAGAGAGAGATAGACAGGAAAGGGGGGCAGAGATAGGGGATGACATACAGCAAAGAGCCACAGGTCGGATTCAAACCCAATCCGCTGCGTATATGGGTTGCCAGCTCTACCGACTGAGCTTTGGCCTTTGTTGTAATTTTTTTATGAAGGAAGACATCATTAGCAACATTAAACAATATCTTCTCTGCAGACACCTACAGTAGAAACAATAGAAACTGAAAGCATGTTTTCAGATAAACCACCAAGTGGCAGCATATCCAGCAGTTTCACACTACCATCAACCAGCCCCCAGCAAATTCTAGTTTAACTCTTTGTACACAATTTGTTGCTATCTGGTGTGAAGACTGTAAAGTAAACATATGGCTAATCTCATTTGAACCATTTTAAATACAGTCCATACAATTCCGTTGTTAATTTGCACATATACTGTATGTTTGTTGACCTATAAAGGATAAGACATAAATACAAGCATAACTTTAAATAACACATTTAGCAGGTGTAATAGACACATTGAAGGCTGATAAGTGTTTAAGGGAGACTTACAAAAGACCTACAAAAGCTGCCCAATATGTGTATATTATATCACATTATCATTGAATAAAGAAACTATAAGAAGAAACTTGTTGCTGCAAACATTTTTGGCAGCCAATCAGAGAATAGTATGAGTCCTAATGGGATTCTGACATTCAGCTGAGAAACATTAAAGACTATTCAGGCCTTAATGTGAGGCATTCAAAGACCAGAGGGTGATTATTTATAGACTGGTGGTGCTGGATTGACTTGGTGGATGAGTGACTCATCATAGCCAAGGGAGAAATATGCAGTATTTAGATTCCCCCTCTGAATGTCTTCTGCAGCTTTACAATGTTCTCAATAAGCTGCAGGTTTGAGAATATTCAGCAAGTTCTTGTTAATCTGTGGAGTAAGGTTTGTGCAGAAATGACTGATTCCATTTCAGCCCCTCTCATGTTATTTGATGTGTAATATAAAACATAGTCTCTGTGACGTCAACCATAGGTCTCTGAGGAGCCGTTGTGAAGCCCAGTGTGGTTGGCTCTGGCCGTCGCCATCTTGGAAGTCCTGACTCTGTCAGCTCCCTGCCAATCCAAAAATGGGAGGTGGACAGTCCACCTTTACAGCTTCGTTATGTTTGTCACAGACTCACATACACACTCTTGCAAACTTCCCAACTTCAAGTTGGAACTTCTAGTTCATTTATAGACTAACGTTAGTTTTTTACTACTGCTGATCACATTTTCTCATCAAAAATAAGATTAAGTATCATAAACCTTTGGTCGCTGAGGACCTTATTTTCTGCAATAATCCAAAATCCAATGGAAAAATTCCATTTCCTTTTTGTCAAAGGAACCAGGGCGATGCTAACTTCCGGGTTTGCCTACAAAAATACGCCATCCAGTGTAGGAGGATCTATTGGCAAAAATGGAATATAATATTCATAGGTATGTTTTCATCAATGTATAATTACCGGAATATAGGAATTGGTTTTGTTACCTTAGAATTAGCCATTTTAATCTACAGACCACGCAGGTCACCTTCCATGCAGTCTGCCATGTTGAACCGCCATGTTAGCAGTAGCCAAGAACGGACAAACCAAACACTGAATGTTGATAGGACCTTTCATGTTTTTCATGAGTTTCACAGCCAATGCAGTTTCTCCTACACGCTTCACAGCCCATTTTCATTCCCATGTCGTCAAATACAGACACGAGCGGTGTTCAGTTAGTTGCAATCTGCAGCTTCACTGCTAGATGCCACTAAATCCTACACACTGGTCCTATACAAGGACTACTGAGTCCTGACTTGGGTCCCCAAGAAGAAACTACTTTAAGAAACAACTATCAAAGCAAAACTTTTTTTTTCTTCTCAAAACATTATAAGTTACGTAATAAATTAATGAAAAAACCCAGATTATGATTATTTTTGGAAAGTGAGTTAATTTGCATACTGTGTAAAACAAAAATAGTCAGAGCACATTAGGAAATCTGCTGAGTGGCCCTGATGGTGTGTGATACTTTAAATTGTGGCAAACATGAACTCAATAAATAGTTCCATCTGTTAAAACTGCATAAGCAGAGTGCTTTTGACTGGGGTCCCCAATGCATTGGTATTTTTAAATAGCACTTATTAAAACAGAAAAAAAGTATATGAAGTCATGAGGAACAGATTGGCTGACATAGTCACGAAAAGTGGAATGATAGAGCAATGCACCAGTGAGATATGACAAAAGGTAAACCTCCGAGGTCTGCGGGTACCTCTGTCAGTAGGATTAAGGTTACAGAAGCTAAAACACTTTGTAGAGCTGAAACTGCAGAGTTGGGTGATAATTCTCACTACAAGCATTTTATATTGCACACAATGACTGAATCCATTATTGATGAAAAAATATTTAATAGCAGCTTTAAGCTTTTCTGATTCCTATAGACATTTAGTTTACAACTAGAAAGAAGGGGGAAAGAGAATAAAGGAGAAGGAGAAAAGATTTCATAAATTCTTAAAATACATTTCTTAATAATTGCCAAAGAAACAGCCACAAAGATCCACTGCAACACAATAACAAGGTTCTTCTCTGTTCTATACTGGAGAGAGATGTTCAAATGATCAGAGGAAATATATAGCTCTTTTAAGACAGTACTGTTCCTCTTTAAAGACAGTACAGTACTGTGTTGTACAGTAACCTCTGGTCACAACTGTTGTCAGCTACTCTTATTACATTACAGCCTGTGGGCACATTTCATTTCTAAAAGGAAACCACCCTTCTTCCCTCTATCCAGCCCACTTTCTCTATTCCATCGCCCGCCTCAGCTACCCTTTGTGAATCAGAACACGACAGGAATCAGATGCTTTTTCTGACCACATCTTCCCACAATAGCAAGCGCGTCCCAGAGTGGGAAAGAGCATAGCGGGAAAGGAGGCAACGCAGGTTTTTGCTTTGAAGCCAGTCCCAGTTCCCTGCGGGTGCTCCCTCCCAGCCAAACACAACTGGAAAGTACCAACAGCCAGAAATTCCAGCCTGATATGTGTGCAGACAGAGCTGCAGCTTCCTCTCTGCTTTCTGGAGTGCTGAACTAAGAGAGATTGCACCATACTGCAGCAGTCAGATCAGTATTGGAAAGTGATTACAGAATTGAAAGCTGCCTGCATTTTGGAGTGGCCTTGATGTGGTTATCCTGCCACCCACTCAGTGCTGTAATCCACTGCTGCAGGAAATTCAGATGGGTGTCATTTCAGTGAGACATTCACTGGGTAAATTAGTACAGGATTTGAATGTGATAGCTGATGGTGGAGTTATAGGCATACTGTGTGATAGTTTAAAGTCCTGTATACCAATGTATTTATTACTCATCGTAGGCTTTTTAAATATTAAAACTGTTTAATGTTGTTTAATTGTTTTTTAACAATGTGTTAAATGTGTAATGTGAAAGAGGATGTTTGAGTGCCTTGACTTTGCACTTCCCCTCATTGTCTTGAATTTTCCAGCCCACAAATGTACTACTTTGGTTAAGTCTGTGTCCTCATCAATGTTGTTTCCAGCCGCAGCAGACAGCTGCTCGCTTTAGCTGATAAACCCACTGTACACCACCTGCTCAGTACCAAGCAACAGACTGACAAAGCTAGCAGCTAGCTGGTGAACACAGTGGAGCATTTCTATTTCTCAGCAGTAAAAGTAGATAAAGGCGATTAAATAGGTAAAAAGATGAGTGATTGTTGGACTTGAGACTTGTGTTGAGTCACCAGAAACATGACTCCAAATGAATGCTAATGTTGCTAATGTGGCAAATCTTTTGTACAAGCAACTTGTACAATACGGTTGTCAAAGAAAGGCAGCGCAGTAAAAAGTACAATACTTCTCTCTGAAATGTATTGAAGTACAAAGTGTTGGAAAATGTTGAAACTCGCAAAGAATCATGCTTAAAGCTGCATTAATAGATTTTTTGGGCGCACATCATTTACAGTATTATCAAGTTGTTGTAACCAGACTATGTTTGCACATCCAGAAGACGTAAAGCAAAATTAGCATTCATTTTAAGTTGTGTTTCAGGCCAGTTAGGGTAGTAGGATGAATATATTCACTCTACTTTTAGCTCTGCTTTGGTCTCCACCAATTCCTGAGGGAAATATTGATCCACTGTATTCAACAGCTGGCCGCTAACTTTGCTGTTTGACGTTCAACCAAAGTAAGCTAAAAGAGGCTGACTGAAACTGCAGAGTTGGGTGGTAATTCTATCAATTTGTCTCTATGAGCAACCCCATTCACATTACACCTAGCCATCTGATCCATTGCAAAAATAATTATATGCGAACCTTTAAGTACAGTATTTGAGCAAATGTATTACTTTACACCTAATTCATTAACAGGCAGGGGTCTAAAAGGAGACCATATCACTCATCATATATTATCCCAGGGTTTCTGCAGGTTTCAACTGGATGCATTTATGACCTTCTTAAGACAATTATGAATGCAGTTTTAGACCTATTTTACGTCCACATTGGCCAAAACAATACAAAGGATGTGAAGGAAACTCGATGGTGGTTCCATGCCGGTTTCATTTTGCAGTTGTTACAGCATGATCACTACAATTTTTTCCCAAAAACACATTTAAAAGCAAGACTAAAAAAGGCACCTTTATATAGTAACGTTAATCCAACCATTTTTAAGACCTGGCAAAGTCATAATGAAGACATTTTAAGGCCTAAAATTCAGATTATTGGATTTTAGACTTTCTAAGACCCTGTCTTAACACCCTGACTGAATGGTAGTGAGGGTTAAAAATAACTTATTTCACACAATTTTCGAATTTCTCACATTTCACACACAAATCCAGCTATTATTATAACCCATTCTGTACAGTTCTTTTCATATAAGCATCCCTCAAATAACAACAAAGCAAAGGATTTCGTATTTTCTTTTTTTTGCTTTTATTTTTGCAAATAGGAAAATAGCATTTCTGGTATTCAAAAAAAACAAACAAAAAAACAGCCTGTGTTCAACCAGATACACAGACAGGATTGAGAGAGAAACAGAAGAAGAGAGACAGAGAGAGAGAGAATTGGATGACGATGATTAGGGAATACAGGTCTGGATGTAGGTCAGTAGAAGCAGCCTGGGGAGGCTCAGACACAAAGACAGCGCTGGTTCAGACAGATAAACACGTCTGCCCGTCTGTCTGCTTTGAACGGGTTTCTACATTACTAAGCATGGTTTAAAGAGTGAACTCTAATGTATCCTTAATGCTACAAGACAAAGATATATGCATGATTGCTGTATAAATGTGCACTGCTACATGCAGAAGTGCTCTACTTTTGAGTTCATCCAAAAGCACCAATGTTGCTTGAGCTAAGTTAAGATCGCCAGTAGCCTAACGGTTTGTAGTAGTAAAGTGTCTGCTGGTTCAACAGAGACAATCCAGTTATGTGAAGCGTTATGCTGTCAGTTATACAGTCTCTTCACATGAAGCACTGGTAGGTTAACAAGCACCAAGTGTTGAGATCAAAGAATAAATGATAATAGTGTCTGCACTGCGCAGTGCAGTTTAACCTTCCTTAGAAAAGACAATTTTTTTGGCATTTTAAGGTTCCGATACATTTTACGGAACTGCCATAAGAGCACAATGACCGTTTCTCACTTTCCACTAACACAAGTGCACTTGAGACCAGCAGACTCAGCTTAATGGTTTGTGAATGGTAGAGTGGGACTCCAAATCCCAGACCATAATCAGTCTGACATTCCACAGATTGATCACGCTACAATCAAACTCACATAACAGACCAAAAACCTCTCCGGATACACGACTGAATAGCTTAATGCACTGATTGAAAATCCTCTGATAAAAAAAACATCTATATAAAGGCTACAAGCTGTACACGTTCAGTACATATTATATTGAGTATGCTAATACAGATGATTGAATAGATGTTAGCTGCCTTTCCAGCTGTTTAACCTATTAGCTTTTCTTGCTGCTATAACCAACAGAGAAATGTCTTACAGTAAGTGCTACTGTAAAGAAAAAAGAGCAGTGTTTCACGTCACTTTTGCACCATTGAGCCAAAACGTAACATATATACCGAGTCGTTTTCTAGGCCACATAAGTCGGCTGCACAATGATTTCAAGAGAGTTTCAGAGAACAAAGAGCTTATATACTGTCACGCACCGAGGATGTCGTTTTTCATGCTCTCACAGGGCCAGAACAGGGATTTCTGGTTTGGCAACCCCCGGTTCAGAATCACAGTTAAATAAGAGCAGTCATATGATAACAGTAGGATCAAGTGAGGTTTTGTGATACGGACAAAGGCATCGATAGAGATTAGGGCATAGTGGGGCTGAGAAAAGGCATACAGGTCAAAACAGGGTGGATTATGATTGGACGAATGCAATAAAAGGCAAGGGCTGGATGCGAACAAACATCGAAAGTTTTTCTCAGCCAAATTGGGAGCAAAGCCACAAGTTTAGTTTGACAAAAACAATATCTCAGCATTAGCTCCAAATATCAAGAGTCATACAGTTCAGTCAGGGTGAGCTGTATCTCTGAGAGTGTCTAGAGGAGATTCTGCTGCTTTAATTTCACTTTGTGTGAACATGTCCATTGCAAGCCTTCTGTTTAGAACACATGGCGTACATGTGACTCTAAATTTTTACAATGTACAAAAACACGGGGAAGCTTTATGTGTGTGGACCCTGAAGTTTGGCTTTGAGGAAGAAGGGCGATCACAAAATTAGAGAGAAGATTATAGAATTACAGACACTCCTATTACTGGTTGCCACCCTACTTCCAACAGCACCTGGTAGCTTGGTAACAGGAACAGCAGTGCACACATTGGCTGCAAGAGGGGCCTCTGTAAAACTGTCTCTTGTATGTTTTTGTCTGTGTGTGTGTGTGTGTGTGTGTGTGTGTGTGTGTGTGTGTGTGTGTGTGAGGCCAGGAAATCCACTTTCAGCTGTCTTTTTCCTGAGGGGGCTTTCATTCAGTATAGGAGGAGCTGCTCAGAAGAAACAGTGAAAGATAAACAACGGGGAGGAGAGAGAAGAAGAAAACTATGATGGGACAACAGCAGCCAGCTCTCAAGATTCTTCTGAAAGTTCTGCTTGTGAAGCACCAAAGGTCCTGAGGGAGCCCCTGGCCCCCCTGAGCTGATCGAAGGCAGGCCAGGCTGGGTGGGCGCAGGGCAGGGTTTTAGGCCAGCTGAAGGTGTCTCACACAGTGGCTCTGATAATCCTGCTGGGTCTGGAGCTGCGGTGGACCTTCGTGTGTTTGGATAAGTGGTCACTGCGGGCGAACTTCTTCTCGCACAGCGAGCACTCGTACGGCTTGATGCCGGAGTGAGAGCGGCGGTGACGAGATAGTTCGTCCGATCGGGAGAACCTGGCGGCACAAGAGCAGGCGGGTGGAGTAAGGAACACAGTAACACCAAGCTTTTTCACATTAGCCCACTGAGTAATTTATCTAATTGATGAGAACGCAGGCACCAACACTGCCCACATCGGAAATACTACTCTGGACCCCTGTGACATAATTCACACATAATAATGGACTTCTTGTGGACCACTAGAGTCATCAGTCTTGCCTTACTAGTGATGACTGCACTGGTCAAACTTTAACCAAGACGGTGGCTGTATCTGAAATCATGCCCTATTTATTTACAGCCATTTAATTTTATGCACTACATAGCAGAAGTGTGGATGACATTAGACCCAACAAAATTAAACTAGCAACTCGACTTGGACTTTAAGATCAGTGACTCATGACTTCACTTGGACTTGAGCCTTTTGATTTGAAAATACTAGCTTCCCACCAAGGCTAAAGATTAGGTATTCAATTCAATTCAATTCAATATAATTCAATTCAATTCAATTTTATTCAATTAAATTTTATTTGTATAGCTCCAATTCATAACAGAAGTTATCTCAGGACACTTTTCAAATAGAGCAGGTCTAGACCGTACTCCTTTTAAAGTATTTACAGAGACCCAACAGTTCCCACCATGAGCAAGCACTTGGCGATGGCGGCAAGGAAAAACTTCCTTTTAAGAGGCAGATACCTCTGGCTCTAGGTGTGTGGCCGTCTGCCTTGACCAGTTGGGGTGAAAGAGAGAGAGAGCGCAGAGGTAACGTGAAGGTATGTGTGTCACAAATCAATTCATTTAGTTTAAGAGCGAGGGAGAAATGTTCTGAAATGTATGAATTGAGTTTTACGTACTAGTTTTTCATCTCTAAAGTTTTTATTATGATTCAGCCTTTACACGGGACAGTGTAAGCAGATGAAGTGTGTTAGCATGGAAAGGTAATTCTGTAAAAAATGATTTGTGAAGTGATTACTCAATTAATCAATTAGTTGACTCCCTGCTTTTTTCTGTTTCATGTAACTGCAAACTGAATTAAATATATGAATATATTTAGGTTTTGGACTGTTACGCATGACAAAGAATTTGATGGCGTCATCATATCTTATTGCGATATTTTGTTTTGTGATATTGTATCAATTCTCAAAAACACTGTATTGATTTTTGTGACTGAACCCTGAATCGCTAGATAGCTAATGATGTTGTATGTTACAGGGATTTTTTGTTTTTTGAGCAAATTTTAAGCATATTCTGGACAGTTTTTGTCAAATTAGATTAAAATAATAGTAAGCCATGCTCACAATATTGTAATATATCGCAATATATTGAATCGTAACCTCTGTATTGTGATACATATCTTATCTCCAGACTCTTCTCAGTACACAGCCCTACATAGAATAGTTCCGATACCAGTAACGGAAATTCCTCCGTATCAGCGAGTAATTTATTAGCCCCGCAAAGGGACCCAGGATACGAAGGACTGACCTGCCCTACTCAGACTCTGACAAGGGTTTAACCTGAGTCAACAACGATAGCAGTCATACAGGTTTGTTAAAAAAAAGTTCAGGAATCAGTATCTATATCAGAAAGGAAAAAAATGGTATCCAAGCATCTCTATTCTGACATTTAATAGACTCCATTATCAATCAAGAACATAACTGAGAAATTAAAAAGATACATAAAAAGGATCAATAGTTGCAGCTCTACTAGAACTAGTTTTATACAGTGTTAGCACAAGAGTTCCACTATTAGACTGCTATCGGAGGGTACAGGCAATATATTGCAAAACCTGGCAAAAAAGTTGAACCCAGCTCAACTTTTGGTGCAACTTAAGGTGACATCATCCAGGAAGGCATTTTTCCACACAAATATGCACACCTACATTCCAGGTAGATCATAATCACCGAGGATAAAATGAATGTTACTATAATAAAGTTCCAGAGTTGTAAAATCTTTCCTCATAGTATTACAAACCACTGTGCAGTGTTTTGGCATCTAGTAGTCCTTCCAACTCATGGATCTGCCAATGCAACTGGACTTCCTGGATCATGTTTCATCACTTGTAATTGATGCAATCAGTGCAGCCCCTTGCTCCAACCAGTGGGAAGATCTCCCAAAATATTGGTGTATTCTTTTAATATTAAACTATTTACTGTGAAAGATGATATCATGCCACATACCTCCAGCCACACTCAGGCCAGCTACACGTGTAGGGTTTCTCTCCCGTATGCCGGCGGAAGTGAGCTTTCAGATGGCTGCTTTTGGTGTACATCTTCCCACAGCCTGGGTGGGAGCACTTATGGACCCTCTCTGTCGGCGGCACTCTGGTCACCCGGGGGGCCACGGCCTTCAACAGGCCATTGCCCTGGCCCCCAACCCCAGTCACACCCGTGATCTCATAGGTCCTCATAGTGATGGGCAGAGGGGCGATCTTCACGTACTTCTGGTCAGCTGACTTTGTATCGCCACTGTTTAGTGATATCAGGGTGGTGGGGGTGGAGGGCACCTGCGGGGCCAGCAGGGTGACATTTTGTCCTGTTCCACCCTGGAGCCCCATGATCAGATGAGTGAGCCAAATGCCACTCTGGGCTCCAGGAGAAGTGCCTGCGGGGGTCTGGGGCTGGGCCAGAGGTAGGGGCTGGAGCTGGAGAACCAGCGGACCGCCCAGGAGCACTGGCGGGGTTAGGGCGGATGGTGAGAGCTTAACTCGGGCTGAAGGGGAAGGGGCAGTTGGGCTGGGGCTGTTTTGCTCACTCTGGGGCGTGTTTGGGCTTGAAGTGCAATGGGAGCTACTAGTCCCTGGGTCACTGCTAGTCTCTGCAGAAGCAGCACGGGGGGCAGAGGCAGATGGAGAGCCACTGCATGGTAGAGGGGATGCCTCCTCTTTTGGGGCCAGTAGTCCCTCTTTGACCAGTTCCATCTTTTCCCTCAAGAACTCCTCTATGTCCTCCAGGGTTGGGGAGAACGGGGAAGAGGGATGGAAAGGGAATTCTGGCAGCTTAGGCTCCTGACTCGCAGGTTCCTCCTCTTCCTCTGCTCCAAGAAAAATATGCAGACGTGCCCCCTCATCTTCATCTTCTTCCTCCTCATCATCTTCCTCCTCTCCAGGGCTGGAGCTGTGCATGGCCCCCAGCTCCCCGGCCTCGGGGCTGTCACAGGAGGCCAAACTGCCTCCCTCACTGCGGGCTCCGTCTCCCAGGCCGAGGGAGAACGGGCTGCTGCTTTCCCTGAAAAGGTCATTCTCCAAACTCAGCGTTCTGCTGCTGAGAGACACCATTGATCCAGGCCGAACGCAGAAGAGAGGATGTTGAGGAAACACTATCCAGAAGTGGAGTCACAAAAACCTGCAAAGGCAACATTGAGATTGGATTTTATTACCCAGCAGAGAGTAAAAGTGCATGAAGAGCTATTTATTTACTGGATATTAAACTTTAAAGGTAGATGCTACAGGATACCTTTGGTAGCATATTTAAGAAGTCATTTATTCCACTGGCAATTGGTTTGTTACATTCTTAGACACCCAATTTAATCATGTTGATGCACTCTGCAATTGAACTGTGTTCTGCTGTTATACATTAGAAAACAAAGTCTTCACACATCTAGTACAAGATCTAGAACGTTGTTTTTTGTAATAATAATACATTTTGATGAAGAAATCTTGTAAAGTGATAACATAGTACATCCAACACACCATGATACAATGTTTATATGGGGCCCCTCTACAAGACAAAAAAAATTTAACTTGAAAGGCTCATTTTCATCTGTAGTTCCCTGGCAGGCAATAGCTGAAAGCACACAGAAGTCAAGAATAAAAGCACCAAACATACAATCCACAATAAAGTGAAATAAATATGCAAATACAAACAGAGCCTCTATTATAGACAGGAGTGACAACAGTAACTTTAGTTGTTATTGTACTTTTGTACGCTCTTTAACAAATTTGCTATTAATCCGATAACCAAAACCAAGTGATATATAATCAGCCAGGGGCTTTTGTGCCCCGGAAAACCAGTTTCACCTTGTTGGTAATCCAGTGTTGAACCAGCTCTACCCAGAGTTACAGCCAACCACTTCATTTTGACATTTAATATCCCCTCTTTGTTGTCAAATATAGTCCCCCCCCCGAAGGAATATCCCCCTGAGCCTTGTATGATTATTTCTTTTTAAATGGCAGGCTTCATCTGTGGCCCACAATAGCCTTTAAATTCTGGGCTGGTACTATTTAGTAAGGATGCACGATAATTATTTGGACAGATAAATGATAGTCCAATAGTGGGAAATTCATATTATTATAAATTACAGCCGATAAATTATATGAATAATAATTTATTCTGACTTTTTATGTAAAAGGATTGAAAGGCTTTATGTTCTATAAAAGCCATGTTTATGAAGATTTTGAATGAATATTTAAAGAGTCAGAACTGTTTGTTGCTGTGTTAATAGTAGTGAGGTCAGTTAGATTAGAACAGAGCTGTGGAATATTAAATCATCCATGTTTGCTCACTACATCTCAGCCTTTGTTGTCATCAGGAATGCATAAACTTATTTCTACAATACAAAAATGCAAAATTATCAGTTACCCTATTGGTACTGGCCATGAGAATGATTGGTTATCGTATCGGCTGGAAAAAAAGGTATGCTTGGGTTTAAGGGGTGAAAACTTAAAAAATATACACAGTAGTATGCATCTTGTTCATTTCTGTGAAAAAAACTAAATTAAATTATTTTTTCTTGAAGTTTAGACAGTTTAAATTGAATGTATGGTTGTTAAACAAATTAGAATGAATAGACCATACAGACAGACCGTTTATAAAAAGTTCCTAAAATATCTGCGTCCAAACTGCACAGTTTATCAGTTGTTCTCTGTTATTGTTATGCAAAGATTATCATATGATATATCCAGAAAACATGTCACATGGTCGTCAGTTTATGCAATGATAGAAAAAGGGTCCTTTGAGGAAAAAGGCTGGGAACCACTCATCTGAATAATATAGAACAATAAAATGGAAAATCCTTTGGTTTACAAGTACATTAAAAGTTCACTTTAATTAGCAGGCAGGGGCTGGGTGTATAAAGGATACAGCTCACATTTGGAAGCCAACAGAAAGTCCCTGTGTGCTGGTGTAAAGGGTGTTTGTTGCTGCTGTCAGACGGTCGGGCACATGTTGCAGCAGGGCCTCATACTTTACACAGTGCACGAACAAGGCTGTGGGTAAACACGGCCCGCACTGACGCGCCCATAACCGTACGGAGAGGAGAACTAACCCCGGGCCAACGATCGCCCTGTCACAGATTACTGCATTTGTGTGTTTGTAAAGGAGGAGCGCTCGACAACGTAGCAATCCGCCTGAATACAAGTGCGTCTGCACAGGAATCCACGAGTCTCAAGTTCGGCTGGGTCAAAAGAAAAATGTTCTATTTATAACGTTACTCCTCCGGATCGTCCGAGCAGCACGATCCCGGACATTTGGCTCGACCTACCGTGTGTGGTTCGCCCGCTGGAGAAGAGCAGCGCCGTCGATGGCTTCTTATATTCTCTGTTTTCTGTTTTCCTCCGTCGTGTTATTGTCGGAGCACACTCACATCCCGTCCTTGCCACGGGTCCATGTTGGCATTCCTTTTCCCAGCGTCACGTGACTGCATCGCTGCACAACTCGGAGGCACGGGTCCTATTCCGCGTCTCCCATTGGCCGAGCGCGGCGGAGGCTCGCCCTAAAAGGAGCGCTCCGATTGGCTGCCGCTCGATAAATTCTGACTGCCATGTGTTGATGGAGGGTTCCCTGTAGCGAGGCTGGCTACAATGTGGGACAGGGGGTGGACAGAATAATGGAAACGCTGATTCATTTAACACAATGTGATTAAGCTTTTTGTCCTGCAGCCTGGCAACCTGCAGCTGTCCTGAGGGGAAATCTACTGACAACATCCTGCTGCCCACTGGTGTAGTGGTGCCTTAAGAAGTGGGTATACTCTTAATTTATGCCCCAAACTATTATTTTAATCGGCCACCCAGCAAATGATGAGCTCCCTACTCCCACTGTGGCCTTAAATGTCCAATACTCTGTCTTATTATGTCACTAATACTGCAGTCTTCTAAGAATCTCTACATTAACATCATCAGTACTCACTATTATTATTCACTACACTTCTGTCGGTCACATACTGCAACACCCATTTACTTATATCTCTTTATATTGTATTATAATGTACATACTCAGACTATTGTTATATTTTTCTATTTTCTATTCTACGTATACTGTGTTAGATATTGTAATATAATTAGAGGGAGTTTAGAGACAGCTCCATATAATTGTGCATTTTTAGGGAAGTATTTCTTACTCTAGCTCATGAAAATTGGACAACTATTACATGCCTTTGCCATGCAAAAAAACTTGCAGAACACTACTGAATGATGCACGTAAGAGGGGATTTAGACGTAGGTATACCCAGTGAAAAATAAGTGGGTATAGTCCATATACCTGCATATACCCTGCACCACTGCTGCTGCCAAAGAACTACTTTTGGGTTTTTATAGTAGTCTGTGGAGCAATTGCACCCAGGAACCTGATGTTTGCTATCAAACAGATTTCTCTCTCCCTCAGTTCACACCAGGTGATGTTTCTTTTTGCCTGTATGGATACCTGTGGTTGCTGAAAGGAACCCCTCTAGGACGCCCTGTTGACCTCCTTTCACAAAGTGTCCAAGGATGCACTCAGTGATGAGTCACTATGAATGATGCACAATATACCCCCCACTTAGAGTCTGTAGTCTTTTTATTTTCTATGCTCATCAAATAAATATAAGCTACTATAAAACATTCAGCATAATCAGAGTCACTGTCACTGTTACTTTTTTGACTTGGAGTGGCTCTGACTTATGCAGGGGTCGCATGAAGCATGTCTCAGCTTTCCAGTCATTCCCAATTTATGCAATTCCAACGCTGTTTAGGAACACCAGCATGCAGAAATATTCAAATACACTGGGCCAAAATAAAAAATGTATACCACATGCAAAAAACTGCATGGTTTTTACCCAAAAATGAATGAGATTAGCATAAAGTGGGCATGTCTGCAAGAGTCACTGTTAAAGGGTCAAGTATAACACAAGTCTTAGAGCCAAAACATGTCATACTTGGATTGCTCTTATTCCAACACAGATAACAAGGTGCTCTCAAGTTTCTGTTGCAGCCTACTCTCCTTGGAATTTACAAACAAAAAGTAAAATATGACGCATGAGCTCATGCATCTGCATGCTAATACAGTAGAAATCACAGTAACTCCTTTTACCTGGAAACGGCAAGTCATTGCTTGTTGTCTTTGGGTCTTTGTTATAGATCATCAATGTGGACCAGGGCTGGATTAACCTGATACAGGGCTCGGAGGCAAAAATAAGCCCCTGTGTTTTCCAGCTTTTAAGTTGATTAAATACTGTTTTTTGAAATAATATGCACAATGTAGGCATAATATCAACTGAAAACTAAAAACCAAAGACAAAAGTAGTGAAAATGAGAAAGAAGCTATTATATATATTTGGAACAGCAAGTAGAGCACAAGTTGACAATACAGTGAAAAAATAAATAACTATTAACACTTTGTTTTACGTTCCCTCCCTTATTTAGCATTCATTATTATTATTATTATTATTAACATTATTAACATTATTAATACAAATATGTTCACATGAAAAAAAAATATAATATATATTTTATTACAGCTGTGTTTGTCATTCATTATCTGTTAATTATGCAGCCATTTATAGTTATCAAATACGTATATGTATGTGTATAGATATATATGCTATAGTCTCTGAAAGACAGTGTCGAAGAGGTTAGGATAATTGGGTGTAAGCTAATGTTAATAAAAGGTCCTTCACTGTACACATTTATGTATTAAGATTGCATTCAAATTAGGCTTTTATGAATTAAACAATCTATCTAATCTAATTTCAGTTATATTAATGAGGTAATCAAATTACCTTGGCAATTAAGGCAATGTTCACACTGCAAGCCATAGCGTTTGTTTTGTTTGGCTGATCACATTATTTTTCAGATGTTGCCAATATCAGATTCCAGAGTGAACTGGTCATCGTCCTGAACTCACCTCTAAAAGAACAATAACTCATGCGCAGCACGCTGTCGTACAGAAGTAAACATAGCAGTCACTGAAGTCAAGGTGCAGTGGAAGCCAGCGAATTTGTGAGCAGATGATAATGAGGATGAGGACCGACACTTTTTTACAATTCTTTTACAGAGGTGTGTGTGGATGTGGGTTGGACTGTGACGTGAGTGGCTTCACAGAGACAGTTTCATTCAAAATTTTGGGATGTCTCGAACTGTCATCCTCAAGACACTTCAGGCCAGTGAGGGAAGTCGCTGGAATTCCAATTTGAAAGTTCACATTGAGGTTGCATTGCAAAAAAATAAGACCTGTGTCTGATTTAGGACCACATACATGAAAGTGGAAAACAATGAATAGAGCCTAAATGCCACACAGGTCTGGGACCTTTGGGGGCAGTTTCCAACTTTGCTCTGTTATTAGTAGTTCAGCCTTGATGTGGATCATTTATATAGTCCAGTGAGAACTGAGAGACATATTGGCCCAGCTCACATGTCACATATTCGTTGAAGCGGTGTGTCTTGATTCTTTCACCATTAAAGTTTAACTAAAGCTTATGCAATGTACACAACAATATTTTTTTCTATGGTATATCATTTACAGAACATAAGAGCTGTTGCACCTATTGACTGGTCAGACCAGTAAACTAACAGTTTGAAACCATTTATGTTCATTGTACAGGCCTTTTGCCAATGGCCTGTGTTGTTTTATAAGATGACATATAGCATTGCACATGTTTACGTTCACCTTTTATGTAAAGGTGGAAACATTGTATGGGAAGAAATCTGTCACACATGATTCCCTCTCAATCCTGCGTCCTTGGTCCATGGAATTTATTTATCCCAGTGGAACAGTTCACATCTGAAATATCCCTTGTAATTATGACATGTAGGGTTCGACTGCAGCTTGTAGTGTCACTAGACACTCTGCACTGTTTGCCAATAACAATAGGAAAAACTGTGACATGGTAATTCATGTTGGGACAAATGATGTCAGGGTAAAAGTTTGTAGGAGGACTGTGTGCTTTGGAACACAGAGGTAGAAACAATGCAATCATCTTCTCCAGACTTCCACCATAAGCTTTTTTCTAGAAGCAGGGATTTATTATTAAAGAGAGAAGGACTCCAGTGGTACAGTGTAACAGTACTGCAGGAGTCTATATTGCAGGAATAACACAGGGTGCCAAAGAAAATTAATGAAGATGAGATGAACTTGTGGTTTCCAGTAGCTTAAAGCACCAGCAGTGTTGAATCTCTACAGTTTGAAAGGTTGATAGTTGTATTTAAAGGGTCAGGGTGTAGGATTTAGGGGCCTCTAGTGATGAAGTACCAGATTGCAACTAACTGAACACCGTTCCAAGCTTGTCAGGAAAACTACAGTGGCTGCAAAAACTCCTGAAAAATGTGAAAGGCCCTATCTAGAGCCAGCGTTTGGTTTGTTTCTGAACTACTGTAGAAATATGGCAGTTCAACATGGCAGATTCCATGGAAGGCAACATGCAGGGTCAGTACTTATTTCCAGATAATTATACACTAATGAAAACATACCTATGAATATTATAATAAATCAATAGACAACAGACCCTCCTAAATGTTACACATTGGACCTTTAGGATAGTTGATTGTTGAGTCTCATTCCCAGGATGTCAAATACAGACACTTATTTTTTTTAAACTCTGATTGGTTGTTTTCACTCAGGCCCGGTGGATTCTTGTAAATACCATTAGGAGCACTAGGAGGAGCCAGAGGAACCTGATTGTTTCACAGATTATCTGTTTCATGTTCTACTGTCAGGATGTAGTGAAAGTTTCAGCAAATATGACAAAAATATATTTTCATAAAAAATACCTACTACAGCTTTAACTCAACCACAGACAAATCCCCAGATTACTTTACTTCTTTTGTTTGTTTTCTCTGAGTTACTGCGTGTCCACGTCATTCACCAGAATGATCATGTGAAAGAATCATATCCTTCATCATGGTCGCCTCTTTAGGTACCAAACACTGAGGTGCAAGAAAGCTCGCTATGGAAAAAGCCTGATCCCTGCAGCAATTGCTGCTTTAAACAAGGGGTGCTCTGAGTGTGTAACCTGTCATGTATTATTTATTTGATGGTTTGTTTTTTGTTTTTGTTTTCTGTGGATTTGTTAATTGTGGAAAGCGTGTTTCTTTGTTGAGTGTAAGGTGTTGCCTGCAGGTGCAGTGATGTGGACATGAATGTCCACCTTGGAGGACAATAAATTGAATTGATTGATTGATTGATATTCAAATTTGAAAGCCCACAACAAAATGCACTAAAAGAAAACAGGACACTAAAAAGTTCAGACTGAAAATCTTTGCATTTATTCAAATCATTACCACATTGAGGACATTGGTATAAGTGCCATGAGGAAACCATATCCTCACATGTCTTTTTCTTTTAGAGACCCTCTATTATTTATCAGTACAACCATGAACTTGATGAAGAAGGAAAGGTGTGCTGCTGGTCTGTTGTACAAAGGCGCCCTCTGGTGGTTTAGCAACGACAAAAAGTCAGATTCCAAATAATTCATCCTTACACCAACAGGAGATGGGAAAATGATTGAAATGATACAAAAAAAATTACAGCATTTGTGTATCAAAAGGCGCAAACTAAACAACACATAAAAATATAACATTTAAACCAAGGTTTAAAAACTCCACCATTAATCTTTTTTCTAAATACATACAAGAAACCTTGATAAACAAGGGTAACACACACAAAAGGGATTATGAAATGATTATTAAAATCTCCGTTATACATGAGTTATTACAGTTACTCATCAGAGGTGGTCAAAGTACACACATTCTTTACTCAAGCAGAAGTACAGATACTGTAAAAATACTCTGATAAAAGTATAAAAGTACTGATTCAACTGCTTTACTCAAATAAAAGTGAGAAACTACAGGCTCTGAAATGTACTTGAAGTATAAAAGTAAAAACTACTCTCCTGGTTTCTCTGAAGGATATTTCTACCTTTCTGTGCAAAGCTAACAGAAACTTCCAAACGGTGAGTCACCCTCTCTTGTTTGTTTCATCATGTCACGCGTGATATGCACCGTTATTGATGTAGGGAAGGCGTACAATGACACAAAAGACATTTATTCCTCTCAAATGCATTAATAAAATGAAAGTAACAAGCTTGTTTTGAAGGAGTAGAAAGCACAGATTTCGGTGTAAAAATATAGGGAGTGAAAAAACTAATATTTGTACTTTCTTACTTCCCATTTCTATAACTCATGGTGGCACATGTATATTTTCATATATACACACAATATTACTCCTATGGAATCATCTGTGGATTGATAGAGTTATATGGCTGTTGATTCAGGTAAACACTTTGAAAATGATGGATAAATATGTTGGTCAAGCTAAAAACAAGCCTTACAGGCATTCAACAAAATGCTTATTCTCTTGCTTAGAGTTAGATGATACAATCAACAGGGATTAAACACACAAGATACAACTTTAATTACTTAGCTTTCGAGGTGTTGGTATAGTTATTTTAGAATTTTGGAAAGAGCTTAGTTAACAGTTTCCCCCCTGCTTCCAGTCTGTATGCTAAACCAAGCTAATTGCCTCCTGGCTCCATACTTAACGCATGAAGATGAGAATAATAATCGTCTCATCAAATTCTCTGCTTTTCACACACACACGTTCACTGCTTGTAGTTAACACCCCGTGGGAAGACGTACAACAGCAACAGCTGTATGTACAGAGCATTGCAAATAAACTGTTGCAGGTATCTTTCACATGCAACATATCCAAGTAACTTTAATGACAGACTGACATCAGTGCAATATTTGAATGTCCTTGGTCACACTGTAGGTGCCTCTAGACTCATTCTAGATAAGAAAATCTGACAGATGCATTGTAAAATTTGACATGTCAATATTGTCCCTGAGATGTTGACATAATGGTGCCAGAGGTGGAGCAATAGTAGGACAAAATGATATCTTAGTCATTGACCTAGATAATGAATAACCAGTATGGCTCTATACAACTGAGACAGCTGGCTGGGAAGGTAGCTTCATTTGAAAGGTTGATATTTTTTTTCTCTCTATAGAGTAATTAGCGTAATTCAGTTACTACACGCTGGCTGTGTGTCCTCCATAGAAGCCAAACAGAGCATATGGATGAGGAGACTGCAGCATAATTCAGCACACAAGGAGTGTCAAGACTCCAGTGTGGTTTCTTAGCAACAGTACACAGCAGGATATCACTCCCTATCATTGCCTATACACGAATATAATAAAAACAAAGTCATTTAATACATGAACATAGTTCAGTGCACTGATTTTACTGGCAACAAATTGCTCTGAGTGTGATTAAAGCAACATCCACATCTCACATTAACGGCATTGAGAAAATATGTGCTGCCTTAAACTGATGCTACATTTGACACGTGGCATGTACCTTGAATGCAATGACAATACAACTCGAATCTTAAAAGGATTACTTGATGTATGTCACAATGCCCACACAGGTCCCTGAACATCTGTAAACCCTCAAGAACACAGTAACTGTAACCACTTCAGCATCAGAGGTGACACTGTATCCTCTGCTGATGTTCTTGATGGAGAGGTGGTCAGCGTTGGAGGTCAGCATGGCTGTAGACAACCCTGGTAGAGCAGAGTAAAGCCAGCAGGCTGAAGCAGCAGGCAGAGGCCATGTAAGCCCTCACACTGTTAGTCAGCTGCACTATCGAGCCGAGGCACATTGCCGGCAGCACCTGCAGGAGATACACAATTACATTTTAAATGGCTGATCAGGATCATTTGCAATGCATTTAAAGGCCTAATTGCTAATTTATTTTACAATGCAATGTTGAAGAGTTTCATTCAATCATTAATATTAGCACTTCTTGTGTCTCAAATGATCACAATATACGCCTGTTTTACTAACTTGATAATAAGACTTAATTGTCATTTTGTTTTATTCATTTGGTCGAACATTAAAGGGGTGGTGGGGGTGGATTTGGTTTTTTTTTGCCTTAACCAATCAGTAGCAACGCATCCTTCCGATGTTAGCTGTTGCTAGGCACAGTTGGTACAGTTGGTTTTCATAACAATAGCAGAAATGTGTGCTACAGACCACTGAAGCCCACGCACAACATGCAACAATGGCAAAGGAAAGCCAGCCCCACAACAGTCATTTTTCAATTTTGCTGTGCTGTCAATTTGTCACATTACATTTTTGACCTAGCTAGTGCATTTGAGAAGAAATTTGAATTTTTTGGTTTTTTGTTTGTTAGATGGCATTTAGTGGTGAGGGTGAAGAAAGCTGACAATATATTAAATGCTAGTATTCAGTGCTGCAGCCAGTTGGCGGTATCGGTCATTAGCTGTCGGTATTAGCTGGTTTTATTGTGTCTCAAACCCCCAAACAGATTTTGAGCTACAGCTACATACGCACAGCTGTGTGTCAGCACTCTCTCACCCACGCTGTATTTTTTAAGAGCTTTTGGGCAGAGGTGACTGACACACTCTCTCACATACTGAACAGAAACCTTCGGGCATACAACGGATATGTTGTTGTTTGCTGTTGGGCAAAGGCTACACAGTTGCAGAGCAAGAGGTCACAGACACTAGCTGAGTTTGATGACTTGCAAGATGCACAAAGGTGTTTCCAGCACAAACGGTTTTGGACTTGCTAAACAGTGAAAGAGCTGGGTTATTTAGTCATGTTAGATGTCTCCTAAACTGTCAAGTCCATAGATACATATTTTCAACAGTAATTTGATCAAAAAATGCAAAATGCTCCTCCAGTGGCATTAGAATAGTATAGCATATATCATGATTTTCTTGATGTTCTTCCTGTAGCTCATTTAGACATTTAAACATACTGTATTTGGCTTAAATCTAGAACTTGCTTCACATTGTACTGTTTTCTTCCTAATAAATAATTAACAATCAAGTAATTTAAATAAATGATCCACGTTACCTGTGAGAGCAGGTAGGCGCTGTCCAGTATTGCCATGTCAAAACACATCCCTCTTTGTGAGAATGGTGTGCAGTCCGTGTCACCTGTGTCACCTCCAGCCACAAACAGTAAAACATGGGGCGAGCCAACAGCGGGCTCTGCCCCAGGTGAAGACAGTCCCCCTGTGTGGCCTTGAGCATGAGGAGTGGCTGGACCCAAGGAGATGAGGGGCTCAGTACGCACTGCTACAGCCACATTTTTGTTGAGCTGAGGAGGTCTGGGCTTGGATGATGTGAAAAAAGCCTTGAAGAGTGAAGGATAAAAGATGAGCAAAAGGATGCAAGCACTAAAATGGAGATCAGTTACTGTGTAATTAGTTATGTAGTGGAGAATATATAAATTCTCTTAATAGGTTTCTTTCTGAGAGAGCAAAAGATCACTACCACTCTCATATCTGTGCGTGAGTACAGCGCTGAAGCAGGGTAGTGATTAGCATAAAGACTGGAAGCAGTGTTGTCTCCAAAGATCAAAAAAGATCAAAATCACCTACCAACACCTTTCACTAATTAAGACATTGTGTCGCCTTTGTTAATCTGCACACAAACAGAAACATACAAATGAGAATTGCGCAGTGACTTCCTGGAGTCTTGTTATCACTATGAGATGGCCAAGAAAGAAAAACACTTAATGGTTATATGTAGGAGATTTACAACATTAATATAGGAGCAAATAACTATTTATCTATCTGTAAAAAAAAAATGTAGGTATTGTGTCCTAAACAGACGTCACTCCCCCTCCCCCTGTGCAGCTCTCACAGCCTCTCTGTGGTTTGTTTACACAACCAAACCAGAGTTGAAACTAGTGATGGGAATTCCGGCTCTTTTTAGAGAGCCGGTTCTTTTGGCTCGGCTCATTAAAAAGAGCCGACTGTTTCAGCTCCCAAGTGGCTCCTCAGAGTTTTTGTTGCTTAAATTAATTTATTACCAAATTATGTGTAAAAATGTACTAATGTAAATACATACATTATATTAAATGTTTATTATTTATATGGATTTATTAACATACTCAACATGGAACAGAGTGCTACAAAAATAAATTATAAAATACAAAAGAAAAAGACCCATCTCAATTAGACAAAAATCTAGTGGCAACTCCCTTAATGCTTGTGAGGTGCTTTTGTACTTTTTCACTTTGATCAGAGCCAGTGTAGCTGTTTTTCCCTGCTACCAGTCTTTACGCTAAGACTGGTACTGGTACTACACTAACCACATCCCGACTCCAGCTCCGAACGTAATGTAAATATTTAGGACTGGTATTAATCTTATCTCATTCTCAGCAAGAAAGTGAAACTTTAAACTATTCCTTTCCTTTAAGAAGTACTGAAATATTCACTTTAGTTGTTCTTAAAGACACTTTGTGAAGAATTGGAAACCTTCTGATGTCCCCTCAAGTTGGTGTCAAAAAAAACACTGTGGCAGACATTAATGCATATTGCTACTTGACATTTAGACCAAAAGACTGAAAGCAACATATAGACGGCAGATTTTTCATTTTTCAATTGCATTATATAAATAGTTTTTCTTTAAAGGACAGTGTCTTACTTCAAGTTTCATAAATCAAACACAGCTTCATCTTTTCTTTAGACTACATTGCTTGGCAAACTCTAATTTTATTGACATGTATACTCAATATACAAAGTGATCAGCATCAATAGGTGTGAAAACTGACTCTTCCCTGCATGTCTATATGTAAATGTCTAGTGTGGTTGAGAGATTAACCTACTTGTATATCTGAGTGATAGAGACATAGCAGGGTGTATGGCAGGACCTGAAGGACACTGAGTGTGTATCCTGTCACAGCCGCCATGGCAGTGACCGTTATCACACTTTCCGAGACACTCAGAACGATGGTGGCAAACACCAACAGAGCTACGCCGCTGATGTACACCACCCTGACTCCCAGCAGAGCAACCCAGCGGTCCATGAGCACAGAGCACAGCACCGACACCACACACTGCAAGAAGAGACCCAGACTGGCCATACGCACACCTGGACAGACAGGAATGAAGTGGTTATAAGGCAAATGAATCCCATTGGTTGAGTAAAACCTGAATGGGCGGGGCTAAAGAAGCACTTACCCTACCTTCATCATAGTGTTCTCTTTCCTGTGACTGTGGCTTTGCACTGGGAACTCCCTGGTACAATGCCTCCCCCATAAAGTCAGCAAAGAAGAGCATGACGCTCATTAGCGCCATCCAGCTGCACATCTCCGCCACAAACAGTCTCCAGATGACCGCCGGCACACGCACACACGTTGTATACACACGAGGGAACACTGACATACATGCTGACGCACATCGGCCCAGCGCCACAAGGTAACGCTGAGGCCGGAGCAGGAACGAGTGAGGGCAGTATCTGCTGCTCCAGCTTCTCAAAGGGCTGCGGGCAACAGTCTTCCCCTCTCCTCCTCTGGTTCCAGTCTCCTCTGGGATAAAGGCGGTGGTGAAGAGGCAGCTAAGGAAGAGGAAGGTGAGCAGGGCGTAGACAAAGGCCTCTTGCCCTCCCAGGTATGTAGCTATGGGTACTTGGCTCCAGTCCATGGCAGGAAGGAAGAACCTGAATGTAAGTTTTAAAAGTAAGAGTTTAAGATTGAAAATTATGTCCACAGATCACACTTACTTGATTTTATATATATATATATATATATATATATATATATATATATATATATATATTATTCATATGTAATAGCGGCTGTCCAGAGTCTGTCAATAAAGAAAGAAACTGCACCCCCTAGTGGGAGAATAAACAATATACTCAGGCAGACAGATGTGCACACCGCTGCCCCCCATTCTGACAGATCCAAGCACATTGGTCCAACCTGAAATATCTCAACTACCAGAGATGGATTACCATGAAATGATATCCTAGAGACATTCAAAGTACCCAGAAGTTGGATCTTAATGACTTTGGTGATGCCCTGACTGACGCCTTTTAGTGGCAGAAATATATGCTGATTTAATCGATCAATTGCTTGGAAAAGGGAAAAAAAGCCCCCAAAAGAAGACATTTGAACTCAAAAATATTAAGTTATAGCTTATTAGTAACGCATTGAATATAACTATCTAAAAGTAAAATGACCTGCAAAACTAAAAGCAGTCCCATCATCCTCTGCACTTGTTTTTGGTACTAATTAGCAAATGTTAGCATGCTAGCAATGGTGAACATGGTACCTGCTAGCATTAGTCTCACTTTCTTGTGAAAGTTGGCCCACTTCAGAGAGCTGGTTGTAAGGGATCCAGATAGACTGCCAATATGGGTTCGACACTTATACCAATTTACCAACGGATTTTTGGTCAAAATGCTCAAAAAGTTTCAAAACTAGGTATCCAAACTGGAATGGAGTCAGTTACCTGTTGGTGGAAAAGGCCTAATAGTTTAAAATAATCATGGTCTGGGACCTGCTGTACTCGCTTACCAATATGCTGCCCTGGAGCATCAACAAAATGACTAAAATGTAATTTCATCAGACAAGTAATCAGGAAACCGAAGTACAGAAAGCCAAGAGGTGGGCTACATAAGACAACACCATTTGTTTGAATGCACAGAATGAATAGTGTCCCTGAGGCACATCACCTGACAAATGACAGAAAAGACAAAGTCAAGTGACGTACAGTGAATAATGGGTGTTCTCCACAGAAGCCGAACAGTAAAGCATGCATTCATGAACATGAAAAACAGCAAGTGAGAGACAGAACCAGTTAGGAGAGAAAGGTTTAACAAGTGCCTCACCCCAGGCACCCCCCCAGGCTGGTCATCAGGGAGTAAACGGAGAATGCTCTGTGGTTTTCCTCCTCTGCAGGGAACAGGTCTGACAGCATAGCCGCCAGCAGGGTTAAACAGGCCTGAGGAGTCAACACAAGGCTTATCTGACACCCAATTACAGTTACACTGCACCTTGAAAACATGTTTTCATAATCACCTTATTACAATGAAGGATGAATCCCATTTTACCAACATAAATAATATGCCAAAGTTAGAACATTTTTGTTATTTCATGAGAGAATTCTATATTTATGTTTGTGTCATTGGGTTAGGGTTCTCTTCTTCTGTAATATTAGAAAGTCTGTGATCAAGCAGGCTGCAATTCTTTCTTCTTGAAAACGGAGCCTAAACCAACTGCAGCCCAACCCGTAGTATGTCACCCACCAGGTCCACGCCCTCCTCCAAATCTGGTCACCTCGGGCTCAGAAAAAGATGGAGACAGCCATAATGCCAGATTAGAGGCTTTTAAAACGACTGTCCACAGCCCAATAGGTGGCGTCACGGTGGACTTACACTTGGTTTGTATCAGTGCTCTCTTACTAGATTGAAGTGAAACTATTAATAAGACTAGTGAAACTAGGCATGCAGTGGTGGTTGGACTACTGAGCGGGCCGTGGCATTAAGATGATACTGCCGGTGAATTTATGTTCCCACTGATGTTGTATGTAGTGTATTGTTACAGCCATTCCATTTGTGTTGAGATTTATTTCACAGGCCTAGCTGTGCGTGTAATAAAACTGATGAAACTAATGAAATGAAACTTGAACTTGACGGCACAGCCAGATACCCACTGCAAGGCCTAATGATAGGTCAAAACATCATTTAACGTGAATACTCACCCAATGTTTGGCACATTTGACTGTGTATTGATACTTGTCAGCTACTTCCATGCACCAAGCATGATTTGAAACAAAATGTGATGATACTTGTGGGGTTGTTTGCTTATGTTGCTAGACCACTGCCAGGCAAGTCTGACCAAATCACACCAACACAGTCCTGATAAAGAATAGTATGCTTGTAATATATGTATATCGTACCGCATTTCAGCATTTACCATTTTCTCTCAGTTCAACAAGTTTCATATGTCATGTCTTACTTTTAAAGGCTTAACAAATGGATGAAATAATATAATATTTTGTACTTCCAGCTGATACAGATTGTTGATAAGAGACATGCAGTGAGGGAAGATTTTATACTATAATCCAATGATTTTATGTTTATGCCTACCAGTGGAGGATGAAGTCATCATTTAAGATTCCCCAAGGTGAACTAAACTAAACTAAACTCAAATAAATGGCAGGGCAGCTATAGAGAAAAATTCATGGGGTGGTCAGAAGGTGGCAGAAATATATGCTGATTTAATCACCATCAATCACATATATCAATTTTTGCTTGGAGAAGCCCCCAAATAGAGATATTTGAACTCAAAAACACTACATCATTGTGACACATTAGTGAGGCATTACTGAAATATCTAAAGGTGGCATTAGAAATCAATAAATTGTTTTATTTCCAACTCTTCAGACATTTTTCCAGATACATTAGTCCTTTTTCACTGAACTTTATCCCGTCAGTCTAAAATGTGTCCATAATTGATTTATTATACATTAATTTTTTTAAATAATGTGTTAAATTTGACACCAAACTGAGGTGGCAGCTGGGTTGGCCAGGCATTTTTTTAGGGGTGGCAGCTACCACCCAATGCCACCCCTCTGGATCGGCCCTGATAAGTGGTAGGCTGTATGTCTTAGTGATCAAATTTTCTACAGCAGTGTTCCTCTTCATTTGAGTATACTTAGTAATCCCAAACTGGAAAGGTTTCATAATACCTTCGTAACAGCTGCCACATGAACAGCAGTGTTACACCCTTAATATATGAAGCACATATACCTTATATGAATCATACAGTTCAATACAAGTTACTTGATTCAATAGATGGTGAATTTGTCTAAAACAGTTCAATGTTCAAAATCTATTGACAGTACTACTGTGGTGTTGTTAGTGTTTTTTTTTTAGCACATCTGTTACACACATTTTCTTTTGCAGATTTGTTCTGTTTTGTGTTATCTGTGCTGCTGAGAAACTATTTCAACTCTTTTTTTTCACAATGAAGTTTCCAATATTATGAAGTAAGGTACTTTCTTAAAGGTCTCTGAAACATTAAGGAGGATCTATTGGCAGAAATATAATATTCATAGGTATGTTTTCACTAGTGTATAATCACTTGAATATAAGAACTGTTGTGTTTTTGTTACCTTAGAATGAGCTGCTTTTTTAAAGAGGGAGTGAGTCCTCTTCTTTAGAGTCTGCCATGTTTCTACAGTAGCCCAGAACAGACGAACCAAACACTGGCTCTGTTAGGGTCCTTTGGGTTTTTTGAGTTTCACAGCCACTGTAGTTTCTCTTTCACACTTGAAATAGTAGAGGGGTATTTAGTCCGTTGCAATCTGCAACCTCACCACGAGATACCACTAAATCCTACAAACTGGTCCTTTAAGCACTTGTAAATTTGTCAAACTAACAATGTATTAACGGATAAATTATTTAGTTTTGGAGTTTTGAACATTAAACATCTGGTTTGCGAAAGCCAGACAGTAACTCACCTGTCCACAGAAGTCCATCAGGCACACACCTCCAGCCTGCAGAACAGCTTCCAGCCATTGAGGGTGCTGCGGGGACATCAGCACAGTCAGGCGCCAGGCCTGTGGTATGACTTGCAGGCCCAGTAAAACCCCCAGGCTCAGCATCCAGATAAACGGCCGCCGCCGACCAAAATGGCCACGCCACGAGTCACTAGCTGAGCCAATCATGGGTATAAAGATCAAACCCAGAACTGGACTCATTGCTGGCAGAAAGAGGCAGCCTGTTAAATTCATTACATTGGTTCTGAAAACATATTCACTTACCAGTGAGGAATGGGCAGGTAAGACTGGGAAAAACATTTAGGCAGAATTTTCAGCACGGAGAACTAAACTTAACTTGTTAGATAAGTAAAACTGGTATGTTAGACATGTCTGCTTCACTAAGAAAAATGCTATTTTTGTAGTACCACGTATGTTCTCTACACCCACAGTAAAAGCCATACAAAGAGTTTGGAACGTTGGGGCTTTTTTATTGCCTTTACAAAATCAAAAATACAAGAGCGGAAGTGTGAGGAATGGATTAAAAAATGTGTTTTTCTGTTTAAACGCAAGCTGCTAACACTAGTATGCCTGCCTAGCTTATTGCCTGGTTGGAGTGGTATCTTAAGCATAATGTCTATGGCAAAGAGTTGGCATTTAATTAGCCAAGTACATTATTAGCTACATGGGGTTAAAGGTTATGTTAGAAAGAGTGTGACATCCCAGGCGCTACTATATCAGAGTTAAGCATACCTACCCAAACTAATCGGTTGATCCCAAAACATGGACATAGTCTCCCATACAGTAGATTTCTGAGGAGTGATTGTGAAGCGTGGGTGGAGCTGAGGCGGGCCAAATGAAGTCTGGTTAGTGAAATCAACCACCTGTGACGGCACCCACCTGTCACTCAAAGTGACCACTCCCTTAATAATGCATAACTTTGAGCCCTAATATAATTTACAGTTACCGTGAACAAGAAATTAAGCTATAGAAACCAAAACAGTTTTTTGTACAGCTGGAAAGGTTCATTTCGGCTGTGAAGTTGGGCATCTTGACTTATGGAGATTGACTCGCTTTTGGAGCCAGCCTCAAGTGGCTGTTTGAGGAACTGCAGTTTTCAGCCCAGGAAGTTTCCACTTGGTTAGCCCTAATCCTCAAAAAGATTTTCTTGTGAAAAAGTCCCTGTTTTTGTCTCTAGACCAGATACCAAACAAGCCTTTTTAAACTATAACTTGATGCAGAGCCACTGAGAAAATTAAGGAACTTTGAAATAAAAAAATAGATATTAATTATATGATCATTTTAAGCTGTTGATGAGTAATGAGTAAATTCTTAGGAAAAGTTCTGTTGCTGAGAGATACTAAACTTTACTGTTACAGTGATAACCAACCTATAGCCTTTATCACCATAAGAGGGACTAAGTGCATTATTGAATGATGCACTTAGCCAGGGCCCCAAATTTGGGCCATCGGTATCATCTGGGGGGACAAAGTCTCATAGTGATTTTTGGCAAGGTATACACCCCTAGTACTAGAAAAATCACGATAGCAGTGCAGGGGTGGTAGCGAAATCACTTTTTTCAGCTCATGAAGTTACTAACCCCCTAAGATAAATTCCGTTTTTGAAATCTGGTGTATATCTGGTTTAGGCTCATGGTAGGGATATTGTCAATATTCTATAATATGGTGCTTGGTATCGTTGGAAAGGGGACCTTTTAGGCTTTCATTTAAGCCCAGTACTGAATCTGTCTGACAAACACAGAGGTCACATGACTTCTTTAAACCAGAAACAACACACATTTTCTCACAATTTCCGCCTAAACTGTATGCTTTCTTTTATCCCTGGGGCATCAAGGAACATCAGGGACACAAAACTCAACAACTTCAATACTCAAGGCACTCTGATGATTCAGAAAATGTATAATATACCCATACTATTTATTTGTGAGAGCCTTAAATTAGACTTGTGCAGCCAGCACAAGTCTTCAAAATAGAATAGAGCTAATAGAATGGACAAATAGGATGGAGCCCTACTAGTTGTAAAAGACAATAAAGAAACAGGTTGTAAAGTCAATATATTTAATCAAAGACTTGTTTGTATGTTGATATCCATTATTTTATTATCTAATCAGCATCATTCTCCATGTCGTCCTCGTCTTAATCTGAACTTTCTACACAGGTCGCCTGGTTTTCACACTTTGTTAGTTTACACATGTCTGTGCACCTGAGGCCATTTGCAAGACACATACATCGAGTGAACATTTTTTTGTGTAGTTGCAGGCGAGTAGATCCAGGAGAGCTTCAGGTGCTGGCCGGCCTTCCATCCAGTGCAGCACCAACTGTTCACCTTCCTCCTCTGCCAACAGGGCTTGGTACTTGTGGGTCCTTTTCTAAACATCTTCTCCAAATACCAGCCTGATAGTTAGCTCACAGTGAGTGTTGGGCAAGTTACTTTTAAAAAGTAATTAGTTCCAAAAAGTAACTAAATTAGTTACTCAGTTACAAATTATAAAAGTAACTAGTTACTTCAGAAAGTAACTATTGCGTTACTTTCAAGTACATTTTTAAATGCTCAAATGTGACCCCACCTCCACCCCTCTTTAACAGAACTTAAAATACATGTGCATGTTCAATTATTTATGATAAATCTGAATATTCTAATGAAATGGACACTTAATACAATCCATTATTAACAGAAACAATGTACACAAATCTAAACTATTTTAATGTTGCTGTGGGACAAAGTGAGACTAGCCTCCTATCAAATGCCATGTATGTAGATATTATGTTTATATAGTGGATCGATACAAATAACACAATAGATGTTTTAGAACTTTTGATATTTATTGCTCCTCAACAGGCCACAACTGGGCAAAATTCAATTATGCTTGTTAATCACTATACCAAAAATTAATAACAAATATATACACTCTTTGTAGTGCCAATAAAAAAAAACTTCAGACAATTGGTAGATATACTGTACTTCAAGTATTTTCTTCCTCAAAAAAGTAGAACAGTGTAACAATATGAGGTGCTTTCAATCTAACATAATAATAATAGCATAATGTGCATTTCACCATTACATTCATTCCTTTAATTTCTTGGAGGGAAAAGTAATGGCTATACTTCCATTTAGAGAAGGCTACTTTTGGATTATTTAGGCTCGCCATACCTGTCTCTCGTTGACTGACTCGCTTGTGTTGTTTGTTGTGTGTCCGACTATGCATGCTTTCGAACACCTGCCCAACTCTACCTCTGATTGGCTTACCATGAAATTTTACTCAACCTCAAACCAATCGTCAGCATTTATGCGCTTGTCTCGTGCACTGCCCACTAACCAAGGAAGAACAGTAAAAAAAGTCCTTGCCTCTCGGCTCAGAGATCTACTTGCTCTGATGAAAAAAACAGCTTCAATTATAGTAACGCGCCGCATTTTTTGGCAGTAACGGTAACAGCGTTATTAAGATGGAAAGAGTAATCAATTAGATTACTCGTTACTGAAAAAAGTAACGCCGTTAGTAACGCCGTTATTTATGACGCCGTTATTCCCATCACTGGTTGCCTCAAGCTATCCTTGCACGGTGGGAGTTGATGACTCGATTTCACCTTTCTTTGCACAGAATGGTGGTACCTGAGCTTGTTGATCATGGTGGTTGATGCTTTTGGGCATAGAGGACACATGTAAATGCCTCCAGTTTGTTGCTCAGTTCTGGTGAGAATGATGATGATTAGATAATAAAATAATGGATAGCAACATACAAACCAGTCTTTGATCAAATATATTGACTTTACAACCTGTTTCTTTATTGACTTTTACAACTAATAGGGCTCCATCCTATTTGTCCATTCTATTCGCTCTATTCTATTTTGAAGAGTGCCTTGAGTATTGAAGTTGCTGAGTTTTGTGTCCCTGATGTTCTAATTTAAGGCCCCAGGGTAAAGCAAGCATAAAGTTTAGGTGGAAATTGGGTAAATGTATGTTATTTCTGGTTTAAAGAAGTCATGTGAGGCCTCTGTGTATTGTCAGGCAGATTCAGTACTGGGCTTAAATGAAAGCCTAAAGGTCCCCTTTCCAAGATACAAGCACCATATTATAGAATATTGACAATATCCCTACCATGAGCCTAAACCAGAATACACCAGGGATTTCAAAAGGGATTCATCTTAACTAAGTTAGTAACTTCATGAGCTGAAAAAAGGGATTTCGCTACCACCCCTGCACTGCTATCGTGATTTTTACTAGTACTAGGGGTGTATACCTTGCCAAAAAACAATGATAGCATTTGTCCCCCCGATGATACCGATCAACCCCCCTGGCTCATGGACTTCCTGAGATAACCTCTGTTATGAATTGGTGCTATACAAATAAAACAGAATTGAATTGAATTGCAAGTAAAACATATATAAAGATTTTCTTAATGTAAAGCCATGAGTGCATTATCCTCACCTTTGTATTTTTATCTTATACGTCCTACAATGCAACACTTTTCAGTCTGTAGTTTTATGAATATTTAAATGACAAGAATGTTCTTGTTTCCTTAATTGACTCTCTGATTATTATATTATTACATAATTGTGAAGTTTCAAACTTAGCTACATGAACACGGGGAGAACATAGAACAGAGAACATTAGATCCCAGCTACCTGTACTGCACCAAGGACTGTGAGGCCACAGTTCTAACCGCTGTCCCACCATGCTGTAAGATAATTGTCAGTACAAATACAATAACTGCTTCTGTCTTGCAGTGTCAAATCATGCCTATTAACATCCAGTCTCTCCACCCATGGTCACTGAGTGTATATGGTTCATCAACTTACCGAGCACCATAGTCATGTAGCGTTCCTCCATGCCCGCCTGCAGCAGTAGAGGTGGGATGTAGACGGTTCCTGCAGCCATGCATGCCTCCACGCCACATGATAAAGCGTTCACCATTAACAACTTCCACACCCGGGCCTGTGACGGATTTTCCATTTTGGTTTGTTCCCTTTGCCTCCTTTTGAACCACCACTCCTTTCTTTTTTTACCGTCTCGTTTCAATGTAATATCTTTGTTGTGCACAGTATTTAGTCCTAATATGAAATAATTGGTACATGTCAGTGAATAAAAGGGCTTCCCAGAGGGGTTTTGGCTGGTTGTCAGATTTGGAAGATTTCCATGTCATGATGTGTTGTGCAAGAGACGTCGTCTTCAGAGAACAACAGAGAACTTTCTTTATGTTCCTTATTATTTTTTTCGGCTTTAGTTGTTGTTCTGCAAGAATGAACAACGCTTGCCGTTCCAGGCCAACTTGTGGACATCTTCTGCCAGCGTGGTGTCTTCCTGGGAGGTTCAGACAGAGAGAAGCACTGTCTGGTCTGCTGTACAGCGGGCCTGGTAGATGGAAAAAAAAGCACCTTTCATTTATGAAGTCATTTTCAGTTGGATGAAGATTGCAAACAGTTAAGTTGTATTGGAATTAAACCTGTTTTGTTGACACTGAACCGTATGCCCAATTTACACCTGCATATACTTAACATGCAATCTGCATCTGGATACATGATCTGGATAATGACATCCGATCTACGAGTCTTTACATTTATACCCAGTATAAATACTGATCATATCATCTGCCTACCTACTGCAACTACTGGTAGCATTTTGACAGGCAGCTTAAGGTAGCAGGAAGAGGCGGGGTCAGGTTGCCTTTCAACTTGCTGGCAGCTCTCAAAACTAAGGACGTCCCATTGCCTCAGGGACAATAAAAACAGATACAATGGATGTGTGTGGGACAGTAGAGACATTTACCATTACAAATGAAATTGGTATCTGTATGCGTCATAGAATATACTGTATCACTTCAAATGTGAGCTGGAATCGGCACCAGTGCTGCCAAGCAACTTTCTTGCTTAGTATAGTAACTTTTCAGACCCTCTTAGCGACTTTATTTCTAAAAAGGGACTAGTGATAAATTAAGCATCTTATTCGGGCAATCAGGAAAAAGTGAGAAACACATTAAAATGTATTATATTGTAATTCATCCCCATGCATGCTGCTCAGAGTAATCGCGGTCTACGGCTCTTCTGCCAACAGCGCCGGAGTCTCTCCCTCTCCTCTTGTGCCGGCAGTCAGAAAGTGTGGCGTGTAGGACACGTTTGACCTTCTCTCACTCTTTTTCTCCATCTCTGGATTAGGGGGTTCCTATAGCTTATATGTAGTAGTAGTAATAGTTAAATAGTTAATTTGACCTTCTCCACCCCTTTGTACAACTTTTTTCCTTCAAATATACAATTTCCCTGTGGATAGTTTGTGATTATTTGGAAAAATAATTATGTTAAAAGTGTGTGTGTGTGTGTGTGTGTGTGTGTGTGTGTGTGTGTGTGTGTAAATTTCCATGGCTGAATACCAATCAGAAACAGGTTTGCATTTGCACTGCAGTTTGCAGTGATACACTTGTTCATCAAAGTAGCCTGGCTCTGTCCAAAGGAAACTAAATCTGCTTACCTGCAACTCTAAAGCTAGCTGACTGGGACCACATTCCAAATGTCTTACCAACATTTACACCTTTAATTAACATCCATTTTCCTGGTTATATTTACACGTGGCAATGACGTGCATAAATGGGGTCACTTAAAGTCATTGGTAGGCATTATGGATGACTCACTACAATTTGTATTTTTCTTCTCATCCAGAACTGACTTCAGAAAGTGATTCTCAATTCATTACACACCCTGATCGGCGGTTGGTTGAGTCTCAGGATGATGAATAGCACCTTTAAGCTACAGACAAAAGCAGCAGGGATTTGAGGTGTTCGGGCTGTGAATATACTGTAAATGTGTTAACTACATGTTGCTGACACAATAACAACACTGACAAAGTTTACTGTTAATCCTGAGAATGAGAGGCTCCATTAATATCTCCTGATCTGGTACAGTATATGCAACCAATAGTGAGCCATATAGACACAAAAAAGCACTTTGTTTCACACATACTGAATGGAATTACTTTATGACAACTCATCATCAGTTGCTAATCTTTTATCTGACACTCTGTGTGTTGTTAAGTTCAGTCAGTCGTTAAACAAGAGGCTCCTGTTTCTGTTAAACAGTCATTCTCAGATGCACTATTAAGCATTAAGCGATAAGCCACTGAGTTGCTTCCCTTGCCTCATAAAAGCTCTCTGATCTCTCAACAAGGAACAAAAGTGGCTACTAGAAGTGCCAGCAGCAGCTCACCCAGTGCAATCACAACTTCCCTCTAAAGCTCGGCGGTGTGTGGCAGCATGTGTGTGAGACGATCCCAGGACACACACTCCTGCCAACAGGTGAGGACGTTCTGGCTCACTGGGGAACAGAGGCTGGAGATTAAAGGAACAGGTTTCTATCATGCTTCATGTGAGACTTGTGGGCAGGCCTTCTGTCTCATAATGGGATATCAGTCATCTTACACTTTGAGGGTTTGGTCACACACGTTACGTGGTGTGTTTATTTTATGCCTTTCCCTATTCCAGCACAGAGCCTGACCTTTTCATTCAGATGATTCATTTGGAAATTGTTTAGTTTTGTTTCTTCATAGGTATTTTCCTCACAGGTTACATTAAAGATTTAAGATTAAGTGTATTAAAGGTCCAGTGTAGAATCTTTTGGCAGAAATGGAATATAATATTCATAGGTATGTTTTATTTATTACTGTATAATCACCTGAATATGAGAATCATTGTGTTTTTGTTATCTTAGAATGAGCTGTTTTTATCTACAGATGCCACAGGTCACCTTCCATGGAGTCCCACATGTTGGAACGATATGTTTCTACGGTAGCCCTGAACGGACAAACCCCCAAGATAGAGCCTTCCATGTTATTTGGAACCACCATAGTTTCTCATACAATTTTCAACAACTCTCTCAGATTCCCAGTCATCAAATACTACTGTATACACATCAACAGGAGCAAGTTCTACCGTTTTCTGGTAGGTCTTGATGTGTAAAACACTATAGGACAGCCTATAGAAATCCCAAACAGCACACTACCCATGGTGCAATAGACCATCATAATCAACCATATCCTGCTAGTAAAAACTACCAAGGAGCCATTGTAATCAAGTGAGCCAGGCAAAAACTGTAAGCTTTTATATCGTGTTGTAAACAGTACTGACTGTGTTGGCAGTGAACAGCAGATGGTGATGAATAAAATCAGATTTACTCACTTTGTTGTTCAGAGCGTGATGACCATGTTGCCGGCTGGTTTCAGGACTTGTATCTGCCCTAGGCTGACCTAAAATATCACTTAGCTTTGTGTTTGTGTGTGCAACACTCAGAGTGAAGTGTTAATGCGCCAGCAAGAAAAAAGTGCTGAGGAGCTTCCACTCTACAAGATGTAGGAAAGGAAGTACAGAGGACAGACACATCTTCACACATAGACACAACACTATTAGATGAAGAATATCTCTGTTACATGTCAGTGTGAAGCGTGTGTTAGTTGAGGAGACAGTGTGAGTTCTCATTGGGTTATTATGTCTTTTTTTCCCCCCACTGGTGATCATTTGTAGAAGTCTCAGTTACCTTCTGACTTGTACTTTGAATATTGACAATACTATTTCTATTTGTAATTGATGGTGTATACTGTCTTCAGGTTTTTTAAAGGCCAGAGTATGAATCAATAAGGCACAGAGATATTGTTTATATTTATTTCACGTTTTTCTTCCTTCTTAAAACCTGGTTGGAACTGGACCTCTGACAGTTCAGTGAGAGATTCAGGTGTGTTATGGTAGCAGGTTGGTAGATTGGTAGTATTTTTTGTTTCATACCACTTTAAACTACCCCTTTATATGCCATTCAAATAAAAACCCAGTGCAAAATAATGGCAAAGGTCAAAGGTGCCCCCAAATGCGTGAAAAGCATTGATTAGAATAGAGCAGAGTTCCATTTGTTGTTCGGCTTCAAACGATGATATAAAGATGATATAAGGCAATGTACAATGCAATGTATCAAACTTCACACAGCTGCATGCAACTTTTTTCACATGAGCAGTAGTACTCCCCAACCCAAACGATGTGTAAAACGGCTGTACTGTAGTTCCCCTTTAAAGCTGCAGTAGGTAACCTTTATAAGAAGCTTGCTGAAACCTTCACTAGATCCTGACAGTAGAACATGAGACAGATAATCTGTGAAACAACCAGGTTCCTCTGGCTCCTCCTAGTGCTCCTAATGGTATTTGCAAGAATCCCTCGAGCCTGAACGAAAACAACCAATCAGAGCCAAGATAGACAGACACTTTTGGGTTGGTGGCTTGAAGATAGATGATCTTTCTGGGCTCTGATTTGATGTTTTCGTTCACACCAGGTGGATTACTGCAGATACCATTAGGAGCACTACGAGGAGCCAGAATTTATTTTTTTTAACACTTTTTCACAGATTATCTGTCTCATGTTCTACTGTCAGGATAAAGTGAAAGTTTCAGCAAATATGACAAAAAAGTTTTTATAAAAATTACAAACTGCAGCTTTAAGATGTATTTTTTCTCTTTTTACCTAGCTCTACTTTTCTGTATGTCTTTCACTTTATATTATACCGTCTTTTTTATATTTTTAAATTCATTTCTTTAATGAAACCTTTTTATTTATAAAATAAAATTACCTGCTTGTTTTTTTAACCTTTAGAGTGTGGCCTTTATGATACAAATACGGGGGATATAAAAACATTTGCATGCAGACATACAGGGGTCCAGATTGAGAATGAAAAGTTGAAAAAAGGTGTTTATGGGGATATCAGCTGTCCAAGTTTGGCATGACTCTGTACAGTTTGATATAATCTTCTTAGGAATCAGGTTCTGCATTGTTTGAGAGTTGTTACTAAACCCATCAGAACTGGGTCTCTTCATGAGATCAAAAGACTGCATATAAAAACAGCGCCACTGAGTGGCAGACACCGAGTATTGCCGATCATTCTAAACCAGAACCACCACCCGCACATTCCACAGAGCTCAACGTCACAAAACAAGTAGTTAAATCCGTATAAAAAGTAGGTTGCCTTTATTAGAAGCTGGGAAACCAAAACATTATCAACATCGTCGTTGTTAATACTTTTTTTGTAAGACCACAATATTGCCATCACCAGCATCATCATCATCGCTTCGCACTTTTTCCACAACATGCAAAAGATTCAAGAGTTCAGCGTTCCTTTTCCACACTACTGACAAAAGCTTCTCCACTTGGTCTCCTGTAGGAATCACAACTTGGCTTACATTTACATTGCCAGTACAACTGAAGGTAGATAGAAAAAAAACATCAAAAACAGTACAACAGAAGAAATCGTAGAATGGATGAAAGAGGAGAAATTCACAGCCTTATGCCATGTGCCCCCCCTGTGGGATGATGGGAGAGGACCCTCGTTCAAGCCCTCATCGCTGTGATCTACAGACAGTATCTGATCCTACTGCAAACAGAGCTCTCTGAGCTTTAGATTGGTATAAACAAACTTTTTTTTCCTATTTATTTTCATATTCATATCCAATCGTCTGAAAATGACATTAAGGATTGGGTGCCAATTCAGGACCTGAACGTAGAAAAACACACTAACCTGCTAATAAGGACAGTTGTAAAACAATTGAATGTGCTTCTGAACCGAGGACTAGGTTCGAGTGGGTCCTGTTACACATCCAGGACTCATCTCTATTGCAGCCTTGGGACCAATCAGAATTTCTCCTGACAATCGCCTAATAATGAATTTATGTTCCCAAGATCACAATAGTATCTGTTTTCTTCTTATTTTTTTTGCTTTGACATCAAAACACTACTTATCGCAAAAAAGGATAATCTCACAAGTGCTGCACCTGATCTCCGAGTCACTAGTTTTGAGATCGTTTATGGCTTTGGATGGTCTGCTGATCATACAAATTGTTGACTTGTCCTAGGCCTAATTTGCCGCTTGTAGCAAAGACCTAAAAGATGAGGACAGGTTACATTCTCAGGCCTCCAACGACGTTATCAGAGCCACTACTGAAACCGAACTCAATGAAAATTAAGGCATTAAAAAGACAAATGGATTCCAGATATAAACGTAGCTACTGATCTTCTGAGCCTCAGTACTATAGAATTCTGAATTGAAAGAAGTATCCAGCTTGTGAAATACTAATGGATGGACGAAAAGCTCTAAGAAACAAATGGACATGGATACCAACAGTAACCATTAAGCTGATGGGACTAGGAGAGGTGGGGGAGGGGGAGAAAAGAAAGGACAGGAGTAAATAAGGGAGGGATGGCTGGTCCAACCAGGCAGAACAGATTGGATAGGGTCAACTTTTTTTCTTTAAAATCAAGATACATTTTATTTCTTTTCTTAAAAAACAAACATTACAAAAAAAATCTGAATAGAGAATTAGAACAATGAACCAACAGGAGAAAAAACGACATTCATTTTTTTTTTAACTCTCAAAAGAAAAAAAAAAGAAACATCTCTTCTTGCATTTCATTTAAAAATAACAAAAAGACTTTAGCGGCGCCTGGCACAAGGGGTTGAATGTTGAGAAGATGCTGTAGCCATGCGGGGGGGAGGTGGGGGTCTTGAAAGGGGCGGGGTTGCTTCATGTAGCATGGTGCATCGTTAAAAAAGCTCAACATACAACAACAGAAACCGTTTCACATACGCAGCTGATGGGAGGGGATATAGCCAGACCCTCTTACAGGAAGTACCCCCACAAGCACACAAATTGAATCAAGTACATAAAAACACACACATGCTGGCTTGAAAAACGCGCGATAGTGGCAGTTCGGCACGTAGCAAACACTCAGCGGTGACCCGCCGCTCCGCCCGTCTACGCCTTTAACAGTTTAAACTGATCTACGAAGCAGCAGCTACGAGTGGAATACTTCTCAAAATAACGTGCTTTAACGAATCCTCCACACAGATGCACGGTAAGAGTTGAGGGCAATGATATAGTGTGAAAGAAGCGGTGTGATCTTTAAAAGTAAAATTAAAAGACGCTGCTTTAACTGAAAGAAGATTTTTAAAGGTTTTAAAACAACCACCTAACTAACTGCCCTGTTAAAAAATGCTCCTGGTTTAAAAGCACAAAGTACCAAAGAGAGGGTGAAGGCGTCTGCCCTGCGCGTGTTGACTCAACGTCGCTTTGTAAATACAGCGCTTTAGTTACTGATACTGAGAGGCTCTGAACAATACTCCCTGCGATCGCAGATATCAGTCAGATAAACAGGGAAAAGGTGTGTGTCAGATAATCCTAGGGGAGGAAAAACACAAGTGAACTGGTTTGTTCACACTGAGGACGGATGCTCACTAGCGCTGAGCTCTTGGAAAGGCTTGTCTGGATTTTCACACTAAAATGCAGAATGTGAATGATAAAGACCGGAGGCTGGGTAAGGCTGAATGTTGTGACTGGTGCTGAAAATGGAAAACTCCTCACATACACCGTATGATCACATGAGCACAATGTCTTGGCTGGAGGGGGCGGAGAAGCAAAACAAGAAAAAATAGAAAAGCACACAAAGTCCAAACCATTGAGCCAGGCCACCAGGAGGAAAAAAACAAAAAAGAAACGAGAAAAAACAAAATAACAAAAAAAAACAACAACTCTAAACGCAGAGCAACAAAAGAAAACAAAAATGTTGAGAAGAGACAGAGAGAGACATGGAGGATGGGCTTCAGCGGGTACCATCTTCTAGTCTTCTCCAGAGGGTGCCTCCTCTTCCGAGCCGTCCTCTTCCTCTTCGTCTTCCTCCTCCTCGTCTCCTCCTGCGGCCTCCTTCGTCGTCTTGGGGGCGGGGGAGGTCTCTTTCTTCTCTGCCTCCTCCTCCTCTTCCTCCAAGGGACTCTCGGGGTCCTCCTCTTCCTCCTCTTTGGGTGAGCTCTTCTCCAGGGCCTTGGCGCTGGGGCGCCCCTTCCCCTTTCCTTTCATTGGGCTGGGGGTCACTGAGGGGGATAAAGACAGTCAGTTAGAGATCATCTGGCTGTTGTTTAATCTCACTACTGCATACTAAACAGCATAAATATATAGTTTTAATACAAAATGACCGTCAATTCCTATCCTTACTGCCTGTGTTGCTATCGTAGCCTCTCTGTGGTTTGTTTACAGCCAGTCTGCTCCGTGTGCAGCTGTGACTAAAACTGCCTGTTTTATCATCTACGCTGGTAAATTTAGGATTAATAGTTGGTGGTTGTTGGAACAGTGGAAATACTAACAAAGACTGTTTTGGTGAGAATTTTGTAACTCTAAATGATGTTACAATGACACGAAAGGTAAAATGACTGAATGGAGTCCGGTGGCGAGCGATGGCAATATTACAGCCGTTTGTGGTTAAACAAAAGGTCACTCTGTAGGGATCCTTTCCATAATGTCAGACACTTGTATAACAATCTGAGCAGTGGCAGAAACAACTACTTTTAGTGGACATACTAATATTAGCCCACACTGTGGCCATTGTAGCCCTTTACACGATGAACGGAGGGTTTATTTCACCCAAATGAGAGTTGGTGATTGTTGGAAAGACGGTTTTCGTGAGTGAGGTACTGTGCAAAACAATTGTTTGATCAGACAGTAGTTACACTACGTTCTGAAACAAGAGATTACATGTTAATTAGTGTGCTTTAGAGGTACTGGATTTATTCATTTCTTACTTTGGACAGAGTCAGACTAGTTATTTCTTCCCAGTTTCCAGTTTTTATGTTAAGCTAAGCTAGGTGTATCCTGGCTGGAGCGTCACATTTAACACAGGCATAAGAACTGTTATCAATGTTTTGATCTAATTTTAGAGAAGACAGAAAACAAATTTCCTAAAATGTCAAACAATCCTTTAATGCACCACATCTAACACAAAGCTGAATTATGATAGAAAAAAATGTTGACCCGAAGTTGATTACTCAAGAAAGTTATAATTCATAAAAAAGAAAAATATTTGCATTTGAGTGAATGACATGTTCCATGGTATAACACGCTCCTCTTTACCATAATAAATTGTCACGGTTTTACTGAGCCTTTTAGAGATGTCCCGAGCTGATCTGGGTATATTTTAATGATTAGGCCACAATAAAACCGCTCACTGAACTCCGCTGTGTTTTGTCCACCGCAGCCTGCTGGTGTTGCAAAGCTGCTCTCCTTTAGCAGACAGTTCTGTTTGTGGAAAATACTGTGTGGATGTGAAAACTGATTTGGGTGCCACCAGTCAGTGACACTGAGTTTAGACACACACATTGAATCATGGACGGCCTTCTTTTCTCTGCTTCTCATTAGCAAAGACCAGCGTGCAAAATATTCATGGAGCAGTTTCTCACTTTTAGCCGACGCTAATAAACACGTCACCAGTTAAACCACCAGTAGATCCATCCGCTGTGTAATTAACTGGTTGGCCAAAGATAGTTTGTGAGGAAGAAGCACCACTCTGTAAAACCTCTGTGCAACCACGAGTGGACTGAGTGCTTCTGTTGTCCCAACAGAGTGAGACGTCTTCTCTTACTGATTGCACCATGTCAGTTTCAGGAGTGGTATTCTCCATTTAAACTGTCATTTATATCATATCAATAATTTAAGCTGGTTAGTTTAGTAGGTTTAAACCAGGGTGTCGGTTGGCTGAGAGGGCGGAAACAGTTTGGAGTGGCAGCCTAATTATTGTTCACAACCCGTAGATAAAAACCTGAGAATGAGATGAGCAGCAGAACATATGAAATGTTGATTCACTCTGACACTTTAGAGTGCCAGCTGGAGCCTACTTACTTTGCACCACTCTCACAAGCTACCTGATTCGCTGCTCGAGGTCGTGGATTCAGAACCACTGCGTTGTTCAGCTTAAACTAGTGACACGGTTTCTGCAGGTTTCAATAGGTTCCATTTAAGACTTTTTACCTATTTTAAAAAGACCTTTTTATAGTCCATTATGAAACGCAATTTAAGACGTATGTCATGTTCATAATGGCAAAAAAGCCAGTCTACTTTTTAGCCAAAAATTGACATTGGTTCAATGTTGACTCTGTGTTCTGGTTGTTACAGTTACGTACAGACTATAGCCCTGCCATGGGCTGATTTCCACCTCCATAGTTTCATAACAAACGTTAAACTTTTACACTTCTAACATTGTGTTTTGTGCCATTGTAAAGCATCACTTTTGAATGAATTGTGTGGAAAAGAGTCACGTAACTGAAGAGTAAAGCAAGGTGATTTAAGTAGTGAAATAAGTAAATATATACAGCTAATAAGGGGTAATGTATTTGATATATAAATCCCAGTTGCAGCTGCATAAGAACTGGACCTCTCACCTGTGGCCTTTAGTCGGGGTTTGGGGCTTTTCTTCTCCTTCTTCTCCGGCCGTCCCCGTCTAATCACCTTCTTGCCTCTCTTCTTGGAGTGACCATAGTCACTGTCATCATCATCCTCCACCATGAAGTCCTCATCGCTGCCGGACTCGTCGGCTAGACACAGAAACGGGGCGCATAAGAACCTTTTCAACACAGATGCCCTGCTGTGCAGCAGTCTAAAGAACTGTGGCACTGCTGGTGAACCAACGCAAAGCCAATTTCCTGTTCTACCATAGCCTCTACAGCTTACATACAGGGGGCCTGCAGTCTGTCACCAGGTAGAATAAAGAGCAATTTCATGTTCATTTCATGATTTCTTTCTCAGATTGTTTCATTTGAATGATGTGAAGTATGCAATGTTTTACAAGAAAAGGCAAAAAGTTCAAAGAAATTATCAATTAATACAGAATATTCTGTAACAAAACCATATTTTTCTGTCTTATCCCTTTAATCATCTGGGGAACCTTCAGATTTGTTGGGGATCTTAAAAAACATCATTTTAGGGCTTCAGTTAATCTACTTTTAGCATCTGCAAACACCACAAACCACACATTAGACATTTCCTGCTGCTCTCTATGAAACATGTGGTTACAGCATGAGTTGCTCTGTCAGTGTACAGTTGTACATACGGTCCATATAGGGTTCCTCTTGGTCTTCGTGCTCCTCATCCTCGCTGCCTCCATCGCCCAGCAGGATCTCCCTCTGTTTGGACACGGCCTTGGAGGCCGCTTGGCGCACTGTACGCTTTCGACTCACTTCTTTTTCATCATCGCTGTCATCTACGCAAAGGACACACACAGTTACATAATGATTCATAACATAACAGGTAAAAAAAAACGTACAGTAAACAGAAAGGGCGATATAAAATATTTTGACGTGTTTTTGTATTATTACAGGCTTCATGCAGCTGTTTTAACACCACTGACTTACTGACCACCCCAACTAATGGTGTAACATATTACACACTTTCATTAAGGCTATAAGAAAACCAACTGTTTTCTATCATTGTGATTCATTGTTAAACACTTCCATGCTGCTCTTTTTTCCAATATGTCCATCATGACAAAGGTCTTCTGGTTCTCTCTGTCTTTCTGGATCAGTTTATGCATGTGAGAGTTGGCCATGTCTGCTTTTCTGATGGTTTTAGAACAAAAGCATTGTGACACAGGCCCCCTAGATTATTATTTTTATTAGAAATTATTCTATTGATTAATGTGACATCCTAACTAATATCTTGTTTTATATGGCCAACATCTCTAATCCCAAAGTTATTCAATTTAAAATGATATAAAAGCAGCAAATCCTCACAATAAATCTGTAACCAGCAAATATTTGGCACATTTTGCTTGATAATGTCTTTAAGATGAACTGATTCTAAAACTTTTTGCAGATTCCTTTTCAGCCTGCTCTACTTCCCATATCAGACCTTCTTAAGGGGCTTTTCTCTGCTTTCACATTCCAAACTACACGTCTGATGATGCATTCCTATTATATGTAACTTTAGATGCTCTGCACAATACAGAATTTGTATACCTAAATATAGACCATTCTAGCTCATGTTTCCTATAGCTTTCAGAGTTTGGAAATTGGGAAAAATGATGCTATTGGGAGCAGTCATTCTATTAACCAGGGGGTATATTCTAACAAAGCCAAGCAGGACTGGGTTACGATGCCTTTAAAAAGGCACATATACCACCATGATGTGTAATGAAAAGCCACAGTGAAGCACTGCAGGTGAGTTGTTTTTGCTGTGTAGGACATTTGAGCCCCCATACTGCCAGGTCCACCGCAATTACTGACAGTACACACATTGTTCCTGTAGATGTTAATTATTCATTTGGCTGCTGATGAGGCAGAAATATAAAAATAGTTATTTTGGTGATTTAAAAAGGTCCAGTGTGTAACATACAGGAGGATCTATTAGCAGCAATGAAATATAGTATTCATAGGTATGTCTATGACAGAAGTTTTGCGGCCACCATAGTTTTTCTCCTACACACTTGGAATGGGAGGTTGAGACAAGTTGGTCACAGTCTGCAATCTCACTGCTAGATGCCCACACATAGGTTCGTTAAATCAGCCACAAAAAAAGGTTGGCCATAGACTCCACCTATCACCCACCACCTTTATATTAAAACCTAGGACAGCTTCAGGGGAAAGAGCAGGGGTGAGTATCAAATGAGAATATTGTTTAGACGTTCATCTTAGACGTTCACTAAACTAATCACAAAAGATGAGATGCCATCAACAAACTCAGCTCAGCAAATGACAGTGAGTGATTGATCAGGCTTATCAATCAAACTTTGGACCCACTGTAATAAATCAAAGCAGAGTGTCTCAGTGTTGTGGGGAATGTTGGAGGCAAGCGACTCAATCAGTCACAATCAGACGGAGGTGTGGGAGGAATAAACTCCGAGCGCGTCTGGTGCTGCCCGTCAACCACCAAGCTAAAGTTATTTTGGATATTCACATGTCAAAACATAACTATCAATGGGAGCAGTTCCTCTCTGCCTCGCTGTGTGGTCTTCAAAAACATCTTGGAACCCCAGCAGATCCCACGGCTAGTATATATCAACACAGCCAGCTGAAAAACTCACTTTGACTTCTTTTGTTATATTTAATTTAGGTATAGTATGTCTAAACCCATCATACTTTTCCTCAATTATTAGCTCAAATACGGTTTAAATCAACAGTCACAATACATTTTTCGTACTCTTTAACAGTAGTGGTGTATGTTCTTAGAACTTCAGCGAAGTGCTCCAAAATCAAATGTCATCTCCTTTATAGGAGGAACAAGTGGGAAATGTGGTAAGTGGGGCTGACCACTTATGGTTTTTAAGGGCTGCGTTTTTGTTTCTAACTTACATGATTATTAACCAGTTTAAGTTACAAGCACACGATATGATTGTTTAAAAGAGTACTGTGCCTATATACCGTAGGTTTAACACCATCAGACTCTAGCTTAAAAACAAAAGGGGTCAAAATTGATTCTATTATGTAACGACTAATTTGTGATTATGCTGCGATTGACATCTAAAACTATCTGCACCACAAATATAAACTGGATTCAAATTTACTAAATTTAACAACAATTAAAAATTACAAAACTGGCCATACAAATTGCAGAAACTGATTTTACTCAAATCGTTCAGCCCTAGCCTGCACTTTTAATCATGTGTTGGACTTAATGGATTCCTTTAAACGTGTACATGCACATACGACAACATAACATATGTATCAAGGTAGATGACATAGGAAGCAGAACACAATCAATAAAACACAGATCTAATGTAGAATGTATCAACAGCTTAAACATAACATCATCATCATCATCATCATCAGGTAAGAAACTGGGTTGTTACCTGCAGCCCGTTTTCTCTTCGGCCCCCTCTTGCTGGGCTTCTCCACCTTGGCTTTCTTTGCTTTTTTCCCTTTTTTTTCTTCATAATCGCTTCCTCCATCTTCATCCTCCTCCTCTCCAAAGTCATTGTCTTCATCATCGCTGCCAAAGTCATCTGCAGCAGCGATACAGAGGGAAGTCAGGCAGCTGGCTCTTCAGTGTTCACTGTCACAAAGTGCCTGAGCAAACCTTCTCATCTAAATCAGACAACACGACTTACCTGCTGAATCATTTTTGGATTTAGAGAGCTTGTCATCGGACTCCTCACTGGAACAGAGATCAGGAAAAAACAAAGTCTTAGCAACTAGAGTAAGCGTACCCACGGAGATCATGAACAAGGCAGAGATTTTAATCTGCATTACATTTGCAAAAGAAAAAAAAAAAAAAAAAGAAGAATTGGAGGATGGGTACTGAAATGTGCACCAATATGCTCTTGTAAATGTAAAAGTGACACTTTTTCCATGAGATAAAGTAAACAACAGGGCTGTGACGGTATGGATTCTTTTCTTACCGTGGTAAAAAAAAGCAATGCTTCCCCGCTGTTTACTGAGCTGCACTGGCATTGTGTGAGTGTGTTTCCAAACCACTGTACAGCAAGGCCAAGTAGTTTACCATGCAGAGGTGTGCTATGTCCATATCTGGTTAATTAGACCCGTTTCTATTGAAGAATAGCACCACTAATGAAGCTCAGACAGCTCAGTTATGTCCTATAACTTCTCCACTATAAAAGCATCGGGAAGCTTTTAATGCAAAGCAGCAACATCAGGAAATGCTTGATTTGTAGCAGTAGACGTGTTGGGCAAGTTACTTTACCAATTACTTTTGCATACAAAAGTAATTATTTACTAGGGAAAGTAACTTTTGTGTTACTTTTAAATGCTTCAGTTCTTTTATTAATGTACACAGGTGTCAGATATTTTATTTTAGTGTTACTGTGAGAAAAGCAAATTTATTTAGGTTTAAATACTCCACCAGAGGGCAGCAACAACTAGCGTTCCTACCTGTAAGGTACACTCATTGTCCTAGTTACTAAACAGGGGGATTTAGTAGAAGACCCACTCAGATGTAAACATTAACTGAGCCTTGCTACCGTAGTTAGTTAATAATTAATTACTTGATGAACGTACTGAACTGTCGGACAACTGTAAGGTCAGGTGACGTTTGACCATAAAGTGGAAAATCAACAGGATATACTCTGTTCGTCTGCTGTCTTCTGCAGTTGTCCATTTTTTTCTGGTAAGGCAAAGGCAACAAGCTCATTTAAATTTCAGTTAGTGTAACTGTGGTATTTATTTTGAAAACGGAATTAGTTACATTACCAGTTAGGGCTGCACAATTAATCTACTATTATCCAATATCACATTTTGACTTCCCACAATTATCCCACAACGCGATTATCTACAATATTGACTTTAAAATGTGTGTTCGGCTTATAGAAAACTGTGCTGCTGCATCAAATCAAACGCTTCCTAAACTATGAGCCAGCCACCATGGCAAATGGAGATGTTATGGTTTCACTTTTGGGCATCTGTCCTGTCACTGCACACACACCCTGCGTAGGCAGCCTGGATACTTTTATTCCCGGAAGCAAATGCTGTATTCAGTTACTAATAAAAACCAAACATTTCCTACTGCGGCAGCTTCACATTAAAAGCATTTAACTTGCAAAACACAAGTTGACTTTTACTTTGAAGTAAGCAAGTCAGAGGAAATGCAAAATGTTGTTGTGTGTCAGTTAGCTAGACACTGGCTGCTATCCTTACATAAAATGTGTAAACACGATCTCAATACTGATCAAAATAATCGTGGTTATCATTTTGGCCATAATTGTGCAGCCCTATTATGAGTTATCGGCAAAAGTAGTGGAACTACAGTAACGCCTTGCTTTATAATGCGTTACTCCCACTCTAACGTAACACAGCTCTGAGAGGACAGAAAGCGACCCATAAACAGTAACAGAGCTTCAGAACAGGTATTGAGAGCTAAGGCAGTAGTAGAAACGCATGTAAGATTGGCTTGGCATGGCACGGCATGGCTAAAGAAGTCCCACCCAGGGCCGTAGAAAGATTTTAGAGAGGTAGGACATTACAAGGTGCATCCATTATGAATCGAACAAGCTCTCCTCCCTCCCCCACAGCTTCCTCCTGCTGAGTTTCTTTCTCCCTACATTCTTCCAGCTCACCCACCAGCCCTGCTCTGTCTGACACGCTGCTATAGCACACCTGGCTGTCTCCTCTCCTAAACATGTATTTGATCAACTCCCAGTTTCCTCTTCTGTCTACCCCCCCCTTCAGCTGGTTGCACCTGTACTACTATATCCTGCCGTCTTGGTGCCAACTGTGTCCATCTGCCTCTTTTGAGTTAAATTTCCACTCTACTCATAGAGAAGCTGCTGCGCTCTCAAGGACAAATTCTGCCCCTCTCTGCAGCAGTATGTTTAAGTGGTTAAACCATACATGGCACAAAGTTGATTTATATCAGTGGAACATATGTAAACGTGTCACGCATTCAATAAGAGAGAACCATATAATTAACTAATTCATTGGAAAACTCTCAGCACTGATCTTACTGCAGAAAGGTGTTACATTGTCTATAGCGAGGGCTCACCTGTCATCCTGTGAGTTCTTTGAGCGCTTGTGCTTGGGCTCACGAGGGGCTGTGCGCACCTTCTTAGGCTTACTGTCGCCATACTCCTCATCTACAGAGAAACAAGATTTTAGTCTTTCCTTTGCACACACACATACAAGGACATGCTCTAATTTACTGCTACCAATACTTTTTGTCCTAGTCTCAGACTCTTGGTTTTTCTTTATCTGTTTCTCAAAGGTGGTATTTGGAGGTCCTCTATAATGCATGAGAGAAAAACATCACAGAGGAGAGGGCATGCAAATACTGGAACAACAGTTATGAGACTATGACACTGGATTTGTCCAACATGTAATTCTGATCCATTATTTGTACTCAAAAGCAGCTGATTCAGTCACTAGGATTATTGAACAAGAGACACTAAAACATGCTCCAGATGCCCCTTCGACATAACTGGGATTGATGTTATATGAACAGACTGACCAACTGACATCCCTGGAGCTGTTATCTTGGTAGCTGAGCTGAAAGTCAATAAACCAGCCCAGTATTCTTTAACATTAAAATAAATAAATAAATAAATATTGAGTTGTTTAAATTATACATGTTGTTACAGGTCTTTTAGACTTCCAGCTAGTAGCAGAATCGTTGGCCATAGTGTCAGTTCCAGGATAAATATATTAGTATGGCTGACACACAGGGTTGGCCCATATGACAGTGCATACCATGACCAGATAAATGAGTCAGATTTTGCCACAATGTTTACACATAGCTACACCTTAAATATCTCTGGATTGATTAGACCAGGGAACCCTTTTCTATCATTGATTAAACTGACAACCCCTGACTCAGTGACTTGTTTTATAGATATTTCATATTATATTAAATGCATAACAATAACAGTAGAGAACAGCTGATAAACTTTACAATGAACCCAAACCGTGAACACAATAACTGCAGGAAGTTTGTGTAAGACAAGCAATTTGGATGAATTTTGAGTATTTCCTGTGAATATTTATATTAGAGCTAAATGTTCCTGATATTTTTATTTATTTATTTTTTTAAACACAATTCTCCGTCTGTATTATGTTTTATTTTTGTTTCTTTTTTACATTTATTTCACTCATACATACTTAATAGGCTTCTTTTTTGACAAATGCAGTAATTTATTCTCTGTGATGCTTGGCCATTGTTCTATTGGCTCTTTGGTTGTTTTAACTGCATATGTTAATATGCAGTATATGCAATACTGCAAAACGAGGCTGTTCAGCAGACAGTGAAGGCTCTGTGAATAGAGTTTGTGTTCAGGTCTTCACTGTGCCCTTATATTATATGCGAGTTTAAGTTAATATCTTAAATAATAATCAAAACTTTAAAAATAATAATGCAATTAATGAAATGCTGAGATATAAGCTTTTTTATATCCCATAACACATGTGACGTGTTTTCAGTTATTCTGGTTGATTAGACCTCTGCTCAGGTTGAAAGTGGATTGGCGCTTTGACGGGAATTTATTAGGTCACAAATCTACCAATAAGAATGATGAAGGTGTCATTTATCCCACCCTAACAGGAGCAACAAAGCTAAGAGAAGACTCAGGAAGACGTCAATAAATTGCAGTATACACATCCACACAGTCCTGAGAGGTCTCATCAGCCAACTGAAAACAGCTATGCGGGTGTTCAGAGGCCTTTAAATCAAGTAGGCCATGTGACCCCTCGTGGAGCTCTGGCGACCCCTGGTGGGGGTAGGGGCCCCCGGGTTGGCAGACATTGCTGCTTTTTTTAGCCAAAAGCAGACATTACTGTGTGCATGTGATCCATTAACAATTTCTGAATGTGTTTTCCATATGCATTACATAACATTATATACAGATGATGATTTTATCCATATCTTACTACCACATATTGAAACAAATCTTAGGTGTCTTACCTGCATCGTCAGACTCGTTGAATTGTGAGTAGTTCACCACTTTCCTGTTCCTGTGAAGAAGTACACACATTGCATCAGGTTACGTTGACACAGGACAAAGTTACATCACTACCCAAACTTGATATTAGACATGTCAAGTGGGTGCTTCAGCGTGTTGGTGGGCAACAAAGCTATTATATGTCATGTGTAGCAATTCAACAGGCAGTAACAAGTCCTCTGTGTATGAACGTCCGGACTGTATTAGTTGGTTTGAGAGGCCACAAACAGCCTCCAGCTGGGGGCAGTGAACTGGACACTGGTCTAACCTTCTACAGTTTCCATGGCTAATTTGGCAAAGTGTATGAAGGAAGCCTCAGGTAACAGAAGCCAACTATAGTTCAGGTAACACACAACCCTAGAAGCTGTGCCGCTGCAGGTTAAAACCACAGAAAAATCTTCCCTCACCCTACTTATGTGAATTGCATACATACAGCATACACAGACATTTGTAACATTGTAAAAAAGATTTTAGACCTGCAACAATTCATGGATTAGTTGTACACTATGCAGATTATTAGATTACTAATTAGAAAATTGATAACCGATTACTCGGTTTGAGTAGTTAAAATTTTCTGATTGCATTTTATGGACCAAACAACAAATCGATTAATCAACAATTAAATCAATCACTGCAGCACTAAAAGATTTATTTCAATATGTTCTTTCAACACTTAATTAGAAATAAAACGTTTGGCACACCGGTATCTGCTGCAGTGATAACACTGAACAACTGGTGGCACAGCAGATCATCTGCAAGCATTTCCTGGAAAACTACGTATCTGTGGACCCTAACCAGGTTACATACCATGCTGCAGCAATGTGTGTGTGGTGGTGGTGGGACAGGAGGATAAAGGGGGAAGGGTAGCAGCACCATAAACTTTTACAAGTACTTAGATTACAAGAACACGCGCACACACCGACACTCACCACAGTAAAAGCCTCAGACATGTGCAATGGCAGCCGGTGGCAAGCCTGCCAAGCTTTCCACACATTATCATTCACATCTCAGGGATAGCAGAGAGCGAGAGACTATTTACCAACCAGCTCAATTATAGTGAGTCACCAAACTGGGGAAGGGATGGTGTGTGAATCCGATACAGAGCAGGTAGTCTCAGTAACATGTGTGGTATAGCACGTTTAACTTTCTAGAAAGTCTGGGATCCGTGTGTAGTTTTTAGTTATAGCCACGATTGGGTCGCTCTTTTGAGTGTGCGTCGCCCCTTCTGAGCCATTTCTTTCAACTGTAAACTGGAATGGATGAAGGGAAAAAACAACAAATGGCTGTGTCAAAGTAGCCACTGCAGTTCATTAAAGCACCAAAGATAAGTCGATTAATTGATGGACAGAAAACGAATAAGCAACAATTTTTCCAGTAATTTTTAAGCAAAAATCCCCCAAATTCGCTGGTTGAAGCTTCACAAATGTGAAGATTTTAAGCTTGTCTTTGTCATAGGTGTTAGTTAACTGAATATTCTGAAGTGCTCTGAACTGTTTGTACAACACAAAATATTTGAAGATGCCACCTTGCTCCCAACAAGCATTTTCACTATTTTCTTACATTTTATAGACAAAAGATTTATTAGAAAAAAATATTGGCAGATTGACCGATAATGCAAATAATGATTAGCTGCAGCTCTGAGTCATTAGATGCCAACTGGGGGAAATTACCAGCTGCAGTTGAACAAATGTATCTCTGTTGGAGAATACTGATCAGAGTTAAAGCCGATTAAGTTAAAATGTATTTTAGTGTCTTACAACTGAGAATTCAATGTTTAGCCTTTTTGCCTGAAGAATAGTTGATTAATCAAATATCAAAATTGTTGAAGATCAACTTTCTGACAATCAATTAATTAACTGACTGTTTCAGCTCTAGTTAATTTATGTCCTGCCTCTTGGTTTATTTGTTCTACACACACATATCATGGCTTTGAATTGTGACGTAATGCATCATCACAACTCTAGACCAAACTACAAGCCCAGAGGGAATCCAAGTCCTGATTACTTAATTGATGCAATTTTTAAAGCGGAGGAAATATTCAGTTACGTCCTTGCGCTGATCCTTATAAACATTACAGACATCTTGTCCACGTGAGCTGACATTCGGGCTCAAATAGGAAAAGGCCTGCAAGTGATTTATCAAATAAAAACAGCAAACTATTTGTTTGCTTTTCTATGTTTCATATCACAGTCAATTCATTATCTTCTGTTTGGTTTAGACTGCTGTTCAGACAAAATAAGAAATATGAAGACATCAATTGGGTTTTGCTAACTTATGATATTTGTGCCATTAGCTATTTATTTCAAATGCATCATAAAAACAGCGGAGAGCCCTGAATTTTATATCTGTTAAATTCTTCAATAAATATTAAAGATGACAGTAGTTTGCAGAGTTCTGACAGTATTATCAAACCCACTACTAAGTCTTACAGATAAGTGTATGCAAGGCTCAATCTAAATCATAGCTGCAGTAGGCAACCTTAATAAAAATAATTTTTCGACATCATTTTGTCAAAATTGTCACTGTTTTCAGACTGTAGTCAACTTCTCCTAGTGGTCCTAATAGTATTTGTAAGAATGATTGTTTGAGTCTCATTCCTGGGAGATACAGACGCTTAGGGACTCTGGGAATGAGACTCAACAATCATCATCTTCAAGCCACCAACTTTATATCCTTCTCGGCTCTGATTGGTTGTTTTCATTCAGGCCCGGTGAATTCTTGCAAATACCATTAGGAGCAGCAGTAGAAGGAGCCAGATGAACCAGATTTTTTCAGATTATCCGTCTAATGTTCTACTGTCAGGATATAGTGAAAGTTTCAGCAAATATGAAAAAGGAATACTTTACAAAGTGACATACTGCAGCTTTAAATATATTTAAAGGGGCTGCATGAAATTTATATAGAAGGTTGGGGCAGTAACTATTTCCTTGTGCTATGGGGGTGACAGTCTAAATTTATTGACAGCATGGGGGAGGGCATGTTTTTTTCTCATCACATTTATATTTTCTTGTAGCTTGCCCTAACAAGTTGCTGGTTTGCTTTCCTTGTGCCACCGACAACATTCAAGAACTTTCCAATTCATTCAGATTTGTGCAGTGCAAAATGCACAAAAGGGTTGTGTAGAGTTGAGTATAACTCTGCACATGTGGCCATCATCATTATCCCCTCAGCCACTCACATGACCCAATTCAAAACTTTTCAACAGCTGTTCCAAACACAGTGGCACATGTCATAAATGGCTGACCAAATGTGGAGAAGAGCACTCCTCTTCGAGCGGGAAAGTTTTTGTCATTCAGGCAAAAACTGCACTGCGTTAAAGAAGGTTAGGTTGGTTCAGGTTAGAACTGGGCACGGGTGAGTGGGTGCACATTTTTCGATATAGCAAGATCTCTGCAGCCACAGAATGTTTTTTCAGTCAAACATTGCTCAATCTAAAGTTAGGTAGAATTGCAACCAGGCGTGAGGGTGATATGACTGGAGATATGCTCCTGTTAAGCTTTGTGGAAGGCGACAGATTCTATGAGTTGATGTTTGTTGAGACGGACAAGTTAACATAGCAACAAATCTCTACAGTCTGTACAGTGTACAACCCACCTGCATTTTCGACCCTATTTTTCGGTTCGACTTTTCTGGCCAGTTTAATGCTAGTACTCGAATACGGAAATGACTTGAAATGCCGCTGGTCCGTCCCTCACTCACACTGGGTGTGTATGACTATGTGTCTATGTATGCTGCAAATGATCTTATATGTTTCTTAAACTTTTTTTTATACATTTCTTCTTTATGAATGATGCACTGACTGGAGAGCACTTTAAATTTCGTTGTACCTGTGACAATGACAATAAAGATCAATTCTATTCTAGTTCCTGCACCAGCACAGCATTGGCTAACATAGCGTAACAAATGGGCCTAGTTTTTTTCCCGCAACGTAGCCGTCTGTCTGCACTCAAAGCTCAAATTGTGTGTGGAGTGGCAGATGTAAACACTCAAGCAGGCCTTTTATTCAACAGATGATGTTTTTTAAAGCTTGTAATGATTGTGGAGGTAATCAAAGTTCAGTCACTGTTTTCCCTGTGCATATTTCCATTGATCCAATAACCACAAACATACTCGGCCTGAAGTAAAACAAAATGTGCACAATAAAAAGTAACATACAAGTTGTGTCTTTATTTTGCAGAATCAAATAGACTGGCTGTGCTTTAATCAAAGTAACCACAAAAGAACCTTGTCCTTTGTGTGTTGGAAGCATTTCTTCACGAGAGGCTGCAGATGTAACACGCATCCGTCTGCAATATAGGGACTAGGTATCAAGACGTCGAAAAACACGACTTCTAAGGCTGCTGTTGGTGTGTGAGCATAAGTTTTGGTAAGACTAAGTGTCTTACTGATAATGCAAGCTGCAGCCATGTAGCATATGACCAAGCTTTCAGAACACCATCACACATTATCTTTGTGCTGTGCCTCTGACCTATATGTGTGTATAGGTTGGCCTGTGTTTGTATAATATATATATAACAGTGGCTTACTTAAAAAATGATGCAAGTGTGGCTTTATTATTCTGAGATATCAGAGGAGAGATTTCACTAATTCAAAGTCTGAAAAATTGACATTAATAACACATATTGTATTAAATAGACATTTGCACACAGCCCATAAAGACTTGTCTAATTCCAAGTAATATAAAGTATTTTTCTCTTAAAGAAAGAACCAACAGCTCTGACTAAAACGTCCCATTTAGATGCCACAAATGCGGCATTTAGATACCGAAAACACCGCGAGACTTCAGTGGTCAACTTTATACTAGATTTAACAGCATGAAATTACTTCTAACCAAGTTAAAGGTCGTTTTAATTTGTATTAAAAGGGCCTGGAGAGACCTCATGCGTTATAATCACGCTGGGGATCTTGCATTGTGGGGGTGTGGTGACTTTCTGTAGTTCTCCGCCTTCCTCTGACATCAGCCAGCAGTGTTAATTTACTGCCAGCGCCGAAAATGTAGATCCGCTCTCCCCGTTTTTTTCTCCCAACGACGACGACATTTTTGTTGACCACTACACGACTTTCTATTGTTCTGAAACGGCAGAAGCGTTGACATGCAATGAAATACGATATAAAGGGAGACTACAGCACCGACGAGCCTAGTCTGCGCGGTAACAAGATCAAATCCCGAGGCCGAACACCTCCTCCTCCTCTCTGGTCGTTTTTTTTTTTTTTTCAGCTTTGGTTGTTGGGGGGTGGGGGGTATTAGAGCCTCCCCTGGATGAATGGGTAGCCATATTCTCATTCTCAGTCAGAGAGGGAAAAAAATATTATCAGGCCTGGCATAAGTGAACCGTAAAACGTAACTGGTTGAACCACACCGCCTAATTTTCCGCTTGGCCTACATAGCAGCCAACAATGCCCATCACGGACCCGTTTAAAAAGCATGATAGACACGACACAGCGCGTCTCTCCACAAGACATGGCGAACAGTCCACACCGCTGGGATCCATGTTAGAAAAAGAGGGTGCACACACACACGCGAAGGCAAACACACGCACACATTCCCATTATTTTTTCATGAAACAAACAAATTCCCAGCTCATAAAACACAGCATGGCCGAGGCGTGCGTGTTATCTGCGACGGCTTGCCAGCACGGCGTCGTTATTAACTTACGGAGAGCAGAGGACGGATATAGCACACCTACCTCACTGGTCTTGACATTTTGCAGGAATACTGTAGAGGTTAAGGATGTAAGAAAGGGGGGAGAAGAAAAAGCACAGGGGGAAAAAAAGAAATATAGATTCCCGCTCTTGCAAAACACCGAGGGGAGCGAGGTTGACGCACAACTCCACCGTCCGAGCTAGCGCGTGAAAACAAAAGTACGGCAGCGACTTGTCCTCCACACGCAAATATTCTTAATTTTTTTACCTTCAGCTACTCAAAATGGTGAATAAAACAAACTGAAACTGCAGCCTGTGTGCAACCAAACCCCGCGGCCTTGAGGGGTGGGTCCTCGACGACAAGCACCGCCCCTGCGCGGCCCTGAGAGGAGCAGCGCGGCGCCGTCCCGCTCCCATTGGCTGATTTAAACGACGACCCTCCTTTGTATTGGATACTTGAGCTGCTCGTTAGAAGACTTTTAGCATACAGTTCCCCGCCTTCGCTAGCAGGCTCGGTTGAATTAGCACTGTTAAGAAAACAAAAAGAGGCCCTCAGGTTGGATGCAAACATTGAATTCAGTGTGGGTCCCAAAAGACCATAAAGCAATATTGCAATTATAGGTTACAACGTGCATAAACATCATGCATATGTAATGATATAATGTATTTCAGGAAGCAGATTGACCGTTGTATTGCTGATACTGAGAGGAACCTTCTTCTGTTTCACCTGGCAGACTGCTGCAGCATGAGATGCAGGTAGCAAGCATCTATAGCATTACAGCTGCAAAGCCTCTAACATTACACTTACAGGATATACAGTTTATTTCACTGATGATTGCATACAGTTGCGCCTTTCTTTTTAATCTTCAGACTGTAATGAAAATTTCTAAATAAATACATTTCACACTGCCAAATTTCAAAAACAAATTGTTGCCTGCGTACCCTTCTTCCACTCTCAGACCTCCACACTGAGTGTTTGCAGTTGGTCTGAATGGGTCAACATATATTCAGGCTTCATGACCCTGTTCCTGACCTGAATGCTGGTCTGACTGCTCCATGTTCATATGGAAGGGTGAATAGGAGCGTGTATGATAACTTTATAGGATTAATAGCCTATATATGTATATATTTATATACAGTACATTACCCTGGTTCTTTAAAAGGGTGACCACTTGGATTTGCTAAGTCTGAGCAGTAGTAAAGGTGTGTTCATTATTGTGTTTGTCAAAGTATTCCTTTTGCAAGCCTCCACAACCAAAATGGGATTTAGGATTAACAACTACAATCTTAATCATGCACGTTACATATTTATTTATTAATTAAATTATTCTTTCTGTCCATTAGTAATGACCACTCAAAACATGACTGAGCCCCTAGTCCATAGCTGTACCATTTTTAAAATAGTTACAAATAGTTACACAACCCCCCCCCCATTAAAAAAATCCTATTAAAAAACAAAATGCAGCCCTCACCTTAACTGCTTAAAGTATAAAAGAAAACGTCACAAAAAGAAAGAATTTCAACAGATGATTAAAATCGACAAAAATACCAGAAGCCCAGTTTGAATAAAAATTCTGAAAGAAATCGCTGAAATGTATTTTAATATGCATGAATGGCTCTAATATATTCTTATTTTAAGTAATTAGAGATGGCTCTCAGTGCATAAATGCCACTTTTTTGGTTTGTTTGTATGCAGAGTTTCAACACTTTTCTAATATTCCTCACAAATAACCGTAAACAGCATATGGCATTAAGCTTGTAGAAAACTCCCAGCTATTGAGCACACAAAATTTCTATTGTGTCTAAGTTTTTTTTTTCTGATACAGGGAGCAGTTGCCATGCTGCACTGCCTAGGGCAAAATCACTAGAGTCAATAAGCTGCTGACATGACAGGCGGAATAGTTTAGAATAGATAACAGTTTATTCAAACAAATAACTGAAGGAACAGCAACAGGCTCTTCAGTCAATAACATAATAAATTAACTAGGGGTGTCTGAAAATCACAAAATCACAAAATATTGTATTGCGATATTTTGTTTTATGATATTGTATCAATTCATAAAGACACTGTATACATTTTTGTGTTTAAACCCCCAACCACTAGATAGCAGTGTTGTACACAGAGGGCTCTGATGTTGGATTTTACAGGGACTGGGATAAATAGAAAGGCAGATCCCACTGGTCTGGTCTGGTCTATTGTGCATATGGTGGTGTGTTCTTCTTCTTTTTTTTTATTGCAATTCATGTCAGTATATTGAATCAGAACCCCTGTATCATGGTACATATCATATCATCCGATTCTTGCCAATACACAGCCCGCAAACTGACACATTTCTGATGACATGGTTATCGAACATGCTAAATATTACAAGCTAACATGAGTAGGTGTAGTGGTATTAGCTTGCACAAATTAGTAACATTGACAGTATGCTTCCTGATCTTCCATTGGTCAGAACCAATCAAACCAGTCCACTATTCAGAAGGTTGTCAGTTCGATCTCCTGCTACATGTCTCGAGCGAGATACTGGACCCCAAATTGCTCCTGATGCTCCGATGTGTGTTTGTGTTTCTGATGAGCATTTAGCACCTTGCATGGCAGCCTCTGCCACCAGTGTATGAGTGTGGGTGAATGTGACATGTAGCGTAAAGCACTCTGAGTGGTCGGAAGGTGCTATATAAGTGCAGTCCATTTACCTGTCAAGTCTACAGGAGATGTTTGATGCTTAAAAGATAAATGATACGGTATGTGGAGAAGTGATTTGAGCTAAGTTTGACAATAGTGAGCCGAGCCTGACAGTCTGAGTTGTTCTAAAATGGCAACCATACAGAGGTTAACACTTGTAATTTACAACATGGCCTTTTTTCTGTCTTCATTGTCAGACCCTCAAACTTTACGTTTGCAAGTTGTCAGGTTTCTAATGAATGCTACAGACCTGCAAGGCTGCAAGCGTGGCTGTAGACTTGTTTCCTTTGGAAAACATAGATAAAAATGTTTGTGCTTCTGTGTTTGCTTTAAACCTATTTCACCTAGGCATTGTTCACGTTCTTGGAAACACAATGCAAACATTTTGCTTACCCAATTCAATGTCTATTTACATCACTACAGATATTTCATATTTTTCCCGTTTTTGTTTTCCTGAAAACTGATAATCAGAAAAAACATGTAGAAATGTGCCATGTATTGTTGGGACACACTGAAGCCTTCTGTGGCTCACTGCCTTTTAATTTATTTCTTACTCTTTACCTCTTACGGTGGCTGTGAAAAATGCAAACAGGCCCTATCTGGAGCCAGTGTTTGGTTTGTCTGTTCTGGGTTACAACATGGTGGTTCAACATGGTGGAACTGCTCCCTCTGTAGATTAAACACTAATGAAAACATACCTATGAATATTATATTCCATTTCTGCCAACAGAGCCTCCTGAATGTTACACACTGGACCTTTAAGCAAGATGGTGACCTATGGGCATAATCAAAACTGTTCAAATCAAATCCTTATTTGAAAAAAAAAAATCACTACTTAAATAGATTTAGCGTGAATGATTTTAGTTTGTTCAGTTTATAGAAGTGGTAAACTGTATTCAACAAATTAGCAGTGTGCAGACAGTATATTGCCCAGCACCGCATGTTATCAATTGAAACTAAACACATGGAAAAAGAGGAAGAGAAATGGATGTGTCCCACAAGTACATTTCAGTTACAGTTGAATTGTTGGGTCTCCAAAAAAGGAGTATTTAAAGTTCTATAATCAGTTACTCCAGGGATATAAAAAAAAAAAAATAGTTACAAAAATATGTAGTTGTACTGCAACAATCTTCTGCTGAAAATTCCAGTGGAGTTTTGGAGGCTCTGGGTGGAAGTAACCTTTGTTTTTTAGGCTCATTGAATTTCAGGTCCACCCACTCGTGTGGTGAGTTCGAGTACGTTCTGTCAAATTGTAGGCTGTGCTGAGGGCTTGTTTGGAATGTGAGTTATTCCCATCATGCTGTGTGTGTGTGTGTGTGTGTGTGTGTGTGTGTGTGTGTGTGTGTGTGTGTGGTGTGTGTGTGTTTTGTCTGTGTTCAACTGTTAGAAATGATGTGAAGTTGAATTTCGAGAAACATCCTGCTGAATCCTGATCAGAATATTGCTGAGTGTTTGTGTGTAATGTGATGAGAAACTGTTGAAATGCGAGCCTCGTCTCTGCCTCGTCTCTGCGTGTCAGTTGGTCTCTCTCTCTCTCGCTTCTTCCACATCAGACAGACTTATGTCTCTGTGTTCAGGGATGATGCTGTAGTGAGGAGCAGGTATGTTGCCATGGCAACCAGGGAAGTGACTCTCGCCTTTCTCTTCGTGGCTTCACAGTTGCCTCTGGATCATTCTTCAGTCCGAGCTCTGCATTCTTCAGCCTGCAACAATGGAAAAGTCCTTGAACCTCAGAGACATGTTTATATCACACCTATGGGATGGATGACTAACACACAGTTTGTGCACCATCACTGCCCGGCCAGTAGGGAACAGTGCTTGTAGCTAAAAACAACAAATCCAAATGTACTTGTTCATTCAATCACTTAAATCCCCACCTCACAGCCAACTGTCGAGGTGTTGATTTTGATTTACACTGAATAACATAAAAGGTTGAGTCGCAGCCATACATGATCAGTTGGCAGAGCACCACATATCTCCTCACCTGTGTAGCAATGCCACCTTGTGGCTTATATGTTAAACTGCAATGCAGCAAGGCCAATGCAACCTCATTTAACCCAGATGCTCAAGAGGCCTATAGTTTTCCAAGAGAGAGAGTGTTGCAAAATATATTACAACATTTGGTGTTTTGATGATGGTGGTGGAGAGTAAGTACTTTCCCTCATGTACTGTACTGTACTGGTTCAATTTTGAGGTACTTCATATTTTATGCTACTACATTTGTCTGACAGTATACTTTGACAGTAAAGGGAGAGAGAGGGGATGCAAAAAGCCACAGGTCAGATTCAAACCCAGGGCCACTGCAGCAAGAACCTTGAGTACTCTACGTCTGTGAATTAAATATTTATTATGACCAAACCATAGTTATTGATTATTGGAACAGTGAAAAGACTAATAAAGACAGTTTTGGTGAGTTTTATTTTGTTTCTGTCCACTTTGAATGTAGTTATCATGTAACTGATATGCATGATAAAATTACAGTTTTTGTGTATGTATTCTGATGGCGAGTGATATTATGGCTGTTAAACAGAAGCTCTATTTCTGTAGGGATCCTTTCCATAAGTTTTCATGCACTTAGAATATCTTACTCTGTGAATTAAGAGTTTATTTTGACCAAACCATTTTATTTATTTTATTATTATTTTGTTTTTGGAATTATTGATGTT